CCGTCGCTCCGCCGCCTCGCGCCCCGCACCGCGTCGTCATCGCCTCGCCGTCGCCGTCGCGCCGAGCCCCGTGCCGTGCCGCGCCGAGCTCCGCGCCGCGCCGTCGCGTCGCCGCTGTCACCACCTGCTGCCGCGTGCGCGTTCCATCGCCGCCTCGAGCCGTGCCGCTGCCGCGCCGCGCGCCGTCCCGTCGCCTCGCGCCGCGCGCCCGCTGCCTCGCGCCCCGCGCCACTGCCACGTGCCGCGCCGCCTTGCACCCCGAGCCGCGCCGCGCCGTCGTCATCTCCACCCGCGCGCCGCGCGCCGTCACATCGCCGCCGTCGCCTCACCCCCCCTTCCACCGCCCTTCCCTTCTCTTCCATCTCCCCCTTATCCTCTCTTTCCCCTATAAAAGCCCACCATCCTCCCCTCTCCCCACTCCATCCCCTCCTTCTCTCCCTTTTCCCTCCCCTTCTCCACGCGTCGCCGTCGTCGTGCCGCCGCGCCGCCGCCTTCGAGCCGCCGCGCCGCCGCCACGAAGCCGCCGCGCTGTGCCGCGCCGTGCGCCGTCGTCGCCGCCGCCGCCATCGGTGAGCCGCTGCCTTTCCCCCCTGTTTGTCGCCATGCCGCCGGGTAGAGAGAGAGCCGAGAGAGGGGAAGGAAGGGAGAAGCCGAGGGAGAGAAAGAAGAAGGAAGGAGGAGAGAAACCGGGAGGGAGAGAGAGAAGGAAAAAGAAAAGAAAAGGAGGAGAGAAAAAGGAGAGAAAAAGAAAGAGAGGGAAAGAGAGGAGAGAAAGAAAAGAAAAGGAAAAGAGAGAAAAAGGGAAAAAGAAAAGAAAAAGAAAGGAAAGGGAGAAAAAGGAAAAGGAAATAAATAGGAAATTAGAGGGAGATTAGGGAAGTTTAGAAAATTTAAAATAATTAGAATTTAATTATAGATTAATTATAGTCGTAGAATTGCAAAATTTAATATAAATTATGGATTATTCTTGGTAATTTCTATAAGAAATCAATTCGCGGTAGTAATTTAGACGTAATTAATAACTAAACAAATAGATGAATTCTTATAGACTATTATAGATTATTTTGGGTAATCTCTATAAGTAATTGATTCACGATAGAAATTCGGATTTAATTTCTAGGAATCTTAGCCGTGTATTATATTTAATCGTTTAGTCATAGACTAAATTAAATTGTATAATATTTCTAGGATTTCGTCCAATATTTAGCTTGTAATAGAAATTTCTAACCTATTATATACAATGCTCGGGGAGAGTAAATTATTGACAACGAAATAATTATACTCGCAAAATAGTTTAAATCGAAATTGGGTTTGCCGTAGTTCGCAGATAGTAAAGTTAATAAAAAGGAATCGACTTTCGCATTCGACTTATTAGTTATTTAAATAGAGTTAGCCTTATAATTATTAGGTAAGTAAAATATAGATACACATAGATCGGTCCTAAGCTTTTTATGGCAAATAATAACAGAGCTAGTGTGATTAAATCATCTATATGAAATTAATCAACGACATATCCCATATAATAGCATATAGTAGGAGAGGTGAGCAACCCTTAGTTAACCAAGCAGTAAATAGAAACTATTCAAATAAATGATTCAATATATTAAGATATTGTGCACACATATATTGTACATCCCATTATAGATATATGGTATCGTATTAATTTGCTTGTTGCATATATTAATTTAGAGGGAGTATGTGACGAACATGAATATTAGATAAATACTAGTTATACATCTTGTCCTCGTATAATTACAGATCAACTGTAAATTTGGATTATTCATTGTAAAATTATGTGATGGGATAATCCGTAACCATAATATGATTAACCTAAACATGGGTAATTGTTAACCTTTTATAATTTATTTTGACAAGTGAAATATGTACATAATTAAATTAAAGCCTCCATTAATAAAATAATAATACAAATGATTCACAGTAATTATTTGACCGATCCAAAATCCATCCGGCAACAGAACCTCTAGTGTATAACCGTTCTATTTAGATAGATGCATGTGTAACCATAATCCTTCCTTAGCCATTAGCTAGACTGAACCACCATGACAACAGAAAGACTAAGAAACCTTAGCTCTTAGCTTGATTAGAGTCCATTAGCAAGCGCGAATAATATGAGCAACCCTAGGTTCGACCTCAGCAAATATATTTTGTTTGTGCATATTTGATTGTTGCTTGAATATTGGTTTTTCTCGCGTATTATAGACCTTGTGTATCGGTTAGTCGTGAGGCAACGTCTGCAACATCCAGGAGGTGAAGGTTGATCAAGATTATATCAATAATAAGGATTATCCTGAGCAAGACAAGTCATCACTATTCCTTGAACATGTTGATCCCACTTGCGAAATTGTTTTGTTTACAAATAAAATTGCATGCAATTATGAACATCCTACTTGTGATTATACCATGCCTTGATTATTGTTCACCTTTAAATCTTTGTAACCATAGATACGTACGAGTCCCTAGTCAACTATGACACTTGCTTAGAAATGCTATTTTAGATTCATGCATACTCATATTTATCAAATGCTATATGCTTGGGCAATTACCCTTGGGAAGGTAATTGAGATGCGGCATGTGGAGACATGAGCGCCACATTGCCATGATATTGATGACATGATTTGTGAAAGGAAAATAAAGTAAAACAACTGTTTTCGACTGGGGCGGCTGGAGGACTTGGGTGGTGTCCGGAAAAGGCTAGTGCCGTCCCTGGTCAATTAAGGACCGAGCCATGAAGTTAAGCATGAAACGACCCCCGTACAACCGCACTTCTCGTATGGGTATAGACCTAGCGGAGTAGATAGCTGAGCGGAGGCAGTATCCATGCATAGTGGTTTCTTGATGTGTGAGGCAGGGGCTCTACGGTGGGGCAGCCATTGGTAGGACCGCGAGGCGGGTGTCTACAGTGGTGTCGCCATCGGTAGGACTACCATGTGAGAATCTAAAACATAATTATAACTTAATGCATGTGTGAGTCTTCCCTTCCCGGGTGCGCCAGAACTCCTCTCACTGCTAGAAACCGTGTACGCCTAGAGTGCATGAGGATGAAAAGTTCATGGAGCGGGTACTGCCAATGCGAGGGATTAGTACTACCAACTACTGATCCAGGGATTGGTACGGATAAACACAGAAGATTTCCGATTTCCAAAATCGGGGGTCTACACGTTTGATTATATTACATTGGCAATTTTGCTATTGAAATTTAATACTAGTCTATACTCGTCTCAAAATATAATATCTAGAACCAAATGACACATTTCCTAGTACTACGAATCTGGATAAACAGTTTATCTTTATTCATAGTAGGAAATATCTCATCTAATACTGGGTTCTTATATTTCGGGACATATGAAACAGTTCTCTAATGGTTGTCTTTATTCAGTTTTTATTTTGGGACATATGGAATAGTCCTCAATGGATTCACAGTGATTAGTGAACAGACTATTTAAAAGTGTAAAACTTGCGGCAGTTATTTTAAAAAGTCATCCTCAAGTCTGTTTTTTTTTCTACTATCGTCCGTGTGTACATCAGTACACGGAGCAGCACGCGGGTGACAGGTTTAGCTTGGCTAAAATATAAATCCTGTTGCATGTAACTACCTACTGTACCTACCGTTCCCGTGACATGGGACAGGTTGACAAAAAACAAAGTCCACTGTACGAACACAGCAACAAAATACTCCCTCCATTCCATTTTAAATGTAGTCGTAGTTTTCCACGCCCAACTTTAATAGTTTATCTTATTTTTTAAAAAAATTAAAACATAAGTCACGGGTAAAGTACTATTCATGTTTTATCATCTTATAATAATAAAATATATTAATTATAAAAAAATTTTAAATAAGACGGACAATTAAAGTTAGACGTAGAAAGTGATACTTACATTTATAATGGGAGGGAGTGAATACGTAAAAGAAGAAGAGAAAAAAAAACTAAACTCGTGGCTGGGAAGTGGCTAGAGTACCTGCCACCCACACATGCCCGGTCCGTCCATGTGCCACATAGCCAATAGGTCAACTGCACACGTGCCGCCTCTCGCACTTGCCCATTTGGAGCGTCCCTGGGTCGACGCGAGAGGCCGGCCGGCCTGCCTCTGCCTGCCGGCACACGACGCATCGATCCGCAGTTTGCGACGCGTCGCGTGTCGCGATGCGCGTCGGCCCAACAATGTCGCGTTCAGCACCAAATCCAATCTAGACATATATACTCCCTGCGAGACGCGCTGCCACGTCCTAAGGGCTAAAATAAATACTACTGCGTGTCCGTATTTTAATATGGCAAAAATTAGTTATATAACATCGAAAATTTACGTTTTCACTTCTATAGCACCGAAATATAGCGTTTCATTTTAATAGCACCTAAAATTTACCACGTTTCTATTTTTACCACTTTCATCAATTCTCGATCGTTTTCAGTAAACCTTGATCGCTATTGATTCAGCCACGCATATGATATGATGTTTCTACCTTTGATTGTCATGCATTCTACTTGTACTTGTGAGAATAGAAAGGTTTCTACACCTCCATCCTATTTTAAGTGCAGCCATAAGTTTCTATGTCCAGCGTTTGACTGTGCCGTTTTATTTGAAAAATTTATAATTTCTTTTAAAAAATTAAGTCACACATATAGTATTATTTATATTTTATCATCTAATAACAATAAAAATGATAATAATAAAAAATAAGATAATCGGTTAAAATTGGGTACTAAAATTAACAACTGCGCTTATTCTGGAGGGAGTACATGGGTTCAGATTCCTAGTCCCATGTATTCCATCTCATAATATGTTGCTATATTTATCACGGAATCGCTCCTCATCAATCTAAGGCTGGAGTTTAATTCCAAACTTTTTCTTCAAACTTCGAATTTTTTTATCACATCCAAACATTTCTACACACATAAATTTCTATTTTTTTATCACATCGTTTTACTTTCAACCGCACTTCTAATTTTAGCGTGAAAAACACACCCCAAATCCGGTGGCCGCGCCCTCCTCTCGTATTTATCCCCCACCACCGCGCCGCTATCCCCGCCGCCGCCTCACCTCACCGCCGCTGCGTCCCGACTCCCAACGATGGCGCCGCCTCCGCCGCCGACGCGATGCCTCCCCGTCCTCCTCCTCCTCCTCCTCGTCGTAGCGCCACTCCTCGCGCATGGCCGCCGCCCCTTCATTTCCGACGGCGGCAACGCTAACGCTAACGCGAACGCGAGCGTGCTGCGGCTGCCGTCGGCGGCGGCGGCGGCGGGGGAGGACATGGGCTGCGAGATGTCGTACGGGTTCCTGCCGTGCACGACGACGGCGTGGGGGAACCTGTTCCTGGTGCTCGCCTACGGCTTCCTCATGTTCAAGTCCGCCACCTACCTCTCCTCCGGGAGCGAGATGCTGCTCCAGATCCTCGGCCCCGGCATCGTCGGCGGCCTCTTCCTCCCCATCCTCGGCGCCCTCCCCGACGCCCTCCTCATCCTCGGTACTCCCTCCCCTCCCCTTCCCTTCCCTTCCTCACTTTGCACAACTCGATCGCTCGCGTGGTGGGATCCGCGCTGCTGCTGCTGCTACTACTACTACTACTCTTGGCCGTGACCACGAGAGAGATCTTAATTCTTTCTTTCTATGATTAAAAAGGTCCACCTTGGACTGTTTCATGCTAGCAACGATCACCTTTATCGCTTGATTTGATATGCAAGGTGACGTGATCGTTGAGATTCACTTCACCACAAGATGCTTAATTAGCTTCAGCTGATGACAAGATGCTTAGCTTTGCTCTGGTTTTATTGGATGAATGGTACCAAAACAATAATCGAATGAGTACATCATTATGGATTTTATGGGCCCTTGAGATGAGGTCCCATAAAACGCCAAGATAGTTAGCAAGGAGCTACTCAACTAACAGCTGGTTAGTCCTTTTTTCTTGTGTCCAGCTGAGGTAAGCTTGCACAAATACCTATAAATAGACCATGATGTCATACGTTGTTGCACCATTCTACATGATGGATTTGAGTTGCATGTGCAAGTGTGCATGCAAATTGCTTAACTTGGTCCCCCATTTGTTGCATTTCAGTTTCTGGGCTCTCTGGCACTAAAGAGGTTGCTCAGAGTCAGGTCTTGATTGGAATGGGCCTGCTCGCGGGGTCAACGGTTATGCTCTTGACCCTACTCTGGGGATCTTGTGTTGTTGTTGGCAAGTGTGATCTGTCAGAGAATTCAACCGCAATCGATTCACGGGATACCAAAGGCTTCAGTCTATTAGGTATGCCACATACTCACTTTGTGTTTCATTCTCTTTTGTTAATCTTGTTCCATTATGGATCTAGATTTGCAGAACATCCTTTTACCTGAACAAGAAATCTGTTTTTAATTTGCAACAAGGCCATGCTGGGCTCATGGCAGGTGGTTGTGACTTTTAAGTTCAGTTGAAAATTTGGTGTACGAGCTTGCCTGCTGACATATTGATACGGTTATTAGGGCTTAGCTTTCAAGAATGTGATGCCCCACATGCCTAACAATGTAGTTATCTTGATAGGAGCTGCTGGCCTTCAGTTTGGCTTTAAGTTTTTTGATAAGATGACATACATCATGAAAAAATATATGTTTTCCTTTACCTTCTGTACTTGGATTTGACACATGAAGTTTCTACGTGGTATCAGCATTATGTTGGGAGGATTTCGTGTTGTTCTTTTCTCAACTTAATCAAATTTGCATAGTGTGAATTGGTAGGCATATCCTGCATTATATCATTATAATATTAGTTAAAAGAATAACATCTATGTTAATTCAGGCTCTGGTGTTTCAACTGATAAGCAAACCAGCTATGCAGCAAGAATCATGGCGATATCTATTCTCCCCTTTATTATTGTTCAAATACCGAAGATTTTTAAGCTCCATTCTGGTCATCAGATAACAGTCCTTATTGGACTTATAGTGGCAGCTCTACTCTTGCTTTCTTATTGTCTATATCAGGTATTGTAATGACCTTGGTATATATACTTTATGCCTTGCCATCCTTTTGTTTTGGTTTGTGTCACCTATGTAATTTTGTCTTAAAAGATTAGTAGAAATATTCTTGCATCAACACACTTGATGACTCGTAAAACATAGTTTTGAATCAGAATAAATGGTGCCCTTCTCCAACAAAATTTGTCAGGAAATGAAACCGGGTCACAAATATCTGTAGTTTCATTATAGGTTCTGGTTTTTTTCTGGGGACAACTATACATTGCTATAGTTGACTACATTCATATTTTAATCTACATTGCCCATTAAAGACTTGCATTTTTCACAAACAGGTCTTTCAGCCATGGATCCAGAGGAGAAGATTAGAGTATACAAGACTGAAGCATGTAATGTCTGGACTTCTGAGACATGCTCAAAAGCATTCAATTGGTCGCCTTCTTGACGATGAGGGAAGACCTAATGTTTCGGTGATAGAGAAGTATGTTTCTGTCCTCACCCACATGGTTTTTTTAGCTATATTTCATAAAGAGGTGCTCTGTTAAATGAAAACCGAAAAATTGGCAGGTTATTTCACAGGATTGATCAGGACAATGATGGAAAGCTAGAACGCGGCGAATTACAAGCTTTCATCGTTGGTATTAACTTTGAAGATATTGACTGGAACAGTAACCTTGCTGCAGATCAAGTCATGGCTGACTTTGATACATCACGGAACCATTTTATTGAAAAGGGTGAATTTGTTAATGGAATGTTGAGATGGCTGGATGAAGCTAAGCGTACTGTTACATCTGGTGCCTACTCAAAAAAGTTCTTGAATGATTTTCATGCGGTATGTTTTTTCTATCAGCTTTTTTGTTGTAGAGTTGATTTATCATGGAAAGATAAATTTCAGCATCTCACAATGTTTCAGAGAACAAGGGATGAACAAACCGGTCTGCTCGACAAGGATGAAGAGGAAGGTGAAGCTGATGGAAATCCAACCTGGACTTGCATTAAGGCCATCTTACTTTTGCTTCTGGGAACTGCAATGGCAGCAGCATCTGCAGATCCTCTTGTTGATGCTGTGCACAATTTCTCAAATGCTACACATATTCCCTCCTTTTTCATCTCCTTCATTGTAATGCCCTTGGCTACTAATTCCAGCGAGGCTGTCTCAGCAATTATATTTGCTAGCCGGAAGAAGAAACGGACTTTGTCACTAACCTTCTCTGAGGTATGTCTATTGAGTATCTTGTACAACTGAACCCCTAAATAAACACCATCATTATCTGTTGCTTCTGTTATCTAAAAAGTTGAATTCGTTATTACTCTAGCTTCATTACCCTTTTCCTTTTTAAGTTGTCTGCATTTAGTTTATGCAGCAGTATTAGCAGCCATCAGAAGCACCAAACAAATTTCATCCGATGCCATCATTTTAACTGCAGGTCTATGGTGGAGTGACCATGAACAACACACTCTGCCTCGCCGTGTTCTTGGCCCTTGTTTACGTGAGGGGCTTAACCTGGGATTTCTCATCGGAGGTACTCATCATCCTCCTCGTGTGCATCATAATGGGCCTCTTCACCAGCTTCCGGACTGATTTCCCACTCTGGACATGCTTCGTCGCCTTCCTTCTCTACCCGTTGTCGCTGATCATGGTCTACATCCTTGACTACAAGTTTGGATGGTCGTAGGCCTGCAACGTTGATACATCTGATATACACATATAGATGACAAGCAGTATAATTGATCAGTAACCACTCATCTACCTTTTGTAAGTCTTATCGTTTACCATGTTACCTGGAAAGGATGCGGATTGCAAGATATAGATAGATATGCAGAATGAACTTTGTTATTAGAGTTGAAAGCATTATCTAATTCGAAACATGCGCATCATACATGTTTCCTTCTTTTCTTTTTAATCTAAGAGGACGTGTTGCAATATTGCACTGAAGCTCTGATGATCTGAAGGCCTCAAAGCTAGAATTGTTCACTTTTTGGGCGATCCACAGTTGTAGTTCCTTTGTTGGCCTAGAGGTGGTCGGTCACGTTTAGCAGCGATCGGGCTGGTGCTAGTTTTCTCATGAGTTTGCGCTGCTTGGCGCTGTCGGTGTGTGGGTGTTGTATACTTTTTTTCTTATCCTGATTACAGCCTTTCAGGGTTGTAATCTTGTAATTTTTTTTCTGCCCTATCAATATGAATTTCGCAAAAAAAAAAGAATTGATGACTTATCACTCTATTTGTGAGACCATTCTGTCCAGTGAAAGCTGATGTCCATTTACTTGGGTAAAGATTTTCAGTTGAGCCAAGCAAACCATTCCAGCTCAACTTACAAACTATAATAAGAAAAGAGCATCGAATCAAGTTAGCTGCAATATTCACCTGTAATAAAATATGAAAGGATGACACATCCGGAGTCAAAATTCAGAGAGTGATACTCTGCTTGGAGGAAATCAATCAACAAACGGATCCAACTCAAAGTAGATGCAGATGAAAACACATCTGCTGAAGCGCTGATCAAAACACACGTACAATACAAACACACACACAGTCCTAACATGATAGCACTTGCACTTGCACTTGCACCTGCACCCGCGCCGCCACGGCGCCGGCGTCCACCGGAGAGCGGCATATCGGGCACGTGGCGTGCGATCCGAGCCACATGTCGATGCACTCCTCGTGGAACACGTGCAGGCACACCGGCAGCCGCTTCGCCGCCTCCCCTTGCCTCATCTCGCCGAGGCACACCGAGCACTCCTCGCCGCCGCCGTCGCCGTCGTCGCCGCCGCCGCTGTCGCCGTCGCTCCCTCTCCTCTTCTTCTTCTTCTTCTCGTACGCGTACGCCAAGAGCGCCACGTCGTCGGCGACGACCGGCGGCGCGGAGGGCTGCACCGCTGCTGCCGGCACACGGTGGATCGGGAGCGGCGGTGGCAGCGGCGGCGCCACCACAACGACGACGGCGCTCGGCGCCGCCGGCCGCGCCACCGTCGGTTCTTGATCATCCCGGACCATTCCTCCTCCTCCTCCCGCCGCCGGTGACCTGCCACGGCGCGCCCTGTGCACGACGACGAAGACGACGACGAGGACGACGATGGAGATGGCCCACGGGACGCCGGCGACGTACACGAGCACGCCGGCGATGACGGCGAGCGGGACGACGGCGAGCAAGAGCTTGAGCAACATGGCGACACGACACGACACTTTCCTCTCTCTTCCTCCTCCTCCACAACAATCGCAGAAGTAATTATCAAAACCAAAAACGCGGTTGCAAATGCGTGTGGTTAATTTGAGCGGCAAGCAAGCGATCAGGTCGGTCAATTTCGTTGATTAATTTTGGTGATTTTAAGTCCACATTTCGATCTCATTTTGGTAGCGACATGACGAGAGCAAAGACTTGGCAAAAAGGCGTACGCTGCCTTCACTGAGCTGTTTGTCTGTAGGAGAGATCAGAGCCGTTGGATTCAATGGAAAACAGGAAAACGTAGCCTTCCCTGCCCACGTGTCACATCACCGTGCCGTTGGATTTGGGCGGCGACGTTGACGAGATCGGGTCAGCTAGATTTGGACCCCAAAAGTTCTGAAGAAATTTCCTGCAGTAGAGCAGTCTGCAGTGTCTTCCCCTTATCGAATCATATGAAATTTGTTTAAATTTGGTTTGAACCTGTTGGATTCAAATTACTTTTGAAAAGTCTCAGCAAGATCTCGCCATCTCCGTTTAGTTACAAATTTTCATCGAAGCTTTCTTCGAAGATTAGCTGCAACTTACATCAGGAAGGGATTGACGTCGAGTACTACCTCCGGTGGGCGTGGACCCCGTTCCAGCGGCGGCGGGCGCACCGGCAAACCGGGCAGGTGGCGCTCGCGCGCAGGCGCGCAGCCACCGGTCGATGCACGCGGCGTGGAACACACGTGCTGGCACGCCGGCAGCCGCCGCACCGCCTCCCCCTGCTCCACCTCGCCGTAGGCACACCGCGCACTCAACGTCGCCGTCGCCGTCGCGGTGCGCGTAACTCGGGATGCCGCCACCAGCGGCGAGTGCGCCCCGCATCTCTTCGCCGCCCCGGCGCCATCACAGCCTATTGCTTGTGCGCGGGCGCGGCGGTGGCGGCAGCAGCAAGCCGGTGCGTGCGCAGCCACGGCGGGCGCTTGAGATCGGCGTAGAAGCGGCAGCAGAGGACGAGGGTGAGGTGACGATGGTGATGGAGTGGAGGAAGACGACGCCACGACGGCGGCGAAGAAGATGGCGTGGGCGGAGCGCGAGGTCCTGACGAGGTGGACGGCGAAGTCGCAGCTGTCCGCCGGCGGGTCCGACATGCTGCTTCACTGCTTCAGCGTTCGTGCGCGCCTCCGACCGCCGATAAACTCGGCAATCTCACCGTTAAAAAAAAATTTAATGGAGCGAAAGGTGAGTGAAATGAGAACTACTACACGACGGGATTCCGTTTCGACGGGATAAGTTATGACGCTGACATACCTCCCTCGTGCCTCGCGTTCCGTCGCTTCCAACTCCCATTTCCAACCCAAATCACACATGCCGCTCCACGCTAAATGCGGGTTATTCCCACTAGTGCAAGTGCACTGGCTTGGACCGGTCTACGTGCAAATTAAGGCTTCAATGGTTGGTGATCTTGGGAGAGCTGCTTAGTTGGGCACCTGAGCTGTGATATACTCCCTCCGTTTCAAAATGTTTGACGCCGTTGACTTTTTAAAACATATTTGACCGTTTGTCTTATTCAAAAAATTTAAGTAATTATTACATCTTTTCCTATCATTTGATTCATTGTTAAATATATTTTTATGTAGGCATATAATTTTACATATTTCACAAAAGTTTTTAATAAGACGAACGGTTAAACATGTGCTAAAAAGTTAACGGTGTTAAACATTTCGAAACGGAGGGAGTATTGAGCTTGGGCTGGGCATGGTTGAATGCCTTGGCAAGGCAATATGCCTCTCGAGCCAGGCTGGGAAAAAAAAGATACTCCCTCCGTTTCAAAATGTTTGACACCGTTGATTTTTTAGCACATGTTTGACCGTTCGTCTTATTAAAAAAAATTGTGAAATATGTAAAATTATGTGTATATAAAAGTATATTTAACAATGAATCAAATGATATGAAAAGAATAAATAATTTCTTAAAATTTTTTAAATAAGACGAATGGTCAAACACATACTTAAAAAGTCAACGGTATTAAACATTTTGAAACGGAGGGAGTATCATTTTTGTCCTGATAAATCTTCGATGATACACTATTATTATGTCTAGTGTCGGGATTGACTAGTGCACATTACACCATTAAAACGGTATACTCGTACAAGGCTTCCATGATGTGATGTATATATGCTTGGCATGTACCACGTACCATATATGATTCATCTATCTACTATACATGATACTCAGGTATCCAATATGAACCTATATGTATAATACACGATACCTGAAATTTAAGCATGGTACATATGTGTACCGGGTCTAATATCTATATACGTATCGTGTCTAATACTCAGGCACCGAGTCTAATATGTATAGGTATCGGGTCTGATAATTAGATACCGAGTTTGATATATAGAAGTATCGGGTCTGAGACTCAGGTATTGGTTACCTGATTTCATACATATAGGTATCGGGTCAAGAAGAAAAAAATATGATGTGTGCCACATGATTACTACTGTGCTAATATACTTTTCTTGTTCCATATCAAATCTTAAAAGCATCCCGCCCGCAAAAAGAAAATTAAAAACATAGCAGGAAAATAAGGGGGGAAAACGAAAAACAAAAGTCACATGGACGGTCCAGGGTATGGATGGGTTGCAGTCAGGCCAACAAATTCACATGCCCAAACGATTTACGTGGGTCTGAGACCTGTGTGTATCAAAAATCCTTATGCAGTAAAGGAGAAACACATGTATGACGCCGCCACGTAGTGGGAAATCATACGCACATCATTTTTCTGATTGAAATAACGTTTACCCTAGTAACTTTTGAGTTGTCCCGTTTCCACGGAATATTGTTATCTAGATTTTCTCTTTTTTTTTTCCGAGAAACCTATGCGGGCTTTTAGTTTCACAATCTAGGGATAGATTCAATCCAGTTTTGTATTCACATCAGCCCCTTCTAATCCGAAAATTCAAATCTATTTTGCAATACGATTTATACGGTTTTGCTCAATCATTTTTCTTATGCGAAACATAGTACAAATGCATACGGTCAAGCTGTTATTGTTCTTCCATGCACTAGTGCAACAGAATTGGATACTAATACTATTGATCCTTTTCCTTCTTAACCTTGGCTGAACCTCACAATTATTCAATTTTCCCTGTAGAGTGATAATGGGAAAATTAGTGCTGATTATTGTCTCAAGAGTATTTTGCGTCTACTGTATTTTCCCTCTAGAGTGATACTGTCTGAATTGTATAATTGCACAGATGATATATTCAGCCAATATACAGTCTGAATTCTCATTTCTCACACACTCGAAATAGTCCATAACTCAATTAGTACCCAGTAATTTCCTTCAATTCTCCAAGTACATATACAGTTTAACAGTTTATATACAGTGCTGTTTGTTAAATGAGAAAAAGAATAAGCACAAGCAAAAGAATGCAAGAACGGCGTAGAGCATCTCGCTGACTACACCATTTGAGCCGGCAATGGCGGCGCCGCCGTGGCGAAGGCGTTGCGCCGGCAGACCGGGCAGGTGGAGTTGCCCCGCAGCCACGCGTCGATGCACCGCTGGTGGAACACGTGCAGGCACGCCGGCAGCCGCTTCGCCATCTCCCCCTTCTCCACCTCGCCGAGGCACACCGCGCACTCCGGCGCCGCCGCCGCGCCGCCCTCGCCCTCTCCCGCAGGCGGCTGCTCGTACGCGGGGATGTCGTCCGCCGTCGCCACCCGCGCGCCTCCGCCTCCGCGCACGGTCGGCGTCTCCCGTGGCTGCACGCCGTCGCGCAGGTGGCTCGGCAGGCCATCGCCGCCGCCGCCGTTCCGGCGCGGGAGCAGCGCGCGCGCGCACCGGGAGAGCGCGTCCCGGACAGGAGCCAGCGGGCGCCGCAGCGACGCCCACGGGAAGAACGCGCCGCAGAAGGAGGCGTAGACGCAGGAGCCGACGGCGACCCAGAGCGCCAGGAAGAGGGAGAGCACGACGAGGGACCCCGCGTCGCCGCCCGTCCGCGACACCTGCACGATCCCGTAGACGATCATCGCCGCGCCGCCGATGCACACGCCGTTGGCGATCGCCAGCATGTAGCACCGCACGAACCAATCCATGGCGCGCCGCCCCGGCCGCCCGCCGCCGTACGTCGACGACGAACCACGGGCGCGGCGGCGACGCGATGGTCGCGCGTGTGGTTTTTCTTGGGGAATTTGGACCTTACAGGGGCGAGGTCTCGTGGACGCCAGCAGCGTCGATAGCGATTTTTGCCGCGAGATTTCGTAGTTTTTGCGCTATGTCGCAGCGACGCTTGCCTGGGGTAGGCTTGAACTGTGCGTGTCTTTTACTCGGCTAAGCCATCGCACAGATCGTCTTATGGGGGATTAATTTTTGGTTCAGAATTCTTGCAGAACAAGAAGCACTGGTTAATCTGTGAGCCGATGACAATATACTACTGCTCCGAAACATGGGTCGTTGACATTATATTCAGCTAGCGGTTGATGATAAGTTTTGTAGTTTCTCTTGTGGATTGACTTTGTATCATTTTATTAAATAAAAAATTGAACTTTGTCGATTTATATATAAACTAGGAAGGTAGCCCGTGCACATGCACGGGCACCTTGTTTAATGCTGATTTAGTTTTTCGAATGTTTAATTTTTTTAGATATACTGATTTTATTAGTCTTGCTAAAATGTTTAAATGTTTCTATTTAGAATTAATAATTTTTGGTTCAATTTTCATTTCCTTTCATCTCTTTTTTTTGGGAGAATTCCATTCTATGAAACATCCTTGAAATGCTTTGATCCCTGTAATTCGGGATGAAAATATGTGGGTTGATCCTATAACCCGGCATGGGGTAAAGGTATCCATTCTAAATTATCTCTCTCCAATTAAGTAAGAAAATTTTAAATAAAGGTCATAGTTTTTTTAGCAAATTACCACTAAACTGGAGTGTCATATAAAAATACACGCTTCTAGAATGTTCTATGCTAAATGTCAGGAATTCATGATGTACCGTATCAAGTTTAAATGGACATTTTTCTTATTCCTATATGGAATTAGCTTATATATTGCTAAGGCGACGTCATGGTTATTTCAATGTTAAGATTCCTTAGTGCAACCAACGTGCTCTGTACGATCAATATGATATTCAACTGGTTACGCGACTTCATATATCACATATATAATTTAGATGCTATGATCATCTTAAGATTATTTATTTATCTCTTAAAAAGATCATTTATTGATAAAAGATCAATATAGGAATGTATGGGTAAATAGCTCTTATATACATGCTGAGGGAAAAATATAATTAAGTAGATAGAAAGTCATTAGATGTCTAATGGAATATAAGTAATGGGTCTACCAGTTTTATGAAAAATTAAGGTGGGATATTTTGATTTTTAGTGAGAAATTTTAGAATTTTCTTTTATTTAGTGGAGGCCTCAATATGGATGTGGGTCTAGAATGTAAATTTTTGTTAGCAAAATATAGTCCATATGGGTATTAAATTATTGATTTCACATAAATAATATGGTAATTCAAACAGATCATAAGGGGCATAGGGATAGCTGGCTGGACCTAATATATGGAGGTTAAATTGTGGTCTTTTCTTTGCCCATAAAGATAATTTTAATTTTAATTGTTATAGAGATGGAATAAATAGAGAAAAGTAATGCCGCAGGAATAGGGATGGAGGGAGGGTTGGGATGTTTCTTTTCTTTAAAAAAATATTTATTTAATGATATGAAATAATGTGTTGATGTTTAAGTCAAAACCGATGGCCGGATGTTTTTTTTTTCTCAGATTTATTAGGACTTTCTGTAATTTAAGCGAGATTAGTAGCAGCTTACTAAAGCATTTACGTACTTTAATGTCCTAATTGTTTGGGATTTTTTTTTAAAAAAAATCTAATAACAACGTAAAATAATGTGTCCATCGATTTAAGTGGAAACTAATGGTTGAATGTTTCTATAATTTAAAAGTGCCACACAACTGTTAGAGAGATTTATAGTATGTTTAGTGGACATATGATGTATTTTTGTGGGTCTTTTTTTTTTCCATAAAGATAATTTTAATTTTAATTGTGATTACGATGAAAAAAAAAGAAAGCAATACTTGTGTGCTGCACGGAGGCGCGGCGTTGAGAGGTTTTGGTTTTTAAGATACATCTAACATTCTAAAATAATCGGTCCACTGATTTAAATAAAAATGGATGGTCAGTTTTCTCTATTTTATTAAAATACCATGTGGTGGCTTGGGAGTATTTTTAGGGTGTCACATGACGGCTTAGGAGCGTTTATAAAAAGTTTAATAAACTTTTAATATGTTATAGATAGATATGAAGATAAAATTAGGGTGCGTAAAAAACAATTAGGATATGATTATTTGATTTTAATTATTACAAACTTGACAAATGAATCTATTTGACTTTTTAAAACAATTGGCACCTTATATAAATTGTCAAAATTTTTGTGGCGTTAGGATTTGAAATATTTTGAATTTGTCCATTGATGAAAGAATATGAATTTTAATTGTAAATTCAAATTTTATCTTTGAGCTACGTAGGATATATAATTTATTGACAGCGTCCTGTATATAGGAGATATAATTTGCTAGTCCCGTAGGAGTAACTAATCTGGCTTGCCTTTGCTTAGAGATAGATTTGGTATCTTATATGGAAGAAGCATCAAACTAATCTACATAAGATGGATGCATCGTGCGGGAATGCACATGTGGGCCCTCGCTTTCTATACACACAGATACACGATACATTGAGTGGGGCTGCAAATGTGGGTCCCTATATATATCTTGTTGTGCCATGTGGCAGCTTGAGATCGTTTTGAGGATGTCACATGTCAGCTTGAGAGTGTTTATAGGAAATTTAATGGACTTTTAGTATATAATAGATAGATAGAAGATAGATAGATAGATTTGTTGGAACTGAAAAAACTAGACAAAAAAAATTGCAGAAAGGAAATAATGTGAGGCAATCAATAATTAAGTAATCATGCGTATACCGTGGTATGCGGGCGGCCAGTACAGTACTACTGCATGCATGGCACGTACATGTCCATTAACTAATATCGCTATCACGTACTAGCTATACGTACGTAATACGTACACTACGCAGCATAAGAGGATGGCAGAGAGAGGACAGCGATAGCATACATATGCATGCAAATCGACCGGCCGGCCATCAGATCTGATGAGACCGGCTGATGAGAGCAGAAAGTTTAAATTGCATTGGTCGGAAAATGTATTATTGCATATGCATGCATGCATGGACCGTTAAAATTAAAGTTTGGTAGATTTGTAGTACTAAGTTTCTAAAAAAAAAGATAGATATATGTACTACTACTACCTTAATTATAATGTGAGACGACGACGCTATAGCTTAATGCATGAGGTGTGACTATAGGAGTAGTTGTGATCAGTGTAAGTTAAGGCTGTCGATTTGCAGGCAGCAGGCCGGCCAGGGGCGCCCCTGTTTTGTTGGTAAGTTAATTAAGCCGCTCCCTGTGCCTTTTGGATACATGTAGTAATACGTCATAGTGTAATTTGTACCTGATCTGATGCATCGATCAGTAACAAAGTTAACATGCTGCATACATGCAGGACATATGAAAAGTGAGAAAAATATACCGAGCCTACTTGTAGAAAAAAATAATTTATACAAGCGGCTAATGAAATTCATTTTCAAATTAAGACAGGTGTAGGTCGCTTGGTGGAAATGGAGCAATTTCCACATATATTGCCGAACCTGTTGCTGTATCTCTCAAAGAAAATAGTCGTAGTAGTTAATTCAGAGCATGCACAAGCTAGCCTGGTCGATCAGTGTGTGAATGAACTCTGAACTTGAATATATTAATTAATTATCCCCTCCACGTACGCGTATGTATACATACGCTGTACGGTGGTGGTGTAGACTATACGCGTACGTATACTTGAGAATACACAATGGACTAGTACTACTCTAGCAGCGCAGCTAGCTAGAGCGAGGTCAACTGGCGGATCAATGTGTTCCACATGTAACGAGACGACGATACGATGCGAAAGGTATGTAGGAAATCCGTACTCCTAGCTATACCCCTAGGTGTCTGCATGCTAGAACGAAGTCGATCAGTACGCGATAACGAACATGCGAAAGATAACCTCTGTTTTAAAATATAACAACCGAAAATAATGTACGACATGTAATAATAGTTCAAACAAATCTGGATATATGAAATGTCTCATTTTATTTCTAGGTTGTTACTCCCTCCGTTTCACAATATAAGTCATTCTAATATTTTTCACATTTATATTAACTAGAAAGGTAGCCCGCGTATTCGCGCGGGCATGTATCATAGGTTGTGTTCAAACACTATAACGACGTAATATAAATTGGAGAACATTTCCATAATATATTTACCATAAAATAGACGATAGATTTTAATATACTACTAATGTGATAAGAATGTCCCTCGAATTTAAATAAAAATTCCTTTGTCCTGGTCATATATAAACTGGTTGTTTCTCATCATTACTTACTATCATTGTTTTAAGAGTTAGGTGCACTTTTAATAAATGAAACTATATTAGTACCACTAAAATAAATGATACATTATTGTTACATTATAAAAATTCATCACTTATTTTCACATCTATGTATAAATAGTCTAAATATAACATATCTACCGAATAATACGATAACATCTTTAAAAATAAACATGAATACCTCTCTAACGGATGAAGTCAAATGTATCTGCCAACCAAGGCTTTCATATGTAATGCCTTGAAACATATAGGTTCCGCATCGATGTAGCCATGCCCTAAAAAAACATCATAGAGTACTATTTTAACACTTAGTTTACTATTGGTACACTCACAAATGATTATATTGATAAGTCTATCACTTTAGTTACATTGTCTATGGTGACCTTAACTCAACAATGTGCATGCCCATACAATATTTACGATAGCATAGCAAGTACTGCACTTTGCATTAAAGGACAAAAAGGGACAGAAAGAAGAAGGAGGTGATTGAAACAATTTTTTTTTAAAGTTTCGAGTCGATTTGAGGTAGAGAATAGACAATGTGTATATGAAGTTAGTAATAAGTGCTTCTCAAATTTTAATGCAATACAAACAGTATTATGTTTTTCAAATGAGTGGGGTTAATCATTCGGCACTACTTAGAAAAAAAAGCTATAGCTAAAGAGACGTACCACCATGAAAATCTACAAAACACCATATCTTTATTTATATTTTGATAAAGATTCATCCTTTAGTGCTAGATTTTTTTTAACATATATTGTTTATAACTAAATGAGACTCATTTACTAATTGTAATAATGTACTTATTTTCACAAACTTATTTACACTATCTAATTCGCTAGAGTGCACTTATTGCTGAGTTTCAGTGGTGTATGACATTCATCCATCAATTATACCCGCTATATTAGAATTTCTATCAATTAAAAAATATAATATAAGTAGTTTTATGCATGTTTTATTGGATTATTCATTTTTTCCAATACTATTTGGCAAAGAACATACATAATTCTCGTGATGAATTACGGGTTGTATTGTAGCAAAATAACTGTCTAAAATCTTATTTATTTATTTTTTCATATCTATCCATCTTGTATGCTTCTCACTCCTCAAATAGCAATCAAAAAGGTTTGAAAAACTTTCAGATACTTTTAGAATCTCAATCTCACCCAAAATAAACCTAAAAAGGTCTACTTAAAAACCAAAGCTAAATTATATTTTTTTATTATCACTGGCTAAAATTTAATTTAATTTTTCTCATCTATCTATTATTTGTGCTTCTCACACCTCAAGTAAGAAAATTTTTGAAAACTTCCAAATACTTTGAGAATCTCAATCTCTCCTAAAATTAAATAAACCTAAACAGATGTACTTAAAAAACAATGATAGGTTTTGTTTTTTTAATTTTTACACATGTAGATTAAAATTAACGTTGTATATTTTTGTCAAGTGATATTTGACACTGTAAAATATGATATGAAATTATTTGAAACATTATTATCGTATTAACTATTACATGTTAGCATCATTTTTCATGATATATTTATCACTATAATAAGTTTATATTAAGTTTAATTGTGCATATATGTGTAGTATTATTTTTAATAAAATCGTAGATTAAAGGCTGTTGACAACAAATCAGTGCCGACACTGATGATTTTTCCTGATTAGTATATATTTCCGATTTTACTATGTACCTATGCATGTTTTCTTGTTCTTTTTTGGCTTTATTTTTTTTTATAGTATATGATGTAGGTATTTAAGTTTTGTTTTTTTTCCGGGAGGGAGACGATCGTATGACGTAAGCGCATTATGTTTTTTCCGGGATAGAGATTAGCATCATGGTATTTTTAAGAGCTCTAATCCATTGTTTAAAATAACAGGTCCACTAATTTGAGTGAAAACTGAAGGTTGGATGCTTTTCTTTTTTTATTCTGAATTTCTAGGATTTCTGTAATTTTATTAAAGCGCCACGTGACAATGTAGAAGCATTTGCAGTACGTTTAATAGACTTTTAAGTATATAATAGATTTCTAGGATTTCTCTAATTTATTTGAGAGCCACGTAGCAGAGTAAAAGAGTTTGTACAAAGTTTAATGTAATTTTAGTATATAATAGATAGATTTAGAAGATGGTTTAAAGAACATTGATTGGATATTTATTATAGATCTTAATTTAACTAAATATATTTATACATGTGAAGTAATATATTTTATCTTTATATTGTAGAAAATCATATTTTAAAAACGGTTGATTTTTATGGATGTATGTTGTTTGTGTCTTTTTTATGTACAAGTGTATGGTTTTTTTTTCTTCCAGCGAAGGTTAAGAAAGCTTGATCATTTTATTTTCAATCATGTACGTTTGTATGTTACGGAAAGAACATCAGTAACGTTTGTATCGTACAATCTCATACATACGAACAGTAGCAGCTAGCGTTTGTATGTTATAAACATGTGGAAGTTATTATTTTTTTAATAATAGATCTAATCTAATGGTGTAAAATAACGGGTCCACCAATTTAAGTGAAAATCAACGGTAAGATTAGATAGTGCCATGTGGCGACTTAGGAGTGTTTGTAGGAGTGCCACGTGGCGGCTTTAGAGCGTTTGTAGGAAGTTTAATGGACTTTTAGTATATAATAGATAGAAGATATTGCAAGAATGTGTCTTCGTTTGCCTTTTATTTTGTGCTGGTGTCTATCTTAATAATTTTATTTGTTTTCTGTGTGTTTTAGATTCCTATATTCCAAACTAAGACATATAATGTCCTCATGAACAATTTCAGTGTGTTTTTCTTGTGTAATCGGAATCAGTTCAATCTTTGTTTATGTACATTTTATAAGGCATCAACAAACGAGATGTTTCTAGGTGGTAATAAAAAATATGTATTTCACCGGCAAAAAAAAAGGGAAAAAAAACCCCCCCGAGAGGTCACACCATTTGGGCCGGCAATGGCGGCGCGGCGAAGGCGTCGCACCGGCAGACTGGGCAGGTGGAGTGGTCGCGCAGCCACGGATCGATGCACCGCCGGTGGAACATGTGCAGGCACACCGGCAGCCGCTTCACCATCTCCCCCTTCTCCACCTCGCCCAGGCACACCGCGCACTCCGCCGCCGCCGCCGCCGCGCCGCCCTCGCTCGCCGCCGGCTGCTCGTACGCGGGGATGTCGTCCGCCGTCGCAACCCGCGCCCCCCACCTCACCGGCGGCTCGCGTTCCAGCACGTACATGTGCGGTGGCAGAGCAGAAGCGGACGAGGAGGTGCTCGTCGCCGGACGCCGCCGCCGCCGCCGCGCGCACCGGCACGGCAGGCAGAGCAGCCACCGGGCGGCGCTCGGGAGCGGCGCGAGGCACCGCCTCAGCGCGGACCACGGGAAGAGCATGCCGCAGAAGACCGAGTAGGCGACGGCGTTGATGCTGACCCAGAACACGAGGAAGATGGCGAGCGCCACGACGCCGCCCTTGCTCCCCGGCGTCCGCGCCAGCCTGACGAGCTGGTAGACGAGCAGGCTCGTGCCGCCGATGGACACCGCGTTGGCGATGGCCAGACCGTACACGCGGAAGCAGCACTCCATGGCCGGCCGGCGACGGCGACGGCGAGTGTTCGATCAGTAGCTAGAGCTCGCCGCTCGCCGCTCGCCGCGGACGCGGGCTCGCTGGTTTGTGTTGTAATCGATTTGGGGGAAGGACTAGTTAAGCTAAGCTAGGCTGCTGCGACCTGCTTCACCGGTCGGAATTTCTCCGGAATTTGTAAGGTAAGTTGTGAGAAAATTACGTCTCGTATCGAGGAAAAAACAAGAAGATGGTTTGATTTGCTGTTGTGCACTTTGATTATTTAATACTATGACATTTTAATTACACGTCTGATACACGTAACGAAGTCTGCGTGATGGCGGAACTTATGATTTTTTTTTTGGGGGCCATTTTCAGCATTTGCGGCTACTAACATTGCATTTATTCAAGGCTATCTTTTTTTTTTAACGAATGGGTAAGTTGCCAATTTCATTGAACTAGTAAGATAGCCCGCGCATTCGCGCGGGCATGTATCGTGGGCTGCGTTGAGAATAAATCATATTAATTAGATAGCCTATGCCATCTTTCAGAAGTACGTTTTCTCGACAAATATTCTTGGTCAACATCACCTTGATAATTTCTCTAAGTTATATACTATATAATATTCAATTCATCATCAGTATAACCAATTATCTATAATCTTTATCATTATATAAAAAATAGTAGACTTAGTTTGTTTAAAACATATTTAACAAATTAACTGAATATTAAAACCAGGGTGGTTTTATTTTCATTAGTTTTGGGGGTTGGTGAAAAAGTAAGACATAGCTAAACTCATTGTTCATTTTCCCCTACCGTACGGTTTTCTCACAGCTCCTAGTCGTTGTGTCCTACAACTGAGATGTGGTTGTTGCACCTATGGAGGTTTCCTTGTGATTTATCATAGTGGTGATCTCATTTTTTGTCAAGCTTAGTTAGTCACTTTTCATGTTTTTGGTATATCCTAAAGTCTAAATGGACTCCAAAGTTAATGCTTCAAGTGTATATTCATAGACCATTAATGCTCATATAGTTGATTCACCTTTTGAATGGTCTATGCACAAAGAAAATAAACAGAGTTACCGGGAAGGTGTAGAAAGCCATAACCACACGAAATGTTAATTCGATGGTAACATAGTTTAGAGCAAATACACGAAAGATCATTTAGCTTGCTTGCATTATTTCAGCACATTTAAAAAAAATTCACGAAATAATTGGAGTTTGTTTTCTCTAACTATGGGCATTGGATTTGCTATGCATTGGTAGCTTGGACTATTTACTTAGATAGTGTTTATCTAATTTAGCTATGCAAGTTTGCAAAAACAACATATGATGATGTAACCTGTGTTGTTGGATTATTTCATAATTCTTTTATGGCAATTCCAATGACATGTAAAAGGGCAGGGGTGTTCACCCTAAAAAAATAGTTTTATAGTTATACTATTGATTTAATTTAGCTTGTTTGCAGACTGGTGTATAATGACATAATATATGCAGCCAATTTGTTTAAAGTATTTCAATTTTATTTGTATGATATACAAAGCATGTGGGTCGAATATGGGCGAATGACATACTTTGTATATAAGAAAATATAAGCATACGGATCTTAAATTCTTGGTTTAATTATAAATAGAGCAAAAATCAGACGTGCACCTTAAATATTATGGTTTTTCTAATATATAAATTATTGATTATATATTTATTGTTTAATAGCTAAAAATAGGGAGGGGACATGTAGTGGTATGTGCATATGAGTAGGCGAGGAGGTGCATGCGATTTATTTTTCTAACATTTATAAATAATGGAACTTAAAACTGACGCTGATAGGTTTCATTTTGTTCAGAATTTATAAGATTATTTCTGATTTTTAGGACATGACACATGGCGAGTTTAGAGCGTTTGTAGAATGCCACGTGGTGACTTGAGAACGTTTGTAGTGATAGATAGATTGGTTCAATTTACACTATATGGAGATTTTCTATTTTCTATGTTATTTTATACAAATCTTATTTTCAGTTCAAATTTTACTATGTGATACATAGTGATAGTGTTACACCTTATGTGTCATTTTTTTAAAAATAAATCCAATAATCTTTTATCTTTAAGCAGTAAGATTGATATAGATTATCATTGTTTATTAACAGATAAATTATATGGGATATGAGGCTACAGATAGATTGAGATAGATCCAATTAATGGATTTACCGTTTTGAGTTATCTATATTTAAACATAAATATAATCTTCGTGAACCAAAATAATATATTTCTTCTACTACTTATTATTTAAATCTTACTAATTAATTATCCGTGTTTCATGATGTTCTAATATAAGCTACGTGCTATCAATCAAGTGTTTTAAACTCTATATAATTTCCCTAAAAATTGTGTCTCGAGTGTTCAATAGCTAGTCCAAAGTAACATATTTCTTTTACTCGTTAAATATAGTTAATTTGGGTCTTGAATTATGCAACAAACGTACGTGCAGTGCATAAAAAATAGTTATATGATTTTAGATTGTATAGTCATATAATATGTTTTCAATCTACCACATCACCAAAATAGGAGAGATAGGAACAGAAGGGTCATCAAAATAAGAGAGAAAGAAACAGAAAGAAAGGAGGGGCCAATACATCCACATACGTGCGTATGGTGGCATGGCGTGCGTACTACACGTACAGGTCGGAAAGGAGAGGAATGTGGGCCTTTCAATTTTTTTATTTTTTATGGTAGAAAGTAATGGGTCCACCATATTTAAAGGAAAATAAATCTAATTTATTAGAGTGCCATGTGACAGTTTAGGAGCGTTTGTAGGAGTTCTATGTGGCGGCTTAAGAGTGTTTGTAGGAAGTTTAATGGACTTTTAGTATATAATAGATAGATAGAAGATAGGGTAGGATTAAACTTTACAAGTGTGAAAAAAACAAGACTCAGGACCTTCGGTCCGAGCAATTAAAAAGAAATCCAACTACCGAGTTCTCTCGCGCCTACCAAGGACCACGATTTTGATTTTAGACAGAAGGCTACCCATTTAGAGCTCCTTTTGCTGAAAGGTTCTGCGGCAGATTCAAGGCTATCTTGTACACTTAGAAATGGTTTAATTTATATATTTACAACGCGTACTTTGATCTGGAGCTTAATTTCTGGCCCTCTTCTTTGCGACGGATCAGGATCGTGGGTCCACTGCAGAGGATCTCAGTCCCTTTGCGATATCCCCCACCACCACCACAACACACACACGGCGCGTCTCACACAATATGTGGAAAATACCTACATGGTTTTAAATTTAAAAAATCCATTTTTTTTCTCAAACAATTTTATTTGACCGCTTAACCCTTAAATTATTTAAAATGGCTCATTTTACTTCCTAATAACATTTCTCTTTTTATTATTCTCTTTATAGTACAATTTTATAGAGCCATAGATGTCACTGTAATCAATGTTCAAAAATATTTTTAATTTTTTTTCACTATAATGCCTGCAATTTCGTTTTCTTCCTCTTTTAATTGTAACGTCTGCAATTATTTACACCTACGTGGATCATCTTTTAGCAACAAATTTGCAAAATAAGTGTATTTATGTAGATAAAATGTACTACATGACACTTAAAAAATGTTATTTTTCACAAAGAGACACCACATTATGTGACTTCGCAAAAAGAGGTGGGCAACTAAATAATCCCTAAACACTGTTCCTGATGCGAAATTCAATCTGTATTTTGTTGAATAAGGGCCATTTTTCGCGAACGCAAATAAGGGCTATTTTGGTTTGATAAAAAAGTGCCTTACCAATTTATTGGTAATTTGAATAGCAATACTGTATATTTGGCTTAAAGCCAAATCGTTGACAATGCCAATGATCAATTTGGCATTAATATTGAACTTTCCTCTCCGTATCATCAAATATTTAGTTTCATATTGGTATCAATCTAAATATGTGTAATACATTATACATCTCTATCCATCAAAATATTGATAGTGTCAAAATTTGCCAAAAATTTAACACCACCAAAGATTTAGTAGGGTAGAGAACCAAACAACTCGGAAGCACCACTAATTTCACTTGACATGAGATGCAGATGTTCTCAGCTGCAATATCTTAAGCCTTTTCAATGTGACCGCTAATTCTTTGTGCCAGACTGCCAATCTAACCAAACGCATCAATTAATAAGGGTTAGAATTGCCGAGTCATTGTCTGTTGCTTAATTTACCCCTTTGCTAGTAGTAGACACGGGAGGACAAAGTTTGCCTCTTTGCATTAATTTACATTTCAAAGATGGCCAATTAGCAGGAGTAATTCGGTTCCAAACTTTTCAATTGACATCCTCTAACGTAAAATTAGATTAGCATGGTTACTGATATTTGAGACCCATCACTTACAGGCCCATGTATCAGTGACCACATCAGTTAAAGACATTCTGTCAGAGGAACAACTCTATCCCAAACTTTCAATGCACAATTGTTCTTGTGTAGACGTCACTGTACCTGTATCTCTCTAGGATCATCAATCGATGCTTAATTAATCAGAACTACCATGATGGCATGATGTACGACAATCACTTCTCATGTCAGTTATTACGGAGTCACACCGGCGGCAACGTGTCAGCCGGTAGCTGCTGCGCCGCCGCCGCGGCGGTGGCCGTCGACGTGGCTGTGGCTTTCACCACGATGGTCGCCGGCGGCGAGACGTTGCACCGGCAGAGCGGGCACGTGGAGTGCGAGTGCAGCCACATGTCGATGCAGCCCACGTGGAACAGGTGCCTGCACGCCGGCAGCTGCCGCACCATCTCGCCGGCCTGGACGTCCTCCAGGCACACCGAGCACAGCGCGCACCTCCCCGACTTGCTTCCGCCGCCGCCGCCGTCGTCGGCCGCAGGGCGCGCGTACGCGAACGCCGGGAGCGCGTCGATCGCCGCGCCGACGAGCCCGCACGTCGCGCACGCCGCCGCCGCGGGCGCCCTCGCCCGCGCCTCCTCCGCCGCCGCTGCTGTCGTCGGCAGCGCCGCCGGAGCCCCGCCGGCATCCCCGCACCACCGCGAGACGCAGCCGACGGCGCAGAACAGCACCGCGGCCGCCGCGGCGAACACGCACGCCTTGGCGATGCTCACCGTGGCGGCGAGCACCGACAGCAGCAGCAGCGACGCGCAGACCATGACGACGGAGTAGCACGCGAGGTACCCACCATCCCCGCCGCGCTGGCTCGCCGCCGGGCGCCGTTCGCCGTTAAACATCTGCAGCCTTCAGCTGAATCACGAGCTCTGAGCAGTGAGCGCGTAGTACGCCATGGAGCGGGCGCTCTCGGTGGCAAGAAATACCCGGTCGTGGCGCGCCGGGTGCGCGCTCTCGGCGTCGGCGTCGGCCCCGCGGCGCGGCCGGTTTTAAGGTTTCTGGCCCGAGGTATTCGCGGCTGATGGGCCGCAGATTTGGTCGGCGGCGTTAAGGAATCGTGGTTTAGATTCTTGGCTGATCGCCTAATCGAGGGATAATGATAGTTTGGGAGGTGATCATTGATGACACGTAGGAAGGCCACTACTTGTGGTAGCCACTAGAGTCCACATACAGGTCCAACACGACAGGTCCATTGGTCGTTGAGATATTTTCCCCAATAGGCTATCAGCAAAATTGCATAATCCACCTAGAAAATCACTTTCGTTTTAAGATTTTGTCCAATAACCCATTTTTTTGTTACTGAAGCTCACCATCCAACACATGTAAGTAGCTGATTTAGGCCCATTTTATTCTGATGTGGATTCACAACGGATCATATCAGACACGTCTGGCTCATCCAGCGTGGCTATGATGTGAGTCTCACTCAAGCTCGTTCTCAGGCTAGCTTGGTGGGAAGACGTGGGTTGAACGCTGAGCTGATCGAACGGCGGTGATTGGCGGCAAATCCACATTGGAATAAATGACATGAATCAACTAACTACTATGTGCATGAAAGGGGCTAATTTCGCCTCGACAGTGTTGGATAGGTAGACTTTTAATCAAAATGAGTTACGCGGTGAAATCTTAAAACTAGAGTGATAATTAAAATGGTCTATGCAATTTTGTTAGGCTATTTAGCGAACGTCCGCCGGTTAGTCCCTTATAGCAGTGGACACGCTTCATGATGGTTAGGTTTTTTTTTTTTTTTTACTTTACAACGATTTTAGATAATTGTTGTCAAGATTTAAGAGTCCGTAGCTATATAATAAAAAAATAACAGTTAAAAGATAGAAATTCCAGCTTTTTAAAACTTTGTCACTAACTGCTCCTTGAAATTTCCAGCTCTCAAAAGACATAGATTTTGTTTCCACTGGAAACCAAATCATGATGAAGTGTTTTGTAACCTTGCATAACGAAGCTCTTTTCTGTTTTCCTTTTAGAAAGTTCGAGATTGTGGTGCCCGCTGGTTCTATGTAGATTACATCTTTGCGTGCTTGATCCTCTCACGTGCTCAATTTATGTAAAAGAATGACAACTAGTAAAATTGTTATTATTATAACATAGCACTATGACCATGCTACTAACCTTCGATTGACACATCAAAATGTAGCTTCTCTTGCTCTATTTTGTTGAATTATTAGGGTGTATAAACTAATAAAATGGTCAGTAGGTGTGTGCCTTTAGACTTCCCAGCAGGTTTACAAAACCGATCATAATCACGCAGTAATCACTATGTATGGTAACGGTAAAACCATAATAACCCTATCAAATTTAAATAAATTTATAAAATAATATAAATTGTTATAAATTTTGTATGATTACTCACGTTTTGCATGGTTACTGTATGGTAGCTGCACTAACCGTCAAGGTATGGTAAACTCGTGACAATAAGGGAAGCCTGCTTCATTGACATAGTGCTGAGGTCAACATATTTTAAGAAATTACTATGTTTATCAAGAAAAGTACTACATTTTCTTAAAAAAGTTTATCCATATATTTCCTTTGTAGTGTGATAACTTTGCTTGCTTGAGCTTCCCACGTGCTCAATTTAGGTAACATGAAAATTGTAAGTATTTATGTGGTTGAAATGAGACATATAAAAATTAACTAGTTGTTACACTCACCTTTGTGTGCTTAACAAATTGTCAAAATTACGCCGATAATAAATATATCCAACACTATCAAAATTTAATAATGTCAAAATGGGTTAAAACTTAACATTATCAAATTTTAATAGGGTTGGAAGTGGCTACCGAGTGAAGAAGCCCTTTGATTCACCTAGTGAACTACCTTAAAATGTACAGCACCAAACTACAAATACTCTGAAAAATATATACAACAATTTACTGAAAATAAATGAGAAAGAAAAGTAGTTTTTGTTCTTTTTTCTATCAATGATCACAGCTACAAGCTCCTATCCTGAATAGTCCTCTTGAGAATATACAGAAATCACACGACACAACCAATTTGGCCTGCAAATACGCATGACAATCAATTCCCCTGTTCTAACACTACAATGTACAATCCAAGATTCCTTCTTTCCTATCGAAAACGAAGGCGAAAGCTACACCGGCGGCAACGCATCGGGATCTGCATACGCCGACGTCGATTCGGCGGCTTGCGCCGGCGGCGGCGGGGCAGGTTTCGCCGCCGGTTTCCGCGGCAAGACCTCGCAGCGGCAGAGCGGGCAGGTGGTGTGCGAGTGCAGCCACATGTCGACGCAGTCCCTGTGGAAGAGGTGGCCGCACGCCGGCAGCCGCCGCACCGTCTCGCCGCGCGCCACGTCCTCCAGGCACACCGCGCACAGCACGCTGCCGCCGTGCTTGCTCCCGCCGCCTCCGCCGGCGCCGCCCTCCGCGGGGCCCTCGAACACGAACGCCGGCAGCGTGGCGATCAGCGCCGCGCCGACGAGCCGGCACGCGCACCGCGTCACCCCCGCGGCGCCCGCTCCCCGCCCCCCGCCCCCCGCGGCGGCGCCGGCGCGCGCGGGCGGGCCCCCCGCGCCGCACAGCGGCACGAACCACCCGATCACGCCGAACAGCAGCACGGCGAGCCCCGCCACGGCGCAGGCCTTGGTGACGCTGACCGACGCCGCGAGCACGCAGAACAGGAGCAGCGACACGCACGCCACGGAGACCCCGTAGCACGCCCGGCACTCGTAATCATCATCTCCCCCGCCGCTGCCACCGCCCACCCTCGCCGCCGAGCGCCGGGCCGCCGCGACACCGCTCATGATAACGCAGCTCAGCTGACACCTTCACAGTAACAAGCAAAACAGTAGCAGCGACGCTCGGCTTGCTCTCGTCATGGGGGCGCGCGCGGCGGGGGAAGATATAGGTTGGCGCTGGCGCGGGGGGGAACGGATTGGGGTGTCGGGGTACAGCGGCCGGAGTTAGTTAGGGGAGGTGGGAACCGGGAGCGCGCGGGGTGGTGGTGGTGGTTTGGGCACAGCCGCACAAGGTTTAGGGGTGGGGTGGGGTGGGGTGGGTTTTCCGCTTACCGGATGACGGCGATGGCCGCAGTTTTGGACTAGGGAGGAATGTGTCGCGGAATGCAGTGCCTGTGTCGGGCCGTCGGGACGGGAGCGCGACGGTTTCGTGTCGGGATGTGGCGCTGATGGTCTGGTCCTGGTGGTTATCTGCAGTTGGGTGATGTCGGCGCGACGGCGGCGGGGCGGGGGATCGTGCGTGTCAGGTGTACACAAGCGTGTTTTTTTTTCGCTAATCAGCCGTTGCCAAAATTTAAAAGGAGTTTAACTGGTTTTTTTTTATTTTGGAATCAGACTAACTGGGTTTATATTTTAGATTTGACAGGTGCTCGTATTTACGGCTAATTATTTTTTTTAGTGATAGATGACGGATCCATCGACAGCGACACACTTATGGTGACTTCGTTAATATCAAAAATATGTCGGTCAGTCTTTCGGAGATGTTTATAGGGGTGAGTATGCACATGTTGTAAACGTATGTCTTTGTACTATGTTTCTTAAAAAAAAAAAAGCTGTACAATTCATTATCAACATTTGGCCAATTGTTGGGGCTGAGGATTTGGTACCTTCGGTTTTGGTTAGGATTTTCACTTCGGATACATCAAGTGATGGGACACGATTTGATTACGTGACGAGCAGTTCCAATATACTGTTATAGGGTTAAATTAAGGTTTTTAATTAAAAGAGGAACTCTATACAACATTCGAAAGCACAAATATCTTGGTTGATCTTCTTAATTTTGGATAGGCGTTGTTGGGCGTGGGTGAGGATTTTCTTTTGAGTAGTATTGAATGATATTGACGGCTGTCCATTGGATTAAGCTAAACTATTGGCCTTAGAGGGAGTTAGGCTACGTACAATACATTGACGACAGGGTATAGTAGTAGTTAGCACTGCGGCAAATATATGTTAGTCCAGTTAGCTGCAAGCTATAAAAACTATCAAATCCCTTCCACCATCAGATAACTGAACAAGTGAACTTTAGTAACACATAACCATAACTTTTATACTTATTTTGTTACATAACACTGACAATTTTATTTTTCCCTATTTTGATGTCAAATACAGTATTGATTTTATTCTTGTTTTTTAGGTTTTTATTTTTGCCCCTAGTTATTTGAAACGAAGGAGGCACCTATCCTGTTTTTGACGGAAGTTAGTGCATGTTGAATTGTTGAGCTAAAACAATCGAAAAAGGAAATAATAATTTTGCAATTTTCTGATTGACCTCTGTACCCCTAGTGAAAGAAGAAAGAAGGGACCAATGTGGTCAACCGGCTTTGACGCTATTTCCCTGTTACCGACCCTAGAGAGGCGATGGCGGCGACTCATCCAGGCAGCAGCAGGGAGCATGCTTCAGCGGCGGCAATGACTCTGTAGGTGAGTAGGAGCAGGCAATGCCACAGCAGTGGCGACCCAGTGAGGTGACGGGGAGCAAAAGGCGTGGCAGCGAGTAGTCACCTGGCGTGGTGGTGGGGAGTAGGCGGACGCGGCGGTGATTCCACCTGTTGGCGGGAGCAAACGGCCGCGGCGACTACCCTATGCGAGGAGTAGGCTATGATGGCAGCTGCTTGGCAAGGTGGCAGGGAGGAGGCAACGATCACAGTGGTTCGACGTGGAGAGGAGGCAATGGCGAGGAGGAGACATCAGCAGCGGCTCGATGTGGGGCGGAGGCGGTAGCGGTGGCTACTATGCTAGGCGGTGGGGATGAAGCCATGACGGTGGCGGCTCAGCGCCAAGAGGAGGTGACGGCGTTAGCGGTTCGACCAGGTGACTGGAAGGAGGCAACTACGACGACTTGGTGCAGGTAGGAGGAGACGACAATGGCAGCTCCTCTGCCAGGTGGTGGGAGAGGACAACAACAGTGGTGTCTCATGTAGAGAGGAGACGACGATGACGACGGCTTGACTAGGCGGTGGCGAGCTGGAGGTCGCAGCGCCACGAGGTGAAGGCCGATGGTGAGCAGGCGGCAGGGGAGGAGAACCAAGCTGCGGGGTCCTGCTCCGGCCGAGATCCCGAGACACCTACGCCCTACAAGGTTTCACCCTATATGTTAAGAAGAGTGTGAAAACACAGAAGATTTATATCTTCAAAATATTAAGAGTGTGAAGATGTACAAGATTTACATCTTATAGATATCTACACCTACACCTTCATGATGAGGATAAACTTATAAAATTACATCCATTGTAAACTCTTTCATTAATAATGTCTCTGAGAAGCTTGTTTAAAATAACGAAGACTTCCATCACTAAGCATGGAAGTGCGCTTATGGACCGGGCTCTAGCAGGGTCCTGGAGCACATCCCGGGACCGGGGGAGCCTGGAAACTCTATAGTTCAGGGTAACTAAACAAATGATTTTTAAGACATCATCTTCCTAACTGAATGAAATAAAGTAATAATTAATACAAGCTAACTCCAAACCTAACCGCTACATGTAAAATACTAACACTTTGCTAATAACAGATTAATTCATTTGCTAATATTCATGTAAAAATATTTATTTGCTAATAATGCCTGCCTGAATTTCAATTATACTTGCTTGGGCAAGCAAGCACCTGCGTGATACCAACCTTGTAATAAATTTTTCGTTTGTTGTCAGTTTCTGCATATTAGTTACGCATATTTGATGAAAACAAAACAATGAACACACAGAAAATAGGAAAACCCTGTATTTTATTAATCATGATTCATTAACATGAATATTTACAAATACATGAGGGCTCCCGCAGGAGTTCGCCTTTTGCCTTCGTGAGGAATGCTTAATAGAAAGGTATGTTGACTGGAGATTGCGTGCAGTCCACTTATTCCCGACGCCTAGCAATGAGGCAGCTGGTTAATTGCATCCATAAGACAAGCCTATGGAACACCTCCGATTAAGCTGCGCTTTGTGATCGTCGTCTTCAAAATTAATTGCTCGCCGAAGGTTGAGGTTGGTGCAGATTTAACGGCGAATATAGTAAATGTGGAACAGGTGGCTTTGTTTCGCCAAAACCCGATCATAGTACACCACCATCACGTCGGTGTACGGAGGGAATTTGGTGAAGCGAATGACCTTTGCCTCGTCGGTGCCCAGTCATGTATCCCGGTCTTCATCAATTATGGAATATGTGGTTGCCTTTGCCTCGTCGGTGCCCAGCAACGGTGTATCCGGTTCCCATCCAGTTTGGATGTGTTAATAGTATAGTGACCTAGCATTGTCGATACTCGGCCATGGTTTCATCTAGCCTCGTCGGTAATACATAAATAGAATGAGTAAATGGCTGTAGCCTTGTTAGCTTTAGCTAATATGTCGTTTGGCCTCGTCGGTTTCGGATACAACGCCTTCGTAGTTGGCGTATGTATGAGTCAAGCACAGCTCCACCAGTGCATATGCATGGGTCAAAATATATTTTAATTATGAAAACAACGCCTAGACAATCCGATCGCCAATGAGGGCCGGGTATATCTAGTACCATTGTTATTGGTATCATAGTAACTGATAGAAGATCTGATCTCCAAATGAGGGCTGGACGTCTAGTTTTAATCATAGAAAATATCAAATGGCACTCAGATGATCCAATCACTAATGAGGGCCGGACCATCCTAATGCCATTGATTATATAAATGCAGTCCGATCATAGTCATTTTTCGGCTCTCATCGATTTGACTTTAATCATCGAGATAGATTAAGAATATGTAGACGGTCCGATCACTAATAAGGATCGACCATCTGCCATGTTTAATATAGAAAATTAATGTGCTCACCGTCCAGCCCAAATGTGTTGACTAGCGGCATGTTGTCGATGATGAAGCGGCTTGACGAAAGACGCTAGCCTGCGCTGGCAGGCATTGTCTTCTGATCCTAATCTATGAGTGATATGAGATAGAGAGTCAATGAAAATAATAGTTGGGTGCCTCCTGTGGCTGTCTTCCGCGTGTCCAGCTCCAGATGGGGTATGTGCAGCAAAGGGGTTGGAAACCACATCCGAATTTCCAGCACGGGATGTTGAAATCATGCGTTAATTCTCTTGATAAGCCGATGCTCAGATGAGCTAATCCATCGACGTGCTGGAGATAAAACCAAACACACGTACTAGAGTTTGGAGATAATCATGAGATTGTCTCTGCTAATGACAGTGGCCCCACCTTTAATTTAGTTGGAAGTGCATCGGATTGATTGCTACCAACAAATCAATATAATCTATACGTAGTACTAGTCAATCTCCTTTGTTTGAACAGCTCAAATCTTCAAACCATGTATTAAATTTGAAATCTATTTGCACCACTATTTTCTATTAAACATATGCAGCGAAACGAGTCCAATATTGATTATATTTGGACATCGTATGATATTTGAATTTTCTGGTCCCACATCATAGAGACACGCTTCACGTCTATTTTGTAAAATTGACTGTAAATTAGTGCTCAATGATTTATTATCTTTTCTATGAATTTTGGTACAAAAATTCGTCAAACAACGCAAAATATAAGTTTTATGTAGCTTTGTGTGCAACACAAAATACTATGAGATCATTATCTGATTCAGACTATGTTTCTCATACAACACGAGACAGAGATTATGTCATATTCAGACAACGTTTACTGCACAATGTAAGACAATATGGAGATATATTGCCTTCTATCGTGTTTTTGAGATGTACAGCTTATTATTTTTTAAAAGATCATGCTAGAAATTTTTTACACGATGTGTTTGACCGCTTCCATACCTATAACAATAACACTCATACATATAGAGAGTACGTATGTGTAATTAAAATAATCTTCGCCTGTTGAAATGCACAGACATTTCTTTCTAGTTTATATGAAAATGCAAGTTATGGAAAAATATTAAATGTAAATCAAGATATTATTATTTAAACATTTTGAATGATTATGTCACTAATATCTCTGTCTTAAATAAATTATGTTAGTTGTTTAAAACCATTAAGATTGTTATTATTGTTTGGCATGTCTCATTTTAGACTTTGTATATTATTGTAAATGAAAATAAATAAAAAGACTAAATTATACTATGCCTTACCACAATGCCATATTGTCATGGATGATCCCGTATATATATCGGTAAATAATCGTTGGATTGGTTCCAAGTGACATACCATGCTATGCAATGCACTCCATAAGCAATTGCATATTCTGATAAACAATTCTGACTCTAAATATATACTAACTCTTTTTTTAGATAATGGAATTACTTCCGGCCTTTGCTCAACATGCTACAACTAATTATTACACTAAATCTTCCGACACTTGGGCTGAGTTTATTGGCAACCATTTCCTTGTACAGCTCAGCCCGACGCTTTTAAATAGGCCTAGTCCTGAATCCATTTCTTGGTCTTTTAAAATTCTGTACAAATATTCTCAATTTTTAAAGCATCCTAACAATAATAAACAAAATAATTCAACATAGATTTTCTTAGAATGTGCAGAACGTGTCATCATTTCTAACCCAATGAACACCCTATTGTTTTTACATATCTACACCGGTGGCAAGGCGTCATCAGCCGGCGGTGATGTCTCCGCCGCCGTGGTCTCTTCCATGGCCACGTCCCGGGGCGGCGAGAGGTCGCACCGGCACATCGGGCAAGTCCGGTGCGAGTGCAGCCACATGTCGATGCACTCCACATGGAACAGGTGCTTGCACGACGGCATCTCCCGCACCATCTCGCCGGCGTGCAGCTCCTCCAGGCACATCGAGCATGGCTCGCCGTTCCCGGCCTCAAGGTCGCCGCCGCCGCTGTCGCCCTACGCCACCAGACGTGTACATTGGTAGCACGTCCACTGCGGCCTTCTTGAGCCCAAACGGGTTGGAAGAAGTTCCCGGCGGAAAAGAGGACCAACCGATGAAGCTATAAGAAACACATGATTTTAATGTTGATATTTTTATGTTGATTTTAAGAAAACTTAATTTTATTTTGAAAAGAGGACCAAGAAACTAATGCTCAAGAGGTACGCACTACTTATGATGTGTTTCTGTTTGTACATATCATTACTGCTGCTATATCCATGTCTTGTTGCGTATTACATGTTGATAAGAAAAAAAAATTACTGCTTTTTTTGTTACTGCCAAAATTACGTCTCTTCACTGCAATAACTTATGCGTGTTACTAAGCACAAGATACGCGTTCGAGTAACAACTAGTGTGGTCTTCACCTTGTTTAAGGAAACATTGTTTGACAACATTCCTAGTGAATGAGGTTTCAGGCGCCATGGGAGCCTACATGGTGACCCATGGTAAGAACCTGTGGTCACAACATGCTTTCCAGGTTACTGCGGATCTGGAGTCTGGGCTATATGAATGCGAGTGCAAAACATGGATCACACAAGTGTGTGCTCGTTCCAGATTTATTATTGCAAATGTCCAGTCATGTTACTGCTGTTATACTCTCCGTTACTGTGACTACCATGTTGCAGGCCGCCCACATGTTGCGAGGGTGCTCTGCCATCTCCAGGTAGAAAACATACCACCAAGATATGTATTGAAGAGGTACCCGAGAAGTTCTAGGTAGAAGGGATACCACCAAGATATATATTAAAGAGGTACACAAGAAGTGTCAAGCAATGGTTGTCTTTGATGAGCACGACTACAGGAGATTTGGCTTGACAACACAAGCGAGATATACGGTCACATTGTATTGGTCAATAAGACTATTAAAGTTGTTAGAAAGGCATCAAAATCAATGCAAAGCTACGATAGGACCATGGAGGTGTTGAAGGAGTTGGATATTAATGGGATGTCACGTGAACAATTATTAAACAATGAAAAATCGAAACAAGCTGAGCACAAGCAGCCGAAAGACTACAGCAAAAGGTGCAGTGTCTGTCAGAAAATTAAAGGACATAATATTAAAACATGTCCTAGTAGAAGCAAAAGACAATTGACTTTGAATTATCTCGTATTCAGTTGATCAGGTTGTATTCAGTTGATTAGGTTGCTTGATTAATTTAGTTGTGTGGCAAAGATGTAACTCGCTACTGCACCTTTTAGATTGCAACCAAACACAGGAAAGTAAAAAAAACGCTTAAAAATGATTAACCAAACAAATAAGAAAATGGATACATTGTAATCACTTGATGTTGCAACCGTTTTTCATACCGTTTACGTTATCGTGTCCTAACCAAACGCCACATTATAAGCATTCCATATAAAGTGTTATTAATATATTGTGTACTAATCAAACATTACCTTATAAGGATTCTATATGGATTGTTATTAGCATATTTTGTACTCATTAATACTTAAAACGTGTAACATTTAAGGGATTGGTGTACACTACTCACAGTTTAAAGAGGTCAAATATATGCTCAAATCGTACAACAATATATCTAAACATTTTGACTAATTATACCACTAATATCTATGTCTTAAATAAATTATGTTAATTGTTTAAAATCATTAAAATTATTGCTATTATTTGACATATCATGTTTTAAACTTTATATATTATTGCAAATGAAAATTTATAAAACAACTAAATTTTACTATACCTTACCACTATGTCATATTGTCATGGAGGAACCCGTATATATATTCCTAAATAATCATTGGATTTGTTCCAAGTGACGGACCATACAATGCACTCCATAAGCAATTGCATATTCTGATAAATAATACTGACTCTAAAATAACCGTTTTGAAGACTGTCTTATGTAAATATGTAGAGCAATTCTACAGTCCTTGAGGAGGTACCATGAGGTAGGGGTGGATAAAAAGCTCGGGCTCGTGAGCTTGGCTCGGGCTTGGCTTGAGCTCGTAAAGCTTGGCTCGGCTTGAAAACTAAACGAGCCGAGCTCGAGCTGCCTCCATGGCTCGCTTCTAAATCGAGCCGAGCCCAAGCTGCTCGCAAGCCGCTCGTGAAGCTTGACGAGCTTGTGCAAAAAAATGGCCTGGCCCATTAACAGCTGATTTGGCCCATGAAAAACCCTAACCTCACCGTTCCTCTCCCACTCCCTTGTCATTTCCTTTCCTAGACCCCTTCTCACGCCGCCAGCCCGTCACACCGAGTCCACCGCCTTTCAACGCGCGCGCGCGACAGGCGACACCGCTCGAGGCCTAGGGCGCGACCGCGTGAGGCTCCCTGCGCCGCCTCCCTCCCCTGTGCTTTCCTCCCCAGCACCACTCGACGCTCCCTGCGCCGACCTTCCCTGACTCGATGTTGTTCATCACCTCGCCGAGACACCAACCCACCGACGGCAGTTTTCGCTGCGATGAGCCCAGGATGAAGATGTTTTGGGATGTGTTTTCTTATTTTTCTTATGCATGTAGCAATAGCATGTTGTGGTCTGTGCACTTGTGGTCTATTGGTCTTGTGATTGTGGAGCAATAGTACGTGTAGTATGTGCGTGATGAATTGATGACAGAAAGATTAAGGCAAATAAATCAAAATTGTCATACCAGTAGTGTATGTATGATGTATCTGTGACTCTGTGTTACTGTTAGTGCTATACTTCACTCTTTTTTAGTTGTTCTTGCTACTGCATTGCAATTTGCATTATTTGAGGCCTACATGACCTGTAGGAGTTTGATCCTGATGCATACTTAACGTTTACTTGTTGAAAATTGATTGCTTTGTTGTTGTAGTGTTTACTTACTGCTAGCATCACAAGCCGGCTCGAGCTGGCTCGAGCTTTGAAACGAGCCGAGCCAAGCTGCTGTTTTAGTTCGTTTAGTTAATCAAGCCGAGCCAATCTAAGCATGTTCTTTGCCAAGCTTTCACGAGCCGAACCAAGCTTGGCTCGGCTTGCCTCATTTCCACCCCTACCATGAGGTACCAAAATTTTGGTACCTCATAGTACCTAGGTACCATGAGGTACCAAATTTACAATAGAAAAAATGGTACTTCATGGTACCTTCTTAAGGACCGTAAAATTGCTCAAATATGTAACTCTTGTAACTTATAAACCATTCTACTTCCTCCGTTTCACAATGTAAGTCATTCTAGTATTTCCCACATTCATATTGATGTTAATGAATCTAGATAGATATATATGTCTAGATTCATTAACATCAATATGAATGTGGGAAATACTAGAATGACTTACATTGTGAAATGGAGGGAGTACTATCTTTGTCCCAAAATAATTATAATTCTAAGTTATTTAACTAATATTAAGGTTTGAGAAGAAAAACTATGATGTTCCTCATTAAATGATGTATAGGTAAAAACTGAAGAGTGGTTGAGAGTAGAATAAGAAAAAATTCGAATAATAAGTTATTGATGAGACAATTAGTACTTTACTATGACAATTATTTGAGACAAATTTAAATTCTATAAATATAATTATTACGGAACGGAGGTAGTAGAATTTTCTAAGATGTGCTTTTCTTAATTGTCAACATGTGGTTAATTGTGAGTGGATGAGCTATTACATCCATCCCTCTCTCCACTTGATTGCAACTGTAGAACAACACAGCATGGAAGGAGATACGAGCCATGTGACTAGTACAAAATAATGTAATTACACCATAATGACTAAAAGAAAGAAAAATCGTCAACTTGGGCTAAGTTTATTGGCAAACATTTCATTGTCCAGCCCAGCCCAACGCTTTTGAATAGGCCTAGTCCTGAATCCATTTCTTAGTCTTTTAATAGGGAAAAGTACACGCAAGGTCCCTCAACTTGTCAGCGAGATACAAAATCATCCCTGAACCGCAAAACCGGACATCCGACGTCCCCCAACTTACAAAACCGGTCACAAAAGGTCCCTCGGCGGTTTTGACCCCGGTTTTGTCCCACGTGGCGGCTGACTCAGCGTGGGACCCACGTGGGCCCCCTCTCTCTCTCTTCTCTTTCCCTCCTCTCCCTTCCTCCTCTCTCTCTCTCTCTCACTTATCTGCAAAGCTAGCCGGGGCGAGCAGGAGAGGAGGAGGGTGGCGCCGCGACGGCGACGGCGGCGGCGGCGGCCGTAGTGGGGAAGCATGGCGGAGGCGCGGGGAGGCCGGAACCCTGCCGACGACGGCGAGCCCGTAGCCCTTGAGCCCGACGAACTTTGCTACCTGGGCACCGATGCCGTACTCGCGGGAGTCGACGGCGAAGCCGAGCTCGACGTTGGCCTGGACGGTGTCGTGGCCATCGTCTAGGAGGTTGTAGGCGCGGTGGCCGTGCGACCAGGGGAGCAAGGTGTCGGCGACAGGCGCGGCCTTGACCTCGCCACGGCGCGCAGCCTCAATGGCGTCCGCGTGGCCGACGAGATCCTGCGGCTTGTCCCGGACGCCGACGTGTTCCACACCACGCTGCGGTGCGTGAAGGAATCGACAAGCTGCTCAGAGGATTCGACGGCGCCGCGTCGTCGCATCATCCGTCGTTGTCTTGCAGCCAGCAAGGAGCCGCGGCGGCAGCAGGAACGGGAGGCCGTCTCCGCCGCGGCCGCCTCGACGCCGAGGATCTCCGGGTGGCGCGGCCGACGGGGAAGGAGCGGCGGAGAGGAGATCGACCGGCCGGCTCCCCACCCGGCGAACGCGAGCGCGAGCGCGAGGTTCGTGCTGGGCGGCGACGCGGCGGCGGAGACACGGGACAGCAAGCTCGGCGGCGGCAGGCGAGCGCAGCTGCGGATGGGGAGCGGCGGCGCCGACGACTCCGCGCCGCTCGGCCTCATCGTCGTCGGCGGCTCTGGGCGCGGGCGGAGGTCTCCTCTGATAGGCGATGGCGGCCGCGGTCACCGCGCCATTGTACGCGGCGGGGGCGTCGCGCCGCCTTGCTTCTCGTCGCTCGTCCGCCATCACCGACCGCACGAGGGGGACGAGGAGGCCGTCGAGCTCGCGCCGCCCTGAACCCGCGCGCCGCCACCGGGGAGCCGCCGTCGCCGGCCGCACCACCCTCCGGCTGCACGCGCCGCCGCCTGTGCGACAGCAAAGAGCGAGAGGAAGGAAGGAGAGAGAGAGGAGAAAAAGAGAGAGGGTGCTGACGTGGTCTCCATGACATGTGGGGTCCATGTGGGTCCCATGCTGAGTCAGCCGCCACGTGGGATACAACCGGAGTCAAAACCGCCGAGGGACCTTTTGTGACCGGTTTTGTAAATTGGGGGACGCCGGATGTCCGGTTTTGCGGTCCAAGGACGATTTTGTATCTCGCTAACAAGTTGAGGGACCTTGCGTGTACTTTTCCCCTTTTAATATAGCAAAATCTGCTATATAACATCTACAAATTGTGTAACTGGTTGTAGGACACCGTAAAATTGTGTCACTGCTAAAGAACACAATAAAAATGGTATAATTGGTTGCAAGATACCGAACACATTATTTTATAATTTTCAGGACAAAGTGGAGAGAGAATGTTTTTAAAAATACAAGTTTACCCCTGCTTTCCCTTTCTCCCCTTGTCTGGCTGGCTATGAGGAGGCGATCGCGGCTTCGACTGTGGCGAGTGGCAGTGCAAGCAGGCAGCAGCCCACTGCGATGCGTGGCCCGCTCAGAGGGACGTCAGCCACCTGAGCAAGAGCAACAGCCCAGCGTTGGGCCTGTAACTCGGTAGCGGCCGAGGAGGAGGAACGACCAACGCAACGGCACATCGTGGTGGCTGCCAATGGCCATATTGCTATCCTGGAGCCATCGCTGATCCCGAGCATGCTCGACAATGCGGCGGACGCAGCTATGAAAACGGCCGTGGCCCTACGCATTGCGTGTCATTATATTGCTGTTCATCGGCGTGGCGGTGAAGAGGGAGTATGGGGGAGGAGATCGACGGTGAGAGGGTGTCGTCGGCGGACGGTTGGGCGAGCAGGACGACAACGACTACGGCAGCATCCGCAATAAGCTCCAGTATGTTTGTTCATCTGCATAGCACGGTCAACCTGGTACATCACATATTTCCACGTGTGATTGTTACATTGTATTGATTTGTATTTGTTCATCTTTTGTTGATTGAATACATGCGAATCACTAAACTATCGCTTTGTTTCTTCGAGCAGAAGCAGAATGTCCATTTAGGGTTTGTTTGGTTCCCGGTCAAGGTTGGATGGGAGATGACGGTCCATATTTTGCTGGATATGAAGATCCAGTTTTCTGTTTGGTGGAGTGGATATGGTGATCTATTTTTTTTGTAAGGATAAAGGTGGATTTAGTGATCCATTTTTCTGTTTGGCTGGGGGAGTAGTATGGATGAGTGGCTACAATCACATTTTCATTAGAGATGGTTAGTATACCCCTTCAAATCACCAAACCCAAAAAAATATCAATCTAGTACAAGCAAAAAAATCTATATAACATAAAAATTCAGAAAGAAATAAAATGGGGAAAGGAGAAAAAAGGAAAAAAAAAGTGGTCCTCTTCGCCAACCGCCGCCGCGCTCCTCTCCTGCTGGCCGCCGCCTCGTCTCCTCTAGATCCGGTTGTCGTTGTCATCAATGTTGTCTCGGTCATCGTAGTCGTCTCTTGCCAGGTCGTCATTGTTGTTATCGTCGTCAAGTTCTGGTCGTCGTCATCCTAGTCGGCGGCGGTGATTCATTCTCCTCCGGGCTCGCCACCGTCCCTTCTTCCCGTTGCCGCCGTCTCTAGCCTTCGGGCTGGCCGCCACCCCTTCTTTCCGCTGCCGCCGCCTCCAACCTTCGGGCTCGCTGCCCCCCTTCTTTCCGCTGCCGCCACCACACTCGCACCCACTTGCCGGCAGCCGAGCTTGCATCCCACTGCCTCCCTCGCGTCGTCGTTGTTCTCGCATGGTGAGAGGGGTGACGTGACCCACCTCGTCGCTCGCCCCGCTCGCCCGAGCGCTCGGGCGGCTGTATCCGGGCAAATCGGCCGGATTAATCCATCCATCATCTAGGGGGAATATTCCCCTCTGGGCTATCCTATCCTACTCCCGCCCACCAACCAAACACCGATAAAAAAATGGAACGCCATATCCTATCCGCCCAAAACCCTCCATCCAACTGAAGCTCGGACTAAGGCAGGGGCAAACTTGTCTTTTTTAAATTTCTCTCCTCCTTTTACTTAAAAATTATAAAATAATGACTGTAGTGCCCTATAGCCAATTACATTATTTTTGTGGTGTTTCTCGGCAATGACACGATTTTACGTTATCCCTCAGCTAATTACACAAATTTTGAATGTCCCACGACAAATTTTGCCTCTAATATTCTGCACAAATATTCTCAATTTTCAAAAATTCCTAAATGTACAAAAAGAAACAAAATAATTCAACACAGCATTTTTTTGTATAATGTGCAGAAGGTTCCTAAATGTACAAAAAGAAACAAAATAATTCAACACAGCATTTTTTTGTATAATGTGCAGAAGGTGCTATCATTTCTAGCCCAAATGAACACCTACTCTGTTTTTACGCATCATCTACACCGGCGGCAAGGCGTCATCACCCGGCGGCGCCGCCGTCTCCGCCGCCGTGGCCTCTTTCGCGGCCACTTCCCGGGGCGGCGAGAGGTCGCACCGGCACATCGGGCAAGTCCGGTGCGAGTGCAGCCACATGTCGATGCACTCCACGTGGAACAGGTGCTTGCACGCCGGCATCTCCCGCACTATCTCGCCGGCATGCAGCTCCTCCAGGCACACCGAGCACGGCTCGCCGTTCCCGGCCTCGAGGTCGCCGCCGCCCTGCGCGGCGCCAGCGCCACCGGACGCGTACGCGAACGTCGGCAGCGCGTCCACCGCGGCCTTCTCGAGCCCGAACGTGCTGGAGGAAGAAGCTCCCGGCTGAGCCTCCCGCTCCGCGGCGCGGGTGTTCGTCCCGCCGCGGCGGCGGCACCAGCTCGCCGGCGCGAGGTAGTCGGCGACGCCGAAGGCCAGTAGCACCATCCCGGCGAGCACGGACGCCTTCCAGACGCTGCCGACGACGGCGAGCACGCAGAACAGCAGCACCGCCGCGAAGGACGCCGCGATGCCGTAGCATGCGCGGCGGCCGCGGCCGCCGCCCCGCTCCTCCTCGCCGCCGCCCCGCAGCGTCGCCGCCGATATCCTCGCGAACACGTTCGACATGATCGCCGGTCGCCGCCGTCGCTGGTCAGGTGGTGCGCTTGCGCGGCGAATGATATAGGAAGCCGGCGGCGTGCGAGGTCGTGAATTTGAAGGTCGCGGCGGCGGCGGCGGCGGCGGCGTGGCACACAAAACCGGTGGCCTTTTTGACGGGAAAAGCGTGTGTTTGTTTCCGGTCAAGTTTATCGCGCCCGCCATTGGCTATTTTTTTGGCTTAGAGAGAGAAAAATGGAAGATATGAATTCTAAGTTTCCATCTGTTCGTTGACGGCACGGTGGAATTAAAGGAAAGCTACGTCGTCGTCCCTGCAGACCGCAGTAGAAAAATCGGGCAAGATGCGTGGTCAACAAGAGCGCAATGCATTTGAAATCGTTTTCTCTCAGTTTGGCATCGTTTTCTCAGTTTGGACAGAATTGTGCTAAATTTGTGTTGAGATGACTCAACTGAATTACAGTAGTTAGAGTACTGAATTTCCAGCTTCGGATCGCTTACCTGTTTGTAAAATGTTCTATTTCTTTCGTCTAAACAAACGGGAGTTAATTTTCTCGGCAAATTCGCATCATTGTAATGAACTTATCGTGTCTCCTTTTTGACACTCTGTAAGCTTTCTACCCATTTTCTTAGGCAGAGCTCCTACTGCTTCTGGTTAACAAAACCTATGTACAAAACAACAGTGATATGATTAACAACATATTTGAATTTTGAAGAATAGAAATACTGTTCGATCAATGGCACAAACTAATTACAATTCACAACAGACGTACACTGTAAATTTCTCTGCAAGCTTAATTAGGCCAATGCAAATAATCGACCATATAATATACTCTCTTATATTTACACTCACACGTGCAACAGCTGGTAGCTACACCGGTGGCAGAACGTCGTCGGCCGTCGACTCCGGCGACACCACCACCTCCGCCGCGGCCTTCGCTGCCGCCCTCGCCGGCGGCGACACCACGCACCGGCACATCGGGCACGTCCGGTGCGGCGAGTGCAGCCACATGTCGATGCACTCCACGTGGAACAGGTGCCCGCACGCCGGCAGCCGTCGCACCGTCTCGCCGCCGCGCACGTCCTCCAGGCACACCGCGCACACCGCGCAGCTCCCCGCGGCGGCGGCGGCGCCGCTCTCGAGCGGGCACCCGTGCACGAACGCCGGCGGCGCGTTCGCCGGCGCGCGCGCGAGCGCATCCGCCGCCGGCCGCCGCCGAGCGCCGGCCGCAGCTCGCTCCGCCTCCGCGCCGCCGCGGCTCCGGCGAACCCACCTCTTGGGGGCGAAGCAGCCGACGACGCTGAGGACCAGCGCGGCCATGGCGGCGTACGCGCACGCCTTCCAGACGCTGACAGAAGCCGCCAGCGCGCAGAACAGGAAGATGGACAGGCAGACGACGGCGATGCCGTAGAACACGCGGAATCCGTCGACGTCGTCGCCGGCGGCGGCGGTGGAGCTCGCCGCCGACGACCTCGGGTACCAGTTGAGCATGATGAGTCGAGACAAGTGCAAAGATCGTGCAACGTAAACGCAATGCTCGATCTCGCGATTGCCTCGAGTAAAACTTGATCAGTAATTAGTTTGCAACTAATGTCGCCGTGGTCGAATGTTTTTTACAGCTATAAATACGGTGTTTAGCTACGTGGTTTGGCACAATGTTTTTAGCGTGTCACTGCTGCCATCGTGGTCAATTTGCTAACAGCTAAATTAATCAGGGAAAATTCAGGTTTACACTGAGCTGTACTGTGGAGTTTTTTATGGATTAATTACTTTATCTGGATGATGGCTACATGGATGGATTAAGGTTAATCCTTCTTACAACATCGCTAATCGAGAGCTTCGGGGTCGACGTGACGTGTTTATTCCGTGGCATTGTTCAGCTGCCGTCTACGGAACAGACAGGTTTACTGTTTATATATTTTACTATCGTCTAATTAAAGGAGAAACTGTGTGAAGCTAGCCACATCCATTGTGGTTCATATTGGAATACCCAACCCACGGAATGAAAGTTGTAACCTTTGTAGAATAGAAATACCATCAACTATTTTGGGGTTAATTGCATCACATTATTGCAAATATGCCATATTAGAGAAATCTCATTACTATTCACAATATTGGTTGGGTGTTACTGTAATATTATAAAATTGAATTGACGCTATCGTCATCACGTTTTTCATTAGGCTCTTCTTACTTCTCTTCTTTTCTTCTCCTCTCCTCTCCTTCTTCCTCTATCCTCGCATTCTTCTCCCTTCCACTGGCCACTGCTATTGTTGCTGCTGCACCTGTGCCATCGCGCTCGCCATGGGCCTATGGCGATGCTCACCGCCGTGGTCGCCGCCTCGACCTCACTCCTCCATGCCGCTGATGGTGGTCACCATCTCGTGACCGCTCTTGCAAACAAACCGAGGAACACGAACTCAAAGTCAGCTGCAAAGTGGGAGGTGAGGAGAAGGGAACGGACGAAGGAGCGGTGGGTTGGCGGCGAAGTCCTAGGTGTACTTGGAGTCCTAGTAGGTGGAGGTGTCAACGTTGTAGGAAGACTTGCTGCTACCACACGAGGCGGCGGAGGCAGCGGCGCCGGACATGGACTCCTAGGAGAGGCTCATCCATTGGTCGCAGATACACCGCGTTGCCAGGGCTGACGTCGCCACCATTCGCTGCGCCACCATATCGCCGGAGCCACATCGACCTCTTCGCAGACGGCTTTTGTGGAGGGAGCATGGGACTGGGATGACGCGGGCAAGGAGAGGGGGGAGGGAGCAGGGACTTGGAGGACAACGGCGGCGGTAACTCCACTGCCAACGCCGGTGATCGAGAGGCACACCTTCCTCGCCGGCTGCTACATTTGAAACGAGATGGAGAGAGATATGGAAGAAAGAAGAGGGAACGATGGAGAAAGAAGATGGAATTGACATGTGGGTCTCACGTTTAGGGGTATTTTGGTCTATATGATGATGGAAAACGTGACAGTGACAATTATTTCGAATGACATGAATACGAACAGACGAATTGTAATGAAAATTATCTTAATCGACATTTTTGCAATGACATGGATCCAATTACCCCTTTATTTTGCTTTCCTAATATTAGATCTTAGTTACATTACTCTGAAGTCTCGCCTTTAGATTCATTCGAGAATTCTGGGTAGATTTGTTGTTGTAATCTAGGAGGGAATGGACCATACTCGTCTCCCCTGTTGTTCTTGAGTCTTCGAGCCTCTTCCCTTGAGATGCAATACGCATTAGCGATAACATCAACTGGTAAGGCATGGAATACTGAGTCTACCCCTGCAAGGTGGCTCACGAAGGCATTAGCGTTTGTGTTGATTGCAATATATTGGCATCCTTCATGTTGTGCTTTCTTTAAGACAACATAGTTTTGTGGAATAATCAATAGTTGTTCTGGACGAAGAACACCGTCGAACACAGTCTTTCCAAAGTTACTGACGACTTGGACTCGAGCACGCCCTCGAATCACATACATCAAACTATGAGCATTTACATTCCAGAATGGTGTGAGAATAGCATTCTGCAGAGGGGAGTAGAAAATAATGTTCCTTATATATTTCATGAATCAGAGAACTTTTCTTAATATAAAGATAAGAGAATGTTGCTATTACAAATACCTGGTATAGATTTACTCTAGTAGCACTCATTTGGATGATATTAAGGATAGGGAATTTCTGACTATCAAGACTTGTGATCCTTCCAGCACGTGGATCGTATGAATCAGCACGACTTGGATTTTCAATGTTTAACCTCGTCTTGATTGTGCACAAGTTCTCCTCTAAACCGTTCCATCGGGAAGATGTTTGTGGTTTTTCACTATATTGGACTTCTTGGTATTGAGCTTGTTCTTGTTCTTGTCGTTGTGTCAAAGTTGGTTTCAGCAATTGAAGGCCATTCTTTACATGTATGATCTCTCCTCTTTGGTCATTTTGGCTTTGTAGCCTCTTTGTTGTTACTGTGTTGATGTTTAAAGCCTCACTTAGTGGCTCAACACTGAATCCATTGAATATGTTTTGCCCAGAGTGTTGCTGAATTGAGCGACCATACACTTGTTGTACCCTATTGTTCTTACCAGCCAATAAGAACTCCTAAAATTATCAATGGATAATTGAAATATGAAACGTAGTGGAAAAACATAAAACAATCATAGTTTCAATAAAAATATATTTGTTTAGAAAAGTAGTTACCCTATGCCTTGGTTCAAGTTGATTAGCGCTATTGTTTATGTCATAAACATATAGGGCAACAACAGGCGTGTCACCATCATTGTAGAACCAATGTGCAACACCTGTTGGGAGTACAACGATATCACCTTGCCTAAATTGATGAATCTTTTGGTGCTCATCTATAAACTTTTGGCTCTGACTTTCGCCTTGAAACAAAAACTGTTGGGATTGCTGCTGGTAAGTTGCGGGGCATCCAGGGAAGGTTAGACCCATAGAACCTCTTCCTAAAAATTATAATGTTTACATTAGATGCATAAAACATAAAAACATATTCTTTTTACCGTGAAGATCATAATTGCTAGTCTTATTAACAAAGTTTTATAGTACATTATCATTGTACAAACCTTGGATGATGTAGACCATGCCAGGAGTATTGGCGTATCGAGGTATTAGAAGGCCTTGAGGTTGAATAACACGTCGGATGACAAATGTACCTGTGCACTGAAACAATTCATTCGTCTCATCAAAGTACTCGGTCACACCAGCTTCCGACCTCACATTCTGAAGAGGCTCAAATGCTTGTAGTCTCTCAAATCTACACTCCCTAAAGCTTCCTTGTCGATGAGTTTGCCATTGGTTTGTGGCTGGATCAAATAGTTGGGCCATAGATCCATTGCACAAGAGAAGAACACAAAAGTATATAGAAAATCGAGAGAAAACGGAAATAGTCATAGCTTTTGTATATACTAATAAAACAAAGCTAATTGTGTGAATTGAAGGATAGATCAAGCTAGTTTATATAGCAAAGAAAATGAGTTTGTTACATCTATGGACAATATCAGGCTTGTGGTGTCAAAATTGTATATAGGGAAAAGCAACTTTTGGAATTGAGTTATACATATCATGACTCAGCTATGACATACTTCTTGTGTTTTTGGGAGCTTATTAAGATATGTCTAGCTATCTATGTCATTGCCTTGTCAATATATTTGTTTTTCACCATAAAGCTCCTATACTTGACAAGCTAAGTCTTAATTTAAATAACAAACTTGTAAGCATGTTGTCATTTTTGCGTGGCACACTATACTTTCTAAGATAAACATTCTTTCAAAATAGCAAACTTGTAGGTTTGTTGTCATTTTCACATGGCATAGTATATTTTCACATGGCATATTTTGTGGAGGAAATTCCATCTATACCACTATATTTTCATGGGTACCAAGTAGTACCACCTGAGCCTTGCATCTCCACAAAATATTACTGGGTGCATTTAAAACTTCTAAATTTACCACTGTCTTATGCTCGACTATACCATCTTTTACTGAACTCGGATTTTTGCATGCGCAATCATGGAGCTTGGATGAGGAGCAGATCTATCAATTGACAAATGAGGACATTGAGGGGGCAACATATATGAGAAGATGCCAGAGTTCATCGAGACTTAGGGTAAATGCCCTCGCGCACCTTCATTTGTTGGCCTCTGCTTCGCCACCACTATTGATACAGAAATGGCCACGATGGTTGTTTCACCACATGGATTAGAGCTTATTGCATCCCTTGTCTAAAGCTCATTGGTGGAGTAGTAGTCTATTATGAAGTTGTGGCTGCGGGGAGGTGATTAGAAGCATATCGGAGTAGATGGGACAAGTGACCCTCAACGAGGGTGCGTTGATGAGTAAGGATTAGAGAAGGAGAAGTACGAGGAAGGGTATTTTGGTCCTCTTTTAACACTGATTTTTCTGGTGTATGTGGTACAATATCCTCTTATGCCATGTAAAAATAAACCAGTTAAGTTGACAAAACATATATGTGTTAGTAATTTTGACATGCTAAAAGCCTTTTTATATTTTCTTGACTTTATAACTTGTCAATCAAATTTCTGTAACTATTTTGAAACAATTCATTTTGATAATTTTACAAATCAAAATTTGATGTGTCCATCTATTGCAATTTGGTCTTTATATTTTCTTATATAAAACATAACCCACTAACTTGATTTAAAGATTCTTTCAGACATAGCTGCATTATTATAAGTTAATTATGATGCTCTCTAGATTAAATTATTTCTTGGACTTTGTGTTAATGGTGTAGTTGTGTCTTACATTTTGGGTTGCAGAGAGTACTAACACTGATATGTTATTATAAGAGTGCATTTAGATTATCTATAACTTCTATTTAGTTAAATCAAACAACTGGGTCAAACAACTGGGATCATTATTTGAATTCTATAAGAATTTTTAAGTATATGTAAGCAGGTCTCGTGTTGTTTTGTACTTTTTTTGATAAATTAAGACTTTAAATTTATTTATCTACACGAAGAGTCAGATTTAGCTCGTCAATTGTAATAAATTAAGCGTCAATTGTAATAAATTAAGACTGTTTTGTACCACTTTTAGTCACAATCTAAGAATATTTGATCAGCTTAATCGGCTCATCTTATATGGTGACTGCAAATGTAAAAATCCTAGACGAAGACTGGGTCACAAATGTGACTTCTTTTTCTTCTATGGAAGAGATTATGCTCCTCTTTAGCACCTCTTTAGCACAACTTTAGATTTAAGATTTTTATAGAATGTGCTCGAAATGGGGCACAACTTGATAACATTTGAATAAATCATCTTGTTCTCATTTTTTTCGAATGGGCACAACTTCACAAATTTATAAATCTAAATATATGATTAACTTGATAACATTTAAATAATTCATTTTGTTCTCAATTTTATATTAAATTTTAAATAACTATAATTTAATATACAAACTTCAAATTTATCTTGGATCTGAGAATAAATTGGAGCTGTTACAAACAGCACATATACATATATAGGCATATATTAGCAATCAAGCAGCGCGCGAAGTGTATTTACAATTATCATTATACATTTGATAGTATCTCATTAGAATTCTAATCCAGCGAAAAGCTTAAACGGAAGGCAATGGCGGCAGCAACGACTCGTGCGTCACCAGCCGTGGCCGCGGGCGCCCGCTCGCCGTGCCTCCTCGCCGCGACGACAGGTCGGAGCGGCAGAGCGGGCACGTCGTGCGCGAGCGCAGCCACGCGTCGATGCACGCCGCGTGGTACAGGTGCCCGCACGCCGGCAGCCACCGCACCGTCTCGCCGCCACGGACGTCCTCGAGGCACACCGAGCACGCCGGGTCGCCGCCGCCGCCGCGCGGGCGCTCGTACTCCGACGCCGGCAGCGCGTCGATCGCCGCGGCCGTGAGCCCGCACTCGGCCGGCGTGGGGGCTCCCGCGCCCGCGCGCCCCACTGATCTCCGCGGCGCCACGACGCGCCAGCCGATGGCGAGGAGCGCGGCGGCCATGGCGACGAACGCGCACGCCTTCCAGACGACGACGGAGACGGCGAGGGCGCAGAACACGGCGAGCGTGCCGCCGCACGCGCCGTCGAGAACCCCATACCCGCCGCTGCCGTCGTCGTCATCGTCGTCGACGCCGACGCCGACGCCGGTGCTCGCCGTGAGCCGCGAGTACAGGTTGACGAGCAGCATGGTCACTCAGTGTGGAGACAGAGAGAGCAACGCAGAGTAATTAACGTTGGTTTAACACAAAACCACTCGCTGCACAGCTCGTTGGTTGGTTTAAGTACCCGTAAATTACCATCAGGTTTACATCATGTTGCGCTTAATACACATACTTAACGAAATAGTTAAAATGATTCTGTTAATCGCACGGCGGATTAATGTTGCAAAACGCGTGTGCTGCCACGGCGTGTTGATCGTGTACGTGCCGTCGAGGCGCCGGCGAGGTCATGACGTGTTTATAGAATTCGTGACGTATCTCTCTTTGCAAGAGTGTGAAAGTGAGGTGAGTGACAGCAACAGCACACGTAAACTCTCGAGGGAATATGCTTGTTGTTGTTTGCATTTCATTAAAATTATTATGAAAAGATTTGAAAATTTTTTTGATGAAATAAATTAATATGTGATAGATCACTCCATAAATATACATGATTAAATTTAACTTTACAAGTTGTAAAAAATATTGATTGTGAATACACGTTAACTAGCTATAGTTTAATTTGTTCTTTTCATTACAACTTATTTTAACTTGCATGTTTGTGTAGTGTTATATCACATGTTAATATATCTTTTTATTTTTTTATTTGTTTTTCATAATTATTTGGATAACATGCAAATAACAAGGAGACAACATGTAGTGAATGCTATCCCAACATTTGTAATTCCGAATGGAAAATCATAATAAGATGGAAGATGAAAGAAAAAGGACATCATGAACTCAGTTTTGTTTTAATTTTGTTCTTTGCAAAACAAAGTACATAAAACTATTGCAAAGCATCCACAACAAGCTTGATGTGCTTTATTATTTTTGCTTGCATAGTACTCATAATCTATAAGTTTTACATGCCGATTAAAGAGAGGCCTTCAGTTAGGAACTGGTAACCCCGCTGGCTCTTCTGGGGGAAACGAGGAGTAAAAGGGCCAATCTCATCTGCCCTATTATTCTTTAGACGTCGGGCTTCATCCCTCGAGATACGATAAGCATTGGCAATAACATCTACAGGCAATGCACGTAATATGGAGTTCTTTCCAGCAACCCAACTCACCGTAGGGTCCGAAATTGTCTTTATTGCGACATACTGGCACCCATTGTGCTCGGCTTTCTTAATGACGGCATGGTTTTGTGGTATGATTAATAGTTGCCCCTGATGAAGTACACCATTAAACACAGATCTTCCTTGATTATTGGCAACCTGTACTCGCACACTTCCTTGGATGATATACACTACACTATGGGCATTAATGTTCCAGAAGGGTGAGAGAAGAGCATTCTGCAGTAAGTGGGAAAAGGTCGGGTTATGCCATTATCTCAACAACGTTACATATTATAGATTTTGCACCAAAAAAAATGATTGTTATAATAGCATTGTAATCATCATTACCCATATTACCTGGTATAAGTTTACTCTTGCAGCACCCATTCCAATAAGGTTGAGAATAGGGAACTTTTGGTTGTTAAGAAGGGTTATCCTTCCAGCACGAGGGTTGTAGTAGTCAGCGCGGCTAGGATTTTCAATGTTTACCCTTGCCTTTATTGTACAGAAATTCTCGTCCAATCCATTATATTGTCCTTCACGATACTGGACTTGTTGATATTGACGATGTTCTTCCTGTCGTTGTGTTAATGTGGGTTTCAACAATTGAAGCCCGTGCTTCACTCGAATGATATCTCCCCTTTGGTCATTTTGACTTTGGAGCCTCTTGGAAGCCTCCGTGTTTATTCCAAGGGCCTCGCTAAGTACCTCAGTATTGAACCCACTAAATATATTTTGTCCAGAGTGTTGAAAGATGGAATGTTCAAATATTTGTTGCCCTCTCTGGTTGTTACCAGCTAATAAAAACTCCTAAACATTTGAGTAAAAAATAAATGGAATGGCTTGCTAATGAATGAAGTAAATCTAAAGAAAAAGCACAATTCAGAGTATTCAAAAATGAACAAAGCCGATTGGGGAGGATAATGAATATAAAATTGATACCTTCTGCCTTGGTTCAAGCTGATTAGCAAAACTTTTTATGTCATAAACATAGACAACAACAGCCGGTGTATCACCACCATTGTAGAACCAATGTGCAACACTAGCCGGAAGTGCAACAACATCCCCTTGCCTAAATTCGTGAATCTTCTGGTGCTCATCTCTAAACTTATGAGCTTGGTCGCTCTGTCTTTGTTCAAATAGTTGGAATTGTTGTTGGTGTGTTGCTGGGCAACCAGGAAAAGTCAATCCTACGTAACCTTTTCCTGCAATAAGCACATGTACATTACTATTATAAAAAGGCAAACATGTGTTTCATATTTGACTGCTATAAAATTGTGATATCCATGTGAATATCTTTGTGCCCTCACAAACCTTGGATTATGTAGGCTAGAGCAGGAGTGTTCGAGTATCGAGGCACCACAAGGCCTTGTGGCTCAATCACGCGCCGAATGACAAAGACACCAGCGCATCGAAACTGCTCATTTCTCTCATCAAAGTACTCTGTGTCCCCAGCTTCCGATCGTACCTTTCTTAGGGGCTCAAATGCTTGTAACCTATCAAATCTGCACTGCCTGGAAGCCCCTTGTCGGCTTTCCCATGCATCTACACCTTGGCTAAAGAGCGGAGCCAAGAGAAGAGCACAGAGACAGGAAGACAATAGAGAGGTAGTAGTTGCCATAGCTATTTGGAGAAGTTAAAATTTGATCGATGTGATTGCAAGTGCGTAGGTGGTGGTTTTTATAGCCAATAAAAGTGGCTTTGGGATCCAAGGTGCTTATGAAGTTTGTTAACCTGTGGACAAGGATTGTGTACAATGCAAGATTTTTGGTCCAAAGAAGTCACTACATCAAAGGATGTTGTTGAAATGATTCATACCATATACTTTTTGACGTGTTTCGTACATGCCAAATGTGTTCATTTTCTCATAAAGTTTCTAGCCAAATGCATTAAGTGTTCTTTTGCAACAACAAACTTGTTAGCTTCTAGCATTTTTGTGTATACTCTTTCTTCTTTTGTACTTTACAAAGTTTTACAAGCAATCAAAAAGTTGATAGACTTGTTTGTTTCTTCAACAACTTTGTAACCTGTATTAATCCATTTACTTAAGCTTGACCAGTTACATCATTATCTGTTGTTTTCAAGCATATCTTACTTTTGGTACTTTTTATTAGCTGATAAATATTTGCGACTCTTGTATACCTACGAGGTGTGGTCATATCTAAAAACTTTAATGGATCATCAAATTGTCCAAACTACTAAAGTCGCTTTTAGTTAGATTAAGTAAACATCAAGAGAAAAAAAATATATGGTTTTTGTTGGTTAGTTTGCAATTAGCTCTTCGTTATACACATCTAGACCCTTTATTTGAGTCTTGGTGATTAAAGACAACATAGATTATTAAGACTAATCATATTTTCTAAGTGTGCAAGGAGAGTTAGGCCCTCGGTAGTTGAATATGTTACCATGATTTGTCCATAAAGAGAATTATAATGTGTTCTTCGATGAGCAAAGATAAAGACAATGACTCTAATTGATTACTAGTTTGGCACAACAAATGAGTGTATAAATAGAATATGACTTACTTTATATTCACTGTACTATAAAGAGTGAAGGTAGTCATAGCTCAATTCATAAGAGAATAGGAAGTTTGCTATATTTACGCTAAGTCATGTGTGCGGTCTCAAGAAAATTTCTATATCCTAAGAGGAATAAGTGGATTTGAGATGGGACAAAGTTTGGATCCAGATGAGTTAATTTCCATAGAGACTCACCAACAGTTCATCCTCACTCTCAAAGAACACACTCTTTAATTGTCCGGTTTATGAGAAAACTATGTGGTTCATATGGTTCAATAGCATGTGTAGTCTTTCTATAGAAAAAAGATAAAGCCAAGCACCAGCTTCCAGTTTTCTAAGCCACTTAGCTAACAAGGTTATGATGCCTTTGCATTCTCTTCTTTGTATACACCTGTGTATTCTTCCATATTATCCTCTAGGGCTCCTAGGTTTGTGCAGGCGAAGCGTAGTGTAATCGTTTGAATTAATATATTCACTCTAATAAAAAAACAAAAGTGGAGTGGACGAAAAATCGCTGAGCACTGAAAGACTGAACAAAACCAAGCCGAACTGACCTGATGTATCGATTTCTTCAGTCTTCAGTGCCCTCTTTGGCTTTTGTTTTTGGCTAGATTGGTCTTCGGGTTTCTGTTCGGTTGTTGCCCAAGAAATCAAACAAACCAAAAAATTCGAGATGTCAGCTTACCTCCATTACTTCTATGCTTCCCACCTTCTATATCTTTTGGATTTTTATTCTATCTTTGGCCCAAGGCCCAATACAAGATTAAACTTAGGGTCCAAAAGCAAAACATGTGTATTATATCGCATGATGCAATGAGATGCTGAGAGAGGTGGGTGGAGGATCGGTGTAGCACATTCATGCATGACCAAGTGTTTGGTAGGAAAACTAGAGAAAAAACCAAACCGGGTTGCTTTCGTTTATTCGGCTTGGTTTCTATTTCCCTTTCAACTTCTTCTGTTTGTATTATTACTGAGCAAAAGTTCTAATAAACCAAGAAAACCAAATGCCCACCCCCTTCTTAATCCGGATGGGTTTTTTTAACCATGCATGCTCATGTATATACATCTTTTCAATAAATTATACAAATGTCCCTTTCTTTTCTACACGATTGAAAACAACTGATTATATTGGACAAAATACTCAACCCAGTGCCAACATATAACTATTCCCAAAATTTACTGTGTCAAAGTGAAACGATGAGATCATCGACACTATATGATATACTCAATTGCTGGGACTTTGAATGATTTTCCACTGAAGTTTAGTGACTAAACTATAAAAGATTAGATAAGAAGGACAAATAAAGTGCGCTGACTTTGGAGTTCGGTACTCTATTACACACCTCTCTGAAGAAACAATCAGTCATCAGAGACGTCAGACGGCCATCTCATCCTGCCATTTCCACCCCAAACACCATGATGATTCACGCCTTCTCAATGCTGAAGTATAATCCAAAATTTCACCAGCATACAAATGTGAAATTGTTTGATCCGTAGAGCAAAAAAAACGGGTCCTCCCATATGAACTGAAGACATTATGCTCACCAGCATACAAGACTCTGTTTAAACCTAAATCGTTGATATATTTACAAACACATTACTCAGGTAATGAATTACCCCCAAAGAAAACTTCCATTTCTACACATCAAACAATACGACATCTATGGAGAAAACCTAACACCCACCCGTATCGAATTCTCGTAATTCAAATGAGAGCTCAAATCCACGTAGATCAAGACCCTCTTACGTAACTTATCTCCAAACGTTGTCACTCACAAATAGATCCCATCCCCTACAGATCCACATGTCAGGATGCAACGTCGCTGCGGCTTTACGTGGAGAGAGTCTCGTCGGAAATCTATGACATGGTCCGACCCGTTGCGCTACACTGGAGGTGCCTGATCCTTGAGAGGAGTCTCCTTGCCAAGAGGCTCCACGCTGGCCCTGCAGAGAGGACACGTGGAGTGGGAGTGGAGCCACATGTCGATGCATCCGACGTGGAACAGGTGCTTGCACGCCGGCAGCTGCCGCACCGTCTCCCCTTCCTGCACGATGCTCAGGCACACCGCGCACTGCGCCCACCCACCGCCGCCGCCGCGCCCGCTGCCGCTGCCGTCGCCGCGGGGCGCCGCCTCGGCCCACTCTTCTCTGCGGTACACGAACGACGGCAGCGTGGCGACGGCGGACGCGCTGAGCCCGCCGCCGCCGAGGAAGAACGGCCTGGCCGCCACGTAGACGACGGTGCCGCCGCCGCGGCGGCGGCGGCGGCAGCAGAGGCACTCGCAGAGCACGATCATGAGGACGGAGACGGCGGTGGCGAAGAAGCCGATGCCGAGGAGGACGAGCGTGTCGTGCGTGCTGTACCCGCCCTGGTCCGTCGAGTACGGCAGCGAGTTGGAGCTCGACGACAGCGACATGGCCGGCGAGCTCGATCGAGCAAAGCTAGCTAGCTAGCTGCTTCTTGATGCCTCTGTACTTGGCTTCTCTGCAAGCTATCAACTGTATATGATGGAATTTTAGATTAATTTTGGAGGTTTGATGAGCATAATTTGCTTGAGCTTGTTCAACTATATATATATATATATATGAGATGCAAGTTGTACAAATATTTTTAGATTAGGCGTTGAAAGAAATGATGTGACTGGTAAATTAATATTCCCTCCTTCCCTAAATGTTTGGCGCCATTAACTTTTTAAAATATATTTGACCGTTCGTCTTATTCAAAAACTTTTGTAAAATATGTAAAACTATATGTATACATAAAAGTATATTTAACAATAAATTAAATGGTAGGAAAAGAATTAATAATTGCTTTAATTTTTTGAATAAGACGAACGGTCAAACATATTTAAAAAGTCAACGGCGTTAAACATTTAGGGATGGAGGGAGTATAACGGTATAGATTAGTTTTGGAATTTGTAATTTATATACAAGTTCAAGTATACATGTCATTATGTCTACTCTGCGTCTCTGCGGCGCATGAAGTTGGGGCTTTACTACCCACGGTATTCAAATTAAACTTGTATAAAATTCATTTGATTAATGTGGGACGAAAATGGGATAAGCACAAGCCGGGGAGGGACTATCGGATAGGTGAATACTACAATGTTGTTGTTTATATATGTCATATGGCAATGATTCAATATGAAACAAATCCATTTATATTCCTAAGTTAGATTCGTTTTCTAATCAAATATATGAAATCTGATTATATATCAAATTTGATTATGCATGTTATTGTTATCAACTAGATATCTCGATTTCCCTATTGGATATGATCAATTAGGTCCATTTCCACAAGGGTTCTTCCTCTGTTTCCTCTTTCTTATGAATTTGATGATATGGGAGAAAATAGAAACTCATTGGTATATATCGAAGATGAAGGATGAAATAAAAGATCAATTAGTTGATAAAGAAGAGAAATGTAATAATGAGTCCATAAACATCTAATGATTATTATTAGAATCTAACAACGAGATCCAAAAGCAGTTCGGAGAATTTAAATTATCATTCAGTTGTACTTCTTACTTATATCTTTTATCCATATAGCTTAGAAATAAGATTTTCTTAGTTGATTAAATCCTTAAATTTTTTTTTAACGTTGGGAGCTCATCATGAATCCACTAATCGTTTCTGGATTTGTTTCGTTCTACTGGGCCTGGAGTTGGTCATGGTATTGTAGCATGGCCCTTCTATACTAGTTGTGGTACTCTGGGAACCCTTTTGCTTAATCCTAAAAACAAAACAAGTCACTTAGATTAGATATTTTCTTCTTTTTTATAAACTGGTGCTTGCTTTTGGATTTCCAATTGTATCATATCTTTACTCCCATTTATTATTCCTGAAATTTTCTATTTAAAGGAAAAGATAATATCCCCACCCTAGGATGATTAATTTGAGCATTTGTGTCTTCCTTCTCGTCTTTTATTTAGAGTAGTGGAAAGTACTCTCCTTTGTTTAGGAACTTACTTATGTAACATTTCTTTTAAGAAATAAGGTCTTTCAAATGTCAAATAAGACATAATTAGGATAGCTTAATCTGAAAGAAATTACAGTCGATATCTGAATAAAATGGGATGAGAAAATAAAAAGGAAAATAAAGTAAGAGAATTCAGACAAATTTATCATTGTTTTTCACTTTATTAAAGAAATGAATCGAGCACAACTCTTATCACCATTGCCAAGTCTAACCAGAGGTCACAGACGGTTATCGCCTCAAGATCAAAAGCTACTTTATGGTATTAGCCTCCAAGGGAAAACATCTGTTGGCACTGGTAACTCGGCAGTAATTTTTAAGTAATAGTAAGTACATCAAGCATCATCTTGGATCAAACTTTTTTTCAGACAAGTAATAGTAAGTACATCAAACAAAGCCTCACTATTATTCCAAGATGTTTGATGATATGACTAATAACAAATATTTTTTTCAGACAAGTGCCCCCTTGGCTGTATATGATCCGATCCATTCGTGTGCATGCTCGTACTAGCGTCATGGAGATAACCCTTGTTAGTTTAGATAACTATAAACAAATATGCATATATGCATGCGAAATCTTTTGCAGATCTAACTTCATGTCATGCTCCCCAGTTATTTAACGCAAATCGTGTTCAATGTCTCTTCGTCCTGCAAGATAGTCGTCACCACTCTGCAGGGATAATTAATTAACAAACACTCTCACTGTAGTACACATCTTGCTAAGCTAGGTTTCTCAACCACTGACAATCTGATGACATACAGAAGCTCAATTAATATATATAAACCGTACGTGTCTTCCTAATCACAAATGGATTATCCTTCGATCAGTTCCTGCTATATCTTAGCAAAATTTGGCTGGACTGTCTTATAGCCTCTTCCTGCAGTAACTCTCTCCGGGGAATTGGTAGTAGTGATTGTCTGACGACTGATATACTAGTTAGTTACGCCTTATTTAGTTCCCAAAAACTTTTTCCCAAAAACATCAGATCAAATCTTTGGACATATGCATGGAGTATTAAATATAGATAAATTAAAAAACTAATTGCACAATTAGGAGGGAAATCGCGAGACGAATCTTTTGAGCCTTAGTCCATGATTAGCCATAAGTACTACAGTAACCCATATATGCTAATGATGGATTAATTAGGTTTAAAAGATTCGTCTCTCAGTTTTCATGCGAGTTATGAAATTAGTTTTTTCATTTGTGTCCGAAAACCCCTTCCGACATCCGGTCAAACGTCCGATGTGACACCCAAAAATTTTCTTTTCGCGAACTAAACAGGCCCAATTTGGTTGCATCATGAGGAAAGAACGGAGCACACAGTTGAAATGGGTTCAGGGCCTTTGATCAGCCTGATTCCATGTACACACAGTAATGATTGACAGCCCATCCAACCCATGAAAGGAGAGCCCAATTTGAGGACATGACTTGAACACAGTAAGTTTTCCCGATTCTCGCGGAAATGAATTGATTAATGTGAAACTTTTGTATTCCAAAAGTGGCCGGAATGTCATTTTGGTTTAATTAGAATAGTTATTTTGCGATCACACATAAGGTGCATAAGGACTCCTCCACCGGCCTTGTTTTTTCGTTTATACTTATACTTATCAGCCAAAATTTAAATTTTCAACTTTAAATTTGGAGTTGATTTTAAGATTTTCTTTCATCATAGTATATTTTTCAGCTTTTGCTTTTAGATCATTAAAAACACATATATAAAAGTTTTATTCACAAATTATTTTCATTTACAAATATATTGTTTCGCTTATGCTTAAAATCAGCGAAATGATGGGGCCGCACATATGATACTCGCACTCACACATCCGCAAATACTCCCCTAAGTACATTCAAATATAAAGAAACCATGATCTGAAAAAAAAAGGAAACGAATAGCAAATCCTAACCTCATGCACAAAGATATACGGTGCCATTCTGTTTAATACGTACCAACTTATATGTAATATATTCGTAGTATCAGGATTCAAACCTAGAGAATGGACATGTATCCATGACTCCACCAACATATGCCTCCCTGTTTAGTTCCTGCAGTTGATAGCTTGTTCACATAAATTTTGACTTTGGTTATATATTGCTTCACTGTGTATTTTCATTGTTTTTAAGATACTAGGTTTTATGTTAAAAATTCTCCTGACCAAACTTTTTTAAAAAACAACTTAAAATCAGACAAATTTGGCAACTAGCAACAATACAGTGGGGGAATAATATCTCGAAAATATCCCACATTCAGTGTTATCTCTCTTTTCAGGGGGTGACAAAACTTATCCAGCTTTGCAACCTGTCAGTTGCGTATCATGTGTCAATGTTACATTGACACACATGATGTGCACGTGCCATCATCCAATGAGCAATGGACAAGTTGCACGGTGCAACGGGATAAGTCCATTGTAGTCTTTGTCAACCTGCTCTACAAGCTCCATGAACCTCAAGATTCTTCACAAGTTGCTCTATCAATCTCAAGAATTTAATTGACCCATGACGACGAATATGTAACAACGACGCAGGATATTTTGCAGTGATCGGTGCATGTAACCTACTATGGGGTGAAAATGTTACAGATATTTTGCTGTCCAATCGAAGTGTTGATGCTGAAATTGTTGTATTTTGAGGTCAAAATCTGATATTTCATCGTGAAAGGTACTTTGAATTCAGAAAAGACGCGCGCGACTAACTCAAACAATTAATGATATTCTGATAATTGCACTTTCTGATACTACAAAAATTACTCTGCAAAAAATCCCTCCATTCCAAAATGTAAGTGTTTTTAGACTCTGACACGGTTCCCGAGATGTTATTTTGACCAACAATAAATATAAAAATAAGATGTTTTAAATAAAAATGTGCATATTATGATAGTTTGTTTAATGATAAATCTAGTAGCATTAATTATACATGTTTGATCTTTTTTATATTTTTGCTATTAATAGTCAAAGTTTAAAATGTTTGACTTGTAACTATGCTAAAAATGTTTATATTTTAGGACAAATGAAGTAAGAAGCACTCAAGAGGACTCATTAATTAGAAAGGAACTGAACCAATAAAATAATATTAATTTTTTGCTTCAGAAAACAGTTTTCAGCTAGCAGTTTTTTTTTCTTTTTTTGAGAACTAGCTAGGAGTCTATATATAATAATGTTCCTACAATATTTCACATTAATATAACTTACTAGTATACTGCCAATCACAATGACAAACAAAATTATTGTTCCTAATTAAAATATTTGTTCGGCTCCTTTCAGTGATCAGCCCACCCAATATTCAGTTGAGTGCAATCTAATCCATATCACTTTCACTATTAATTACTCCATCTTTGCAATGATACTGGCACGTATACACAAGAAAGTAGGAAGCTAAAGCAGAGCCAAATAAAACCTATCAAAATTCAGCAGAATTAAGAGATCAAATGACACTTTATATTGAAAATTCGTTTGTAATTACAGAATCGAAATCTTTCTAACTGTACTTAATAATTACACTAATCCTAATTAAAACACCTCAAACTTGCCAAATCTGCGGGGCGCGATCCATGGCGCCGGCCGCTAGACTTTGTCGCCGGCCGCGGCGGCGGCGGCGCCGACGTCTCGCCGGCAGAGCGGGCACGTGGCGTGCGAGTACAGCCACATGTCGACGCACTCCACGTGGAACAGGTGCTTGCACTCCGGCAGCCGCCGCACGGCCTCGCCGTCGCGCACCACGCCGAGGCAGATCGCGCACTGCGCCCACCCGCCGCCGCCGCCCGCGGCGCCCCTCCGGTACGCGAACTTGGGGATCGCGGCGAGCGCGGACGGCGCCAGCCCGCGCAGGCCGCCGACAGCGGCGGGTGCGGCGGCGGCGCCGCCGCCACGGCCGGACGGCGACGCCGACGCCGAGGCCGCGTAGCCCTGCAGGGTGACGGCGCGGCGGAAGCAGACGGCCACGGTGAAGACGATGATGGAGGAGGCGAAGGCGAGGCAGACGAGCACCACCGTGTCGCACACGCGGTAGCTCCCGCCGGCGACGGCGTCCGCCGCGGTGGCGCTGCTGGGGTCGTGGGACGACATGGGGCGACCGCGCGCGTGGCGAGGAGTAGTGGGGTGGGTGGTGCCTAATGATTTGCTAGTACATATCGAGCTAAGAATTTAGTGATCTTAATTTGATTAATTAATTGATCTAGATCCTGTTTAGATCCTCCAAAATAACAAAAGTTTTGCCATTTTGTAGTACTTTTTGCCATTTTGAATCTAAACACTATTAGCAAAAGTTGGCAATTTGGCATTTGGCATTTGCTAGTCCATAGTAGCAAATTGTGCCAAAAAGTGCTTTGAGATCACTCCCTCTCTCTTTCTCTCTCACTTTAGTGCTAGAATGGCAAAACTTTAACATGCATCTAAACACTAACTAGTACTTTTGTAATGCCAAAACTTTTGCCACCAAAACTTTTGCCATTTGCCATTTGCCATTCTAAATGGATATAAACATGCCCCTAGTGCTCGATTATTATGATGTGATAGATGCTGGAGGAGAGATGAATTGGGGGATTAGGAGCTCCATTGTTTCCTTATAAGTCAAATTTTAAATATTTAAAACTTAATTCTTTGAGCAATTCTATGGTTCTTGAAGTTACCATGATGTATTATTTTTTCTATTGTAAATTTAGTATATAATAGTAGTATCTAGATACCAAGAGGTACTAAATTTTATGCTAAATTTTTGATATCTCGTGATACCTTCTCAAGAACGGTAAAAATGCTCTGATTCCTTAAGTTAATTTGTATTCCTTAAGTTAATTTGTCTGGTTTTTGGTTGTAATTTATTTTACAAACAATTACTTTTAATCACTAGGTACACAGATATAAAAATTGGTCATAAATTATTTTTTTTAATTTTAATTAGCGATTCGCATAAGCAAAATAATGAATCCATTAATCAAGGTTTGAAACAGTGATGTAGTTATCAGACTTATCAAACCCGCCCATATTTGAGTCAACTAAAATTCAGTTGTAGTATAAAAGAAATATTTCAATTTTACAGGTTTTTGTCAATAATTACTTGGTTATCAGTGAAATCGCTACGGAGGGGTATACAGTGACCGATCTTTGTAAATCCTGTGTTAAATCAGTTGATTGTAAAACCGTGGGTAATGCATGAACGGTTTTGTCTAGATAACAAGTTCGGAAGAAATCTTTTTTCTTTTGAAAGAAACTTGACAAGATTATTGGTGATAGTTGCCATTAAGGTCATATCGAACTACTATCGAGGACAGTAGGAAAATGAAACATTGGCCAGGGGTGGCACGTGCATGGTGTCTAATCAAATAGGGTAATGAAGTAGAAATAGTGTCACAAATGGTCCTCTAAACCCTTGAAAACTAAGGCTGTCTTCCCGAGGACTCCTGACACAAAAATGAAGCACACGATTATAGTGATATTAATTAAGTATTAGCCTAAAAAATTTAAAAAATAGATTAATATAATTTTTTTAAAGCAACTTTCATATAGAATTTTTTTAAAAAACAAACACCGTTTAGCAGTTTGAAAAACGTGCGTGCGGAAAACGAGGGAAGTGAGTTAGGAAAGAGGTGAAAAGAACGTATCCTAACAGGGTTAACAATTAATGTGAATGGTTTAAGGTGACTGGTTTTCATCATAATTAAAATCTGAAGAAACTTTGATCAAACCTGAATAGTTTTTTAAAATGCACAAAAGAATTAAATAGTTACGGGGCGAAAGAGGTGAAATTCATGAAAGTTTTTTAGAGAGTAAATTGAACTTGTAAAATACTTATTTTGGTGCACGAACTTGTTTGGTGCATGCGAACAAAGTCAAAATCACACGGCAAATTTAATCTTTTTAATTTTGTTGTTGATTTAAACTCTATGTAAACATGTGTCTTAGGAGGATAAACATATAATAAGACATAACGATTGCATAAAAAATAAAAAAACCAAGAAATGATGTAAGGGATAGAAACAAAGAAATATAAAGTGGAAATTAAGTTTACAAGTATAACATTTCTAATATGTGCACGCACATCATCTACTACTTTATAATTTATAATATTCAACATAGAAAAATCGGTCTTATCGTATCATTTTAGCCTTAGTTTGCATGTATCGAACAAGTTTATATACCAAAACGAGCATTTTACAAGTTCATACAGTAAATTACATCTATCTGATAAGTTCATGTACCGCTAATATAATTTACTCTTTTTTTAAAAAAATATTCTGGAATTTTGAACCCGGGTAATAGCCTGGACACAACCACCACCACAAATAGTCCAATAACCCCTGGTGCACTCAAAAGCGACAATACCTTCAAATTATACTTATTTTATTTAGTTTAGTTTTGACATAGGCCGTTTTTAGCTTCCTCTTGTTTCTAACTTTCCATCACATCATATCACATGAAAACTTTCCTACACACATAAACTTCCAATTTTTTTTCCTAAACTTCCAACTTTCTTCAAACTTCTAACTTTTTTCAGGAACTAAACACACCCATAGATGATGAGAGCCACCTGAGCAGAATGATCATCTCTACCATAATAGGTCGCGCTCATTTGGTATGACTATAGCATAGTACAACAAGATTATATAATTTTGATATATGTAGCTGAAAATTAAAATACGTTATTTTATTTATGTGATATTAAATTTTGTTTACATGTATACATTGACCTCGTTATAGTTCTATTAAATGTAAAAAAAATAAATTTAATCAATTACATTTAATTCATTATTCTATTTATTTCGATTTTGGTTCAAGTGAAACTTATTATATTCAAGTTTGTAGGTAGTAGACATTTCAGTAGCCAATGCAGTAATACACCTGTAAATTCAAAATAATTTGTAAATATATGGCATAAAGAATAATAAACTGTAAAAAAAAACAAAATTCATGTTCGACCGATGTTAGGCATGACCTTACTGTATCATGTTCAATCATTCTGATCCTACAAAAAATTTTTTTTCTGATCCATGTCATGTGGTCTACATCCCAATTCTTCTAATGAAGTCTACATCCAATTATCTGAATTGTGACGTGTATGATCCAACGCCAAGATATTTTGTTCTCCTCGTTGTGCAAGAAATCAATGGGGGACCTGAGATGCGACACTTTTTACAATAAGAGAGAAAAACTAAGCCGGGTAATGCAATTGCGTGTTATCAAAAAATAAAAAACACAAGACATAGCATCTATAGTTTTTCGCTATTGTTTCTATTTATTCATGACTTAATTCAAGCATACCAAATGGATCTCTGTTTTAGTTATTTATCACTAGAACACATTAGCCACAGGACAATTGACGAATACAACAGAGTACATTGCCTTAACGGCACATGCAAATCGATGTAAAATACATGTCTAAGCATTGTGTATAGCAAAGTTACTTCTGTTCCTAATCTGCACCTGAGTAAGGCTCCTAGGTTGTAGCCAAGAAGCTCAATAACTTCTGTAGTCAACAACTTGATGAGTGAAACCCTGAATTTCAACCATATGCCTAATACTATAATGCAATATATTATAGTACCATTATGTTTCCAAGATATAGTTAAAAATAAATGAGTTATCCTCATAATGATGCTTATGATGCTTATTTAAAAACGAAAATGACAGTAGACTATGCTTTCTTTTGTGGCACACACAACTAGCTTACTTGCGCTGCTCTGATTCTTCCTCCCTGGTTCCATCTCTGCACATTTCCACATCGGACAGTAGTTTTCAGATTTCACCTTTACCTTCTTCTTTTTCCAAGAATGATTTCAGCTTGACCTATTCTTCTCACGTTTTTGTATAGTTTTTTTTTGCCTTGGATTATTTGTTCAACGCTTCTAAAAATACGATTTCTCAAAAGAAATTCTTTTACTTCGTACCACTTGTTCTAAGCTACTGGTATTATTGAAGTTTATTTCTTAAATTATTGGTTCATCGCGCTCATCAAGGAAACAGTCCGTCTAAATTATTTGAATTGAAGACACTCCTAATATTGTTAGGTAGACAGATTGTTTCAGGATTCAGACTTTCAGAGTTCAGAGACAATAGAAAAGACCCTGAGCTGCTGCAGACAGCAGCTGCTCATATGGGGTGTTCCTTGTGGATAGACATCCGGTTATTATCCACTTGAATTGCTTTTGGATGGCTCTGTGGCTGGGTTGCTGCCTAATTCCATCGTCGCTGTCACCACCTCAAATAATTCTCCTCAGTTTCGTCAGTCTTCAGCTGAAGATCAATGCACATTGGCGATTGCTAGGGTCGTTTTCGAGAACAAGAACAATCCAGAGGCGCCGCTGGAAAAGTTCTTAAAAATGACATGAGTATTCATGTCTCCGTTCATCTTATTCTTGTTTATCACTTCAAAAAATGATTAAAAGTTTCTCACCTGTATTGACATTATCGAAACAAACATGTTTTGTGACTAACTTTTGAATTTTTTAGAAGCGCAGGTGCACTTCTCTCTATGTACGTACGCGTCCTCTACATATGCTGGAAAATTGTTAGGACCGTGAATACACTTCTAATAAAATTATGAACAAGCATCTACAACTTAAATCATTAAAGAATAATGGATAGGCATTTACCTACATAGAACTCTCTCATTGTTCGCTTGCTGGCTTATCAGCCACATAAAAGTAAAAAAAAATATAAATATTTTAAGTTGATTTTAAGATATTTTTTATGGTAGTTTGTTTTTCAGTATTAGATTTTACTTAAAGTTAATTTCAATTGTTTCGTTTATTTTTCTACAGGATATCCTCTGGCCATGCATACACAAACTCCTGGCGAATTCTCTGCTTAATAAAACCTCTGGCGAATCGTTTAAGCTGATCCTACTTTATTCAAGCCTGCACCTACCAGAAATTTCCTACCGTGTTTTTAAATCTGAACTTTGCTTTCAACACATGGAGCAACTTACCATGAGGTCCATTGAACAATTACACTAATTAATAGCTAATTAATATCAGCCACCTGTCCTCCAAATCCTGTGTGCTCAACCTCAACCATCACCCAGTTTGCAACTCCAATCCATGTGCAAGAAATCGAAGTTTCTCCATTCACACACACACAAACAAAAAAAAAAAATCGAAGTTTCTAGCAGCAGCTAAGCTAAGCTAAGCTTACCTTCCACTTCCAAACCGCACCACTTGTGGAAGCAAAAGACACAGTTCTAGCACACCAAACCGCAATTAATTAGCACTAATCGCTTGCATAATCACGAACTTTATCTTGATACAAAAGCATCCACGATGATTGCCTCCCGGCCAGCCATTCCCCGCCACTAATCCATAATTTTTATTCTGTTCGCAACCAGCCAAACTGAGGCCGAGAAGAAGCGTAGCTGCGTAGGCATATCGGCTTTGCTTTGAGCTAAGCTTGGGCTGAGTGAGTGTGTGTGGCACATGTCGTCGACGGCGGCGGGCGGCGCGCCGGGGCCGGCGGCGCAGCGTCATGGCGGCGGCGGCGGTGGAGGGGGGTGCTGCAGCTCAGGCGTGACGCTGGAGCTCGTCGGCGCGTTCACGGCGGTGTGCCTGGTGCTGTACGGGGTGATACTCTACTTCAACTACCTGTACGTGCGGTGGAGCGGCCGCGACGGCGTGCACCGGACTTCGGGCGGCGGCGGCGGCGGAGGGCGTGGAGCGGCGGCGAGGAAGAGGGGCGGCGGCGGCGGCCTCGACAAGGCGGCGCTGGCGGCCATTCCGGTGTTCAGGTTCAAGGCGTCGGCGTCGGCGGCGGCGCTCGGCGGCGGCGAGGCGGAGTGCGCGGTGTGCCTGAGCGGCATGCAGGACGGCGACGCGGTGCGCGCGCTGCCCGGGTGCGGCCACGCCTTCCACGCCGGCTGCGTCGACGCCTGGCTCCGCGCCCACGGCACCTGCCCCGTCTGCCGCGCGCGCCCCGCCGTGCCGCCTCCTCCGCCGGCGAAACCACCCTGCCTGAAGGCGCCGGAGCCCGCCGCCGCCGCCGCCGGCCGGCAGCCGGTCGACCTGGAGAGCCATGTATAGCACTAAGCTAATCAAGACGGTTAGTTAATTTTAGCCATGTATAAAATCTAGTTAGCTCCTACTCCTACTACTACATGTTCCTTAATTAGTTTTTTTTTTTTTTTGCGTTCTTGAAATCAAACGCCATTTTCGTCAATAATCCAGCAACGCCATTGTTCCCATTGAGATGAACAATGCCTATGTCCAATGTCTTGGCACTCTGTAAATCACTTTTTGTTGTTTTGCTGTAATTTTTTTCCCCTGGTTTTTGCCAACTTTGAAGCACAACGATGTGCAATATGGATAGCAATCTTATCTGATAAACACTGCATAATAATTGAGTGGTTAACCAGATTTAACTGCTAGTAGTGGTTGCATTCAAGTAAATCAGGTGGGTGGTTGAACTGATGCCTGGTTGAAGGGGACATTGCATTGCCATTGGTAGATGTACCTCTCAACACTTGCATTGTGCAAGAGTGGCCACAGCGATGACACTGAGGCTTGTGCATTATCAAGGCATCAAAATGGTTGTTTACTACTCCCCTGTTTCATATTTCGTTTTTTTTATCAAACTTCTTAAAAGTTTGATTAAGTTCATATAAAAAAATAGTAATACTTATAACACCGAATTAGTTTCACTACTGACTATTTTGATAGTTTTTTCTTGTTTTATATCGAAAATATTACTATTTTTTTTTAAATTTGGTTTAAACTTGACTTATAAAAAGTTAAAATTACTTATGCCATGAAGCAGAGGTAGTATATATATCTTTTTCCATAAGCTTACGACAACAGCGTCAAAACAGCCTATGTACCAACGATGTTTTTTTTCCCTATGATATGAAAGGATTTTTTTTTTTTTGAAACTTGATATGAAAGGATTGTACAATATTCCTAACAAACAAGTTGCCAATATAGGTGTGTGGCGTGTACACCTTTCTTCTCAGCTGAAGTTGCGGTGGGCTTATTGAGAAAAGCTTAGGTTATCACTACAGATGTGCTATATATGTTTAGAGAATAATGATACTAGTACTACAGGACAAAATATGGTAGAGCAATTGCAGTGCCTATACTATACTCCTATATAAGGGGTTGTTTGGTTGGCATACTCACGTTACCAAAACTTGCCATACTTCATTTAGCTAACATGCCTAACATGTGGATAACAAAATTGAAGCCACACTTCAACCATAGAAGAGCAAACTTGCCACACTTTTACGTGCCAATGACATGTGGGACCCACGTTATGGTGAAGGAATCTTGCCATAAGTGTGGCACGAACCAAACGGATGCCTAACTTAGTCAAACCTGACTTACTTGAGTTGTGGCACAGTAAGACAAATTGTGGTAGTGAGCCAAACAGCCCCAAGACTGTTCGTACTCTCTGGCACGCAAAGACAAATCATTAGCGTATCATCGATTAAGTATGAATTATTACAAACATAAAAAATGAGTTTATTTGATTATTTAAAGAACTTCTATGTAAAAAGTTTTCATAAAAATACAGTGTTTAACAATTTGGGGAGTGTGCTTATGGAAGAGCAAGTTGCCACCCCAAACTCTAAAACGAACTCAGTAGAGTGCTACTGAGCAATGGTTTTGTTTTTTCTTCGATCTCAATCGTTGAATAAAACTAAGGCATTTTTTCTTTACGCAAATTTTGCAAGAAATAGTTTGATGGTGATAGAGAATGTAAACAATTCTCACATTCCAAATAGGGCCTAACTGGTGGAGATACTACTACGGTTTTAACGTAGGAGGATTAACCTTCGAAATGTTGTGCGATTGGAAAGGAGGAATGCGACGTGAATTTCACAGGATTTGAACTACTTTCTATTAAAATCATGTAAAATTTCCGTGTTCTAAAGTAGCCTGGCCTTAATTGATTTTCTGATATATCTCATGTAGATCACTTCAATGTTCTACAAATGATAATTGATGTAACAACTCCAATGTTCACCACGTTTACAAGTCAAGCAGCTATGCCAAAAGATGGCTTTTGAGCCAGAGAAACAGAGTCCACATGTTCCATACCTAGGGCTAAGTGGTCAATGTCTCCAGTATATAAGTAAAAAGTGCTCCATGGTGGATACTTTCACTTTGTGGAATATTTTTGCATTATTCTTCCCCACAAATATTGTGGCCATGAATATATTAGACCGCTCATGTGCCTTTCAACCATTTTTAACCCAAACCATTAGATGACTTGTCATTGACACCCTTTTAACCTCCACTAGCAATAGGTGATTTGGTTACCTCCATATGAAAGATTGGTCAGAGACAATCATTACTATATAAACCTGTTGTTGACACCCTCTTAGTCTCCACTCACCCGTGGTTTTTGCTAATAGAAATTAAATTGGATGATAACCACATTTGAAACTTTGCTTGCCAAAAAACCAAGAGGGAACCTAAGGTTGGGCCAAGACTCGGCTAGGCCACTATGAACTTGGCCACATTCTGAAGTACATGGTGAAATAAAAAAAAAATCTGAGTTTGGACCATATGGATTATGGAGTTGTATAAATCAAGCAAAATCCCTGCAAACCTCGGTTAGGTTTGCATGTATAAATCCAGATAAAATTAAAAGAATGACCTCACTTAAATGTAAACTATAATTAAAATAACAAAATGAAATTCCTAGCTCTGCTATTAAATATTAACATATCTCCTTCAATGTTGCTTGCTTTTTTTATTTTTGAGAACTCTCCAATGTTGCTTGTTACTCCCTCCGTTTCATTTTATAAATCATTTGACTTATTTCTTATACGAAGTTTTTTTAGTTTAATCAAGTTTATAGTCCTATAGAATAAAATAGCAACATCTACATACAACATCAAATTAGCTTCATTAAATTTAACATTGAATATATTTTGATACAATATTTGTTTATATTGAAAATGTTATTATATTTTACTATAAACTTAATTAAATTTTAGGAAGTTTGGCTTTAAAAAAGTTAAACGACTTATAATATAAATATTATAAACGGAGGAGTACTTTGTTAGTGGCTACAATGCTATGCACGTGTTGTCCTTGTTCATAATTGAAAGAATAACATCTCACACCACACATCTTATTATCTCGGTTTTGAAATGATGAGCGTAACCAACATAGGTCCATCACTATACCTTTGTGGCAACCATATGTCGACACGACGACACACCAGACGTACGAGCTATTGGCCAAAGCCAAACGTGGTGATGCATGACTGATGACCACCAACTCAAGGGATCTAATGCCATGTGAAGCGTCCAGTGGCAGTTTTTTGTTGTTGCATATTTGTATTTCTCATGAATAATGATTAATTTACTTTGTGTTGTACAGCTTCATTCGTTTCTTGCTTCTCTCGTGATCTCGTCAATTTCTACGTTATCTTTTTATGAGCATGCCTCTTTTTTTTTCACTATTTAGGCTTCTCTCGCTAACTTCTACATTATCCTTTTAGAAGCATGCTTTCCGAACAGATAAACAAAGTGTTTTTTAAATACTTTATATATAAAAGTTTCTAAAAAATAAAAAAATATTTTTCAAATTTGTAATGGTGAATACTTAATTAATAGTATAGTAATGACTCAAGTTTTATGTGTTACTAAAAAGCTAAGTTAAGCTGAAACGAACAAAGCATTAGACACCATTATTCCAACTTTAAGGCTCATTCGGTTCTAGACTTCTACTTGTGTCGTTTTTTAAGGTTGTGTCGTTTTTTAAGGTATTGACTTGTAACCTCATAAACATGAAGCTGAAATTTGTACTATTTGAAAAAAAAGGCATACTTAATCCAATTTAGTGTCCTACTTATAAATTATCACGTGCACAATTCTTTTAAAAATTTCTAAGTTTCTTAGAATATTTTTAGTGATGGGCAACGCACCCGTCGATAGCGAGACGTTTTTAGTAACTTAGTCAATGTTAAGATATACTGATATAATCTTTTGAATGTGCTTATAGGGATTAAGTGTGTGTATACATTAATAGGAGTGAGAACGTGCATACGTTCCTTAAAAAATAACTTTTTAAAACAGACCTTACTTTGTAATAGTTATTAATTCATTCGTGTGTACCCTCAATATTATCGTCTTTTAATTTCCATTCAGCCATTCCAAACGGTGTCTACAAGCAGTAAATTTCCATGCATTTATCGAATTTAGGGTATTTTGAATCACATGAATGAAAAAACAGATAAATATGAAAGACATATGATTCTGACAATAATGCAAGTATAAAATAGATGACTTTAAAATATAGAAAAAACATAGAAATGACCGTTTGATTGGGCCATAGGAAAAACACCGGAATTTGAGGAGAGATAAAAATTCGAAAGATTCTTTCTATGAGGTTATGTTAAGGGCCCCTTTGATTTGTAGGAAAAATGTAGGAATTTTGGAGGATTTCAATCCTATGAAAAAAAAATCCTATGAAGGCCTTTGAAACAAAAGATTGAATCCTATCCAATCCTTTAAAATTCATATGGAATGGGTAATCATACGCACATTTTGGAGGAAAGTTAGTAAGAGGTCTAACCTCTTGGAATATTTCCTCTGAGTCTATCTCTCTCATCTGATTCCTGTGTTTTTCCTGTGGTCCAATCAAACGGCTATTCCTTTGTTTTTCCTATGTTTTGTAATCCTCTGTTTTACAATTGTACTCTTGTCAGAATCCTGTGTTTTTTCAATCTATCAGTTTTTTTATTCCTACGATTCAAAGGCGCCCAAAATTTCCTCCAAAAATTTACATGAGAAGAGGCATTCTACAGGAATTTCATAGGATTTAAAGGGTTATATTGGAAAAATTCCTATAGAAATAAAATCCTCTAAAAATATTATGAATTTCCTTTGAATCAAAGAGGGCCTCAAGTACAAAAATACCGTCCTTGCACTCCGAGCAAAATTCATCCCAAAATTCAAATCCACGCACACTTCAAACTTCAAACTTGAAACCATCGCTTCCGAATCTTGAAACTGCCGCGGGAACGACGGGAAGAATCACCGAATCAGCATCCCATTACGTGACGCCACGTGTCTTTTTTTTCCCATCCCAAACCTCGGAAACCGCGGGCCAACAAATTTCGAAGCCTCCGCGCCAACACAGCGCCCGCGAGGCCTCCCCTTCCCTCCTCCCCCAAAAATCCAAAATTGGAAAAATTTTACCAGTCGCCTCCTCGCTCCAAAGCTCAAAATCCAAAAACTGCTTCAGCTGAAATGAAATCCCAGAGGCTCGCAACCCACGCGCCCATGAAATTTGGGGAAAATTTAGCCTCCCGAATCCCCAAATTTCGAAAAAACCCGGCTGGTTCATGCCGCGCCCAACCTCCTCTTTCGAGTTTCGATCCATGTCAAATACCAGCGCCACCGCTCGCTCGCTCCTCATCGTCGCAAATTCGCAATCCGCTCACCAATTCCCACCTCCAGATCGACTCCATCTCCTCTCCTCTCCTCTCCATGGCCGTTCTTGGGTCGCGCGCGTGCGGCGGCGACGACAAGGAGAACGTGCCGCCGATGCCGGCGGTGGCGGCGGCGGTGGCGGCGAGTTCTTGGCATGGCATCGCCGTCGTCAAGAACCAGAGGATGAAGAGGCCGGGCGGCGGCGGAGGGAAGCTGCGGAGGCGCGTGCCGCTCCGCGACATCACCAACCTCATGTACGTCGCCGCGCGGCCGCCTGCTCCACCGGCTGCGAGCTCCGTGACGGCGGCGGCGCGGTCGCGGGAGGAGCCGGTTGCGGCTGCGGCGGCGTTGCCGGCGAGGCGTTCGCTCAGGAAGGAGTTCAGATAGCGGCACGAAGCAATTCGTCGATTCAGATTGGCAGCAATTGCTGCTAGAGTTTTGTAGCAGTAGGAGCGTAGAACAGATGAAATGGAAATGGAAATTGAAACAAATTTGATTCAGCTCAATTCTTTTGCATTGCTACTGAGGTGTTGCCACAAAGACCACAACCAAACCATGGTGACCATCTTGCATGCATGCCAACTGTTCGATGGAATGCTGTGTGCACGCCAGAATACTCCTTTCTTCAAATCGCTGTGAACCCAAGTGTTCGTCCCGATTTGGAATTTTAGATCAGCTATGTTTCATACCTACGGAGTACTCAACAACATCATCATTTTATTTCTTTTTGGGAGAGGAACATCAACATCATTTTGGAACCATGTCATCTACCTCCATCGCCACGAAATAAACCAACCTTAGATATGATAGAACATCACTAGTACCTTATACAACGAACTGAAATTCAGGTATCATCTGACCTGGGATTTGATAACGGGACAACAGACACCAACGAGCCATCAGCCATATTTGCATAGTTGCATCTCATCAAACGAAACACAGCTCTGAATTCTAGAGTGTGTACTAGCCATTTTCACATCACTTCAACCTGAAAAAATTACTCTATATACTTGCATCCATTTCAACCTTATCAGGCAATCCAGCTGGTTAGTACCAAATTTGGTTTGGCAATTATCATACCAGATACCTATCTCACTACCCGGTACCATACTGTTTCGGAACATGAAACCGTGGTATAGCACCTCCTATTTATTACTCCCTCTGTCCTCTGATACAAGGGATTTTGACATTTTACTTGTACTGTTTAACCATTCGTCTTATTAAAAAAAATTTGGAGTTATTATTTTTTTACTTACTTTATTATCCAAAGTACTTTAAGCATAACTTTTCGTTTTTTATATTTGCACAATTTTTTTTTGAATAAGACGACTGGTTAAACAGTGTAAGCAAAATGTCAAAATCTCTTATATTATGAGACAGATGGAGTAAGAGCTTAAGGAGAGAGACTATCTGACTTTTTATAAAAATCTGAATATTATGTTCTATTATCTCTTCAAGAAACTTTAAGTAATTAATTATAGAAGAAGAGTTATGTTTATATAGACCAAACTGCAATAGATCGACAACAAATCTGAAAGTTATCCAGTAAAAAACAACAAATCTGAAAGTTATGAGAGATGTGTAAAACTATCCAGAAGAATTGTTTCAAAATAGTTAAAAATATATTTGATTGGCAAGTTACACAATAATTGAACTATGTGTTAGGGTTACGGGTAAGGTGTACCCTCTATCCTTGAATATAAGATGTGTCAGGGTTATGGATACCACATACCTAATAGTAGTTGACTAAATCTCGACAGGACCCACCACATACCATGTCTTATACGGAAACAACCTTCGGATATAGGAGGAGTTCCGCATAAGGAAGGATGAATAGAGTTCTACATGGAAACGACTAGGACTATTTGGATTATATCCATATTGGTTTTCCTAGTTCTACTTGGACAATGGGACACCTATGGGTATAAATACAAGGCCCCCTAGGAGGAGAGGGGACACGGAACAATAGATCAAGACACAAAATCAACATACAAGCCAACACGCCGCCAAATATCAACATCAAAGATTAGCTTAGACAAACCCTATCGGGGGTACCTGCGGGGGCCGGCAAGAGGGGTCAAGCACTATCTCTGATCTCGACGAGTTCGTGCTCGAGGAAGAAGACTACCCTATCGTCGACTACGAGTTGGTTATCTAGCCATCAAGTCGACGACAGCCAGATATGTTATCCCAAATGTTGTATTTGTGTGATCCAGATGAATAAAGAGCAACACCGGCTTCGGCCAACAGGATGTAGGGTTATTACCTGACAATTCAGGGGCCCGACCATGTATAAAAATCCTCGTCTCTGTCTCTTTTACCTAAGTCTCGCATATATCCTGGTACCAACGATCCCCATACCATGCAAATACCGGAATCGTGACATCAAACGTCGACACGATGGGTACCGATATAGTATACCCGCGCGTGTACGAATAGTTTCCGTATACATTAAGGAAATCTATCCTGTGATAGTAACGGAATCTACGGATGGAAGGAGTCTTACTCGGGCAAGACTGGGGCAAGACTGGGTCTTTACCATATCGTGAGGGGTCCGATATCTCCGAGTTCTACTTGGAGATCAACTGACCCACGGTATAAAAGGGACCCCTGGGCAGGACCTAAGGCATCAAATCTCACCACCAACACACCCACCACAGCCTACCAAGCCGGAGCCTACAGGAGCCAAGTCGCCGGAGATCTAGTCGGACCAACTGACTACGGTCTCGTCGGTATCATCGAGTTCTGTTATTCCCTTTGTAATCTGTGGTTTCCATCATATAATCCTATACCAACTGGATTAGGGCTATTACCTGCTAAGGGGTCTAAACTAGTATAATCCTTGTCTTTTGTCTGCTTGATGTCGTACTACGTAGATCCTCGTACCGACGGACCCCAATACCCTCTATATCCGGTCTACGGGTATCCCCGTCGACACTATGAAAGGCATGTTATGCGGCAAAATTACTTACACCAATATGTTTCATTGATTACATGAAAACAAAGTTACAAATATGTTATCTCACAAAAGTTACTTATCAACTGTAGTGTGCCATGTAAAGATGACAAGAAACCTACATATTTGTTATTTTGAAGAACACCTAACTTATCAAGTATAGTTGGCCACGCAAAAATGACAACATTCTTACAAGTTTGTTATCTCAAAGTTAGACTCATCTTATCAAGTATAAGAACTTTATGGGGTAAAAACAAATATACTCACAATGCAAAGACATACATTAAGAGTATGGATAGACATGTTAACAAACTTTATTTGTATTTCTTCAAAAGCACAAGGAGTGTGTCATGGCTGAGTCATGAAATGTACAGGTCAACTTGCAAAGTTGCAATACCCTATGTACTATTTTAGCAATACAAGTCAGATATTGTCTATACATGCAACAAACTCTATCACCTAAATCCCAATATGCCTTTTCTTTGCTATATACACTAGCTTGATCTATCATTGAACTCACATCAATTAGCTTAAGTTTCCATTAGCATATACAGAAAGCTATGGCAACTACTGTTTCCTCTCAGTTTTCTATATGCTTTTGTGTACTTCTCTTGGTCCATGATTCTATGGCCCAACTATTTTATCCAAGAACAAACCCATGGCATAGTCCTCATCAAGGAAGTTTTAGTGAGTATAGATTTGATAGATTACAAGCATTTGAGTCACTTCAGAAAGTGAGATCAGAAGGTGGTGTGACTGAGTATGTTGATGAGAGGAATGAATTATTCCAGCACACTGGTACGTTTGTCATCCGACGTATCATTCAGCCTCAAGGTCTTTTGGTACCTCGATACACCAACACTCTCAGCATGGTCTACATCATCCAAGGTTTGTATGATGATAAATACAATAAAAAATTCTATCAATGCAGCTGGCATTCTAGCACTTATGACTTTCATGGTCGAAAGAATATGTTTTGATGTTTTTATGCACCTAATGTGAACATTTTAATTTGTAGGGAGAGGTACTATGGGCTTAACTTTCCTCGGTTGCCCAGCAACTTACCAACAACAATTCCAACAATTTTCGCCTCAATGGCAAAGTGAAAGCCAAAAGTTTAGGGGCGAGCACCAAAAGATCTATCAATTTAGACAAGGAGATATTATTCCACTCCCAGCTGGTGTTGCACATTGGTTCTACAATGATGGTGATGCACCTGTTGTTACCATATATGTTTATGACATAAACAACCGTGCTAATTAGGTTGAACCAAGGCAAAAGGTATCTTTTTAACTAATATTTCCATAGAAGTTGTGGTTGGTTTATGTTTTTCACATGTTCTCGCATTGCAATCCATACTTAAAACATCCAGCTTTTCATTGATAAAAGTTTCAGGAATTCTTATTAGCTGCTAACAACAATAGAGTTCAACAAGTATATGGTAGCTCAATTGAGCAACACCCTAGGCAAAATATATTCAACAGAATCGGTGTTGAGCAACTAAGTGAGGCTTTAGGCATCAACACAGTAGCAGCAAAGAGGCCGCAGAGTCAAAATGACCAAAGAGGAGAGATCATTGTTGACGGGTTATACCCGACCGCGGTATTTAAGGGACGTAAGGTACGACTGATACCAAGGAATACGCGAGAGTGGAATAAGAGAGCATGGGACAAGGATTTTTATACTGGTTCAGGCCCTCAAGGTAGGTAATAATCCTACTCCAGTTTATATGTACTGATTTGGGGTGCATCACAGTGTGTACAAATGGGAAGTAAGCTAGCTCATCTAGCCTACCAAACAAATCTCGACATGCAAAGTGGCGGGTTGTAGTTGGTGGTTAGTTGAAGGGCTTCCTCCTGGCGTAAAATTGATGAGGCTTGGTGTCTATGGTTTATGATTCGATGCCCTTCCCTCATAGGAGACCCTATTTATGCACGGGTTCCAATTAGAATAGGGGCATACAAGACCCTGTTATCCCTGTATCGAACTACACAATTCTTCCTTAGGTGAACAAGGATTTTCCTTATTTCTATCTCAATAAATATTTAGGGATAACTTTCCATATAAGAATAGGTATGCAGTATTCCTGGTCATGGTAAGTGTAGGTATATGGGATATCACATACCTATAACATTGACGGTAGCCCCCGACCTCTGCAAATATACATACGACATCACCGTTGCCCTTTTGCTCGAGAAACCATTTTGTCAAGAAAGTAAACTGCAATTGGAAAACGTAGGATTACGTCAAGGTCAACTACTTGGTCCTTTTATCTGGGCAATATGCCACGACATGATCGGATTTTAAATCTGGACAGAGGTTAGAATCTTAACTGCCAAATAGGAATGCTCTATTGGTTCCCTGGGAATTTCGGACCACTTTCCTCAAAATGCTAACCATCAGCCCTAGCTTTATATTCCAGCGGTGAGATTCATTTAGAACCTATTTGCTTCAGTTGCTCTTTGCGCTCTTCGCGTTCAACCTTCCAGGACCCAAAAGCACTAGTTTCTACCACAAATTTCCATTCCTTCCCCGATCATCATCAATGTATCTTGGAGAATTGACCATGGACCAAGCGGCACTCAAGGAGCTGTAGGTGGAGGGAGCAATCCATGGGTAAGGGATGATGAAGTATTAGGTGGTAAGGTACCGAACCCGCTCCTAATCTTAGAGAAATTTAACGTTTGCATCCTTCTCTCGTTGCAGTTGTTTAGCTCCCCATCTGAATTTCTCTCGGTGCTTCTTGAATTCTACGACATCCATCTTCTTCATTCCAAACCCAATTCCATCTCATTCCTAAGCATCTTACACATTTGTGTGAAGCATATTTAGTAGTGCACCCTTTTGGAGATTTATTTAGGTACTTCTATGAACTCAAGTTCATGGAGAAGTCAAAAATCATAGGCAACTGTGGTGTTCGACTTCGAGATGGCCTGAAAGAATAGTACATAGAGATGACCCAATAAACCTCTAGAAAAGGAATGAATACAATGTTGGTATTATCTATCCACTGACACCACCTCCAGCCACCTCCCTATCCTGACCACCAAGCCCAAACGCGAAACACATAGACCTTTTACTCCCACCTATTCTGAATCTCTCAACATCTTTGTTAATAAGATTTGAGAGCTTAGGAGACGTGGTCTGACAACATATGACATTGTTTGTGACTTCACGCGTCGTCAAATTCATGCGCTCTAGGCAAGCGAGCACCATGTGTATGAGTATACGTGTGATAAAGACCCCACTTGGATGTCCTTGCGGAATATAATCATTTATCCTCACTCAGTCTCTACATTGTATTCTACTGAAGTACAAGACTAACTTCAATTTGTAAATGTTTAGATCTTCCCGAGGACATGGTGAAGAGCAGCACCAAGAAGGTGGTGATAGACAAGCCAAGCATGGCTAGAGACATCCCGACCTCGTTGTGCGACCTGCCCCAAGCTGTCAGGGATGGGATTGTAAATGTAGGTATTCAGAACCCATCACCCTTTCATCTAATCGATGTCATAGGGAAGTAATGCGAGCGCTTACAAGAGTTGCCCCTGACCAATGCCATTAAGGCACTTGTTGACCACCAGGAAGTCGCGGCCACAAAAGACGTGGTGGAGATGGAGATAGGGTCCTCTACCGCCGAGAAGGTGGCTAACATGGCCTCTCAACCTGGGTCTAGTGGTACCGTTGGATCCAAGAAGAGGAAATGGGGCTTCGGAGTGGACCCCACGGGTGGTGTCCTGACAAAGGGTACCCATTCCTTGGTAAGTACTTGTCCTCTACTATGAAGTCCTCGGGAGGATAAGATTAGTAGAAAATAAAGATTTTTCTGACTTGTGTAGTATTGTTCTTTCACAGACCTCCTCACCCGATAATGCCCCCACTAGTGGAAGGCTCAAACCAATGAGATTTATGTCGAAGAGCAAGGCCAAGTAAGCAGCTCATTCCTCGGTCACTCTTATATTAGCCTTTTATAACATTGTCGGTTGATTCAAACTGACTCGTTTTTTTTGACTGGATCAAACTGACTCTTTGTAGGGCCGCCCCTACCATCTCCAATCAGAACATGGGGAAACATGACGAGGCTAGTTCCCAACCAGCCACCCACATCATCGTCTCCCCCTCCACAGCCCCCCTCCCCTCCGTTGCTGCAGTTGTCTTGCCGCCTCCAGGAACGGCGTTCAACCATCTAGCTAGTGCCTGCCAAGAGGTACTCTTTTCAGCTAAGGCAGCCAGCACAGAAGTCAACCGGCTCATCGCCGAGCTCACTGCTACCAACGAGAAGTTAAGCAAACTCAAGGAGGAGTTGACCACGGCGAACACCAACAACGAAAGCCTGCGCCTTCTCATTAAAGAGAATTCGGAAATGCACCAAGAGGGTCAGAAGGCCCTAGCGGAGGAGAAGAGCAAAAGGGAGGCCCTTTATGCCGGGCTGAAGGAGAACTTCTTTGCCTTCAATGAGGTGGCGAAGCAACTTGGTCGTGGGGTGCAGCCGCCACCGCACTTCGATGATGTCTCGCTACTAGCGTCCATTGGCGAGCTAGTTGGCGAGATGGAGAAGGTCCCCGCTGACATCATCCAGAAAGCTGACTGGGACACCCGCATCGCCCTCAAGACTGGAGCCTGCCACACCCTTGCTTGTATCTCGTCCAAGCATCCAGAGCTGGACCTCAACAAGGAGGTCCACGAGGGTGTGGCTGAGGAGGAGAGGGAAAAGCTCATGGATCAACTTGAGAAGACTGGCGAGGCGGTGGCTAGCTTCTATCTCGACTAGTAATTTTAGGCAATCTTTTAAAAGTCGCTTTCTAGTGCTGTAGTGACTTAAATATAATCAGATGCATTAATATCTCCTTTATCGATATTATATAATCAGATTTTTTTCCATGTATTGATATTTTTGAAAATATAATTTATCTTCTATATGCTAATAGAATACTTTTGTGTTAATATTTTATTATGCAAATCATCTTCCATATGCTACAGAAGATATTTTATGCTTAGGCCATCTTTTATGTAAGTGATTCCCTTTTTCATATGGTTCATAAAAAATAGTTTTTGAAATAAAAAACATAGAGAAAATATTGAAACATACACACAAATTTCTATATTGTTTAAGGAGGCTACACAAAAAAAATCATATTTTTCCAAAACTTCAAAGGGTCAGTCAATTGTCGATCTGGTACATCTAAAAAAGTATCCAGTCCAATGGTATATTGTAAAAATAATTAATAAATTCTGTGTCATATTATGGAGAGAGATAAAGTCGATGATATGAATATATCCATTCTTGTTTTCAAGAAGTGACATGTACACAATTTGTACATTTCAGTGAATATGATCATGTATATTTTTCATGGAGTTGGGAGTGGCTTCATTTTTATGCCATCAAGTGAATCTTCGCTCCTATTAGCAGTATGTTGGGCCTTTCTCTAAAACAAGGTTTAGAAAGATTAGTAAATTGCACTGGTGGGTGCAACCTAAAACATAAATTTGTAAAACACTTGTTTCAGTGCTTTAACTTATCTGTGTGACTAATAATACTGAGTTGAAACCTACTTAGAATAGAGCGCGCACGCTTGAAGGGTTCATGATCTATATTTCCAGTGCTTCCTTTCAACTGCGTAGTTGTACCTCAATTTATTTGTCTAGACCAGGACAATATGCGCATAGCTATAACATTTTGTCCACTAGCTCATCTGGGTGAATTGAATATTACCAATGTTTTATATGCAGTGTTATTCTGCAAAAGGAATCACTCTTTGTTGTATTAAGAAAATTGGGTTCATTACCTTTGTTTATGCATACCGGTGGGGCATATGAAAATATATATCCTTTCTTTTGTGAATTTTCTTGACAGACCTGATGCTAATAAGGCATCATATTTCTATCAACTGGCTAGTACGTGTTCGTGCCAGCGGCAACGTAATCTACCGGCCGCATGACACAAAATCATCGATTGCCTTTATCACTACCACTCATCGGCAACTCAATTACAGCTAGCCTTTTTGGCTGTCTACATCCGTTTGGATGTAGAGGCTGGTTTAATCCATTATCTAAAAAAACTTATAGCTAGCCTTTGCTAGTTCAGATCGAAGTCCATACTACCACTCATCGGCAACTCAATTACAGCTAGCCTTTTTGGCCGTGTACATCCGTTTGGATGTAGAGGCCAGTTTAATCCATTATCTAAAAAATTTACAGCTAGCCTTTGCTAGTTCAGATCAAATTAAGTCCATCGAAGGATATGCCACCCAAAACCAATAAAGCAAATCAGTATAGACGGATGGACCGTTGAAGTGTTGAGATAGATGAGAATGCCCCATTTGCTAGCCCCTCCAACGAGTAAACGCAACCAAAGGCATTGTTTCTTATTGGTGCCCAAAATCTGGAACTGGAAGGGGAATAATCCATTGGTTATGCACCACTTCATGTTAGTGATATGCCCTAGAGGTAATCATAGAGATGATTGTATCACATACTATGTTTACATATTTATCTGACTTTGTTACTTGAAATAGATAACTCATTATTGGTTAATGAATATGTGATTCTTTCATGAGACTCTTTATGTTGTGTGTTGCTATTTCTAAAGGATCCCTGATCAAATATCATATGTGGAACAAATATGTTTAGATGATCAACACATGTATTAATTGATGATCATGTCTCATGGATCATGGTATAGAGATACCAAATTAATAATGTGGACACATGTTGGTGAACATGTTGTTGCATAGACCCAACATGAGACATTGCAAGAGCCATATGTGTTGTGTCATCAGTGATCTCATTTAGTGTTGATGTTGAATCCTTAGACCTGAGATTATCATAGTTCCCAACATGTGTAGTAGCTCACTTAGAGACTGCTAAACACTACTCCGTAATTGGGTAGTTATAAAAGTAGTTTTCGGGTATGATATGAAACATGTAGTGGGATATGGATAATCAAGATGGGATTTGCCCCTCCTATGATGAGATATCTCTGGGCCCCTTGATGTTCTACATTATGAAAGTGCATGGCCATGCCAACGGTGATTGATGAGTCAATCACAAGTTATATAATCTAGCAACAGGTTCGAGTGAATGATTGAGTTATTAGAGGATGGCACATATCTAGCCTTGAGCTTAATCGATATCGTGAGGCAAAGGGGTTCATACAAGTATACACTAGAGGTTCAACTGATATGATCTTTATGTATGCCCATTAGGTCAATATGTTCTGCTAGGGGCCGCTGTTGACGCGTGGACCGAATAGGAGTTTTCGGGTTACAGCCGAGTGTACATGAACCTACAGGGTCGCACATTTAATGGGCCGGAATAAGGGGATTGGATGAAGATCCAATATGAGCTTAATTCGGATAGGGATCCGAATAGGAGTCCTACGGACCTTGGAGGCCCGAGTGATGGATCCTATATATTCGTGAGGGGTGTGACCGGTGGAGGTATTGCATCACGTGAGAAACCCTAGCCATCACTCCCCTCCCCGAGCAAAACCCTAGACACGCGCGGGTGCTAGCACATCTGCGCGTGGCGTTCCATCCCTGTACGTGTGGATACCGGTAGAGGCGCCGCTGGTTTGCGGTGCTGATCGGCGTGGGAATACGGCGAGGAGAACGCATGAGGACGAGAAGGTCGAGTCGGTGCGATCGACTACTTCCTCTACATCGACGCGCGCTACTTCGCGAGAATTCCTTCGACTTCTTAGCGCCTTCTTCCGCTGCGCAGCGCGTCGAGTGGTAACGATCTATGATCTAATACTTATATGGTTCCTGGTGTACGCGATATAAAATTTTGATTTATGCTATCGTAGCCGACGCATATCCCAACACTTCGTGCATCTGATCCAGCTCTGGCCTCCGGGAGGTGAAGGCCACGCAGCACTCACCAGGGTTGTCCCTTACAATTTTGGAGCCCTGTGCAACAAAATATAAAATGAGTCATTATCTTTTTTTTAAAAAAATATTAGTTGCAAAATAAATCAGAGCTATATATTATTTATAATACATTGGGACATGCCTCTATTATTACTGATTTTTTCTTGCTACGCATTGCCTTCCAACTATACAAGAAAAGCTAGCATCAATCTGATACTCCTTTCTTTAGCTATGTCTTGCTATTAAAACAAGCAAGAATTGTACGCGACCAATGACAAGAGTTATGTCAACAATCTCACCTAGCTATGTACATAGACAACATATCCTATGCACACATGCCCTCACGTGTACACACGTGCACACCAACTAAAAAATGTCACAAAAAAATCTAGAAAAAATCATACACATACTTTCAATTATATTACACCTAGGGGTTAAAATCTTAACATCAAATTTATTATATTTTAGCCGTAACAAAAAAAAACGAAAAATCTGACAGTTTTAAGGTTGTAATTTTGTCAGAATTTTATCTTTTTTGTTATTCTCTATGTAGAATGAATTTGAAGATGCGACTTTGCACATAGATGTAATACTATTGAAAGTACATGTATGAATTTTCCTAGAATTTTTTGTGATAATTTTTAGTTGGTGTATATGGTGTGTACACGCGAGGGCCTGTGTGCATAGGATACGCTCCCATGTACATATGTAATGGCATTCTGGCTATGTAGAAGAAGAATCGTTGCAACAATTCAGGTTTTCTTACTAAATAGAAAAATGAAATCCTTATTGCTTAGAACACGCGTTCGCATCGTCATCATGAAATACGGTTCTTTGATGCATTTAAGAGTACCATCAAACGTTTGTCGGAGTTGAGAAGAAAATAACCCGTTCTAGCCGATTCAGTGAAGTAGAAAGAGTTAAATTTGAAAGAATTGAATCTAAAGATCCTAAATATATTGGAACATATTGGTTTAAATTGAAACACATAAATTTTGAGGCCCCTAATTTTTAGAGGCACTGTATGGTCGCATAGCTTGAATACCACGAAGTTGCGTCACAACTGATTGACAACGACAATTTGGCTGTCGCGGTAACAAAGGATTCTGGAACTGCAACAAGAAGCTCTGCAGGCCAAGTGTGGCATCTCCGCTCACATGGCGATGAGGGTGAGGTATTTTTATTTGCTGCCTTTGCTAACGTGGTAAGTCCTAGCAGAGTGTGATTAGTTTGGACTTAACAAAAGATTACCGGTCTACTGGCTGGGACTCTGGGGATTTTAAGGCATGTTTGGCATGACTCTAGCTCCTAGCTCCACCTTTTTGTAACTGTCGCTCAACCAAACAGTCCGCATCCGACCAAAAGTGGAACAGAGTGGGTTAGAGCACTTTAAAAATTGAACTATGGTGATGCATCGGGGAAAAGGTAACTCCAATGCTCCACTCCCAACCCAATGACACTGCTACCCATTGGTTTTCGTTGAAATTACATGCAAATTGCCACTACACTACCCCTGCTATCGGGCGGCCGGGCAGACGGCGCACGGAGGCGGCACCATCCCTCCCTATCTCTTCCCCCGTGTTCTCCCAATCCCAACGACTAGCAAAGGGCTGCAGGTAGGGGCATTGCATGCTGGCGGAGGCTGTAAATGGCGACGGAGTAGGCTGAGGACGAGCACAGTGGTGCAAGGTGGTGGATCATGACCGGAGGTATTTTTTTCCCCAAACCCTAAAATTCCCCACATATTGACTTCAAATCTGGCTCATAGGGGAATTACCGTCTATTTTTGTTGATTTGATGCTATTGTGCAATGATAAAATGGCCAATTTTCATATCTGGAATTTTTTTTGGGGGGGGGGGGTATGAAATTTCTGATTTAAGCACTTGTGACCTTGAGCATTTTGTTTGATTGAACAAGTCCAATAGCTTCTGGAGAAGGAAAACAGTACTCGACTAGCAAATCAGCCCGCTAGTTGGTGGGCCTCCAAAATTTATAACCCATGTAGATTATGGAAAACTCTTTATATCAGAAATATTTTTTAAGTCTTGTACATAATTAATTTAATTATTGTAAAATCTCTATAATATTAATTTAGTTGAAAATAATCCTTTAATGGGCTCTTTGATTATGTGTTTGTCAAAGGTTTAGAATTGAAGTATAATAATTGTCATATATACTAAGTGCCAGGCTTTTATTGTGTTACGTATGGGTTATCTAACATTGCTATTAATTCATGTTTGTGAAAATGGTATTAAAAAATTAAATGGATGTTTAGTGAAAAAATTGTGTATAGATTTCATAAATTAGGAAATTTTGTCTGGGAGCTTTTGATTTTTCAAATTTTACCACAATTGATTAGCCAAATTTTGCATGGTACCGTCGATCGTAAGAAGTGCCACTAGTGTTGGTGCATCACCGCACTGTTTTTTTAAATAGTTTTAGTTGTGTTATGTATTTATTTATTTTTATTTATACATGCTCAGAAGCCTTTAGGATCTAGACAATATTGAATTATTGATTCTTTTAAGAAAGTCTTGGTCCTTTTTTTCTTTTTGACCACAATCTGATATGTTTTATTTTATTATATTTTTCTAGTTTTTATTTTTTCAATTTTTCTGATGTGTCAGCCTATTGTAGTAGCAGTATTGTTTAAATCACCGGAAGGATCCAGATCTTCTCAGTTAATATCACAGACCTTGGAAGTGCAATGAGGAACAGTAAGCAGTAAGCAGGAAAGAGCATAGGTGCATAGTTAGCTGCAGCATTTTTCTCTGTTCCACGTGTCAGCACCTTGTTTGAAGTTTCTTGTAAGCAAAGAATGTTTAATCGGGTTTGCTAATCAAGTGAGTCATGGTAAAGATTGTCAGCAAAGCTTATACCATTACATTTGCAGGTTAGCAGCTGGTGTACTGCAATATTTATCAAGATTGCCTTCAGTTTTACCAGTTTTATCAAGATTGAACAAATGGCCAAGCAGCACAAACTGCATGAGAATTTGTGCATCCTTATAATAGTCGATTACACAAATTAAAATGGTCTTGCTAGAACAATAGTCTGAACCTTTGTGTTTTTTCTGCTCCAGTGTATTCTGCTGGTTTTCAAAGAGGTTATCGTGAATCTCTTGGAAAGTCATTGAAAATTATCTGAACATTATTATTGAAAATTGTTGTAAATTCAGTTCATGAATCAGGTTGAACAGCATGTTGGTTTCCCAAGTGATTATATGTGTTCTGATTTTACATTTAGCAGCTGCACTGATATTGTGATTTGTATTAGAGTAAAATGCATGGAGCATCATCCAACTTGTTTAGATGTGTTATATATGTCACTCTACGTTTAAAATACATATTTGGATCACTAATGTGAATTAAGTGAGTGATTTATCCATCCAGACGAGTATACCTTGTACACATGGCATACTACCAAGAATTGAAAAAGTTGCATCTAGAAACGTACATAAAACCCTCTGTGTATTTTATTTTCTTTCTCAAAACACTACCAATTGACAACAAATGAAATTAGTGGAACCAAATCATTTCACTTGTGCATGTTTTGACGAGTTCTAGTTCTCAGTCCTCTCTCGTTTGCCATCAAACCCAACCATCTTTCTTTTTTTTCCATAATTTTGTACCTCTCAATTATATTGGTAGGTCTGCTCATTTCCAGAAGTAAAATTTTCAAACCTAGGTGACATGCCACGTGTAAGGTATGGCCAAGTGGAAAGTTAGATGAGCATATGACTCACTTAACTCACATTAGTGATAAAAAATATACATTTTAAAAGTAGAGTGACTTGTATGATCACCTAAACAATTTGAATGACCCTCTATCACTGGTGGAGAAGAGGTTTTTACTCCCAGTTCGTAACCCCTATATAGTCACGGTTGGAAAACCGGGACTACGAGATCTTTAGTCCCGGGTGAAATAACCGGGAGTAAAAATCTATTTTTAGTCCCGGTTGGAACCGGGACTAAAGATAAAGCATTTTTAGTCCCGGTTAGCATTACCAACCGGGACTAAAGAGGCTAGATCCGGTTGCTTCTTTGTTCTTTTCTTTTCTTCATTGTTTTTAATATATAGATTTCACCATATCCCGTCCCCAAAATCCCAAATCAATCATCCTCAAATTGCCTCCAAATCCACAAATCGATCATCTCAAATACATTACAAAATCTTAAAAAAAATTACATCACAACTTTTACAAAATTCATCACATATTCACATCACACACAAATCAAATACATCACACAACAATCTCGGATCCGAATCACAAGTTCTTAAAAAAAAAACGCCGCCGCATGCCGTCACCACGCCACGCCGGCTGGCCCTCCGCACCCCGTGCCGCCACAAGGCCGCCAGCCACCGCTGCGCGAGCCGGCCCTCCGCGCCCCGCCGCCCTCGCACCGGCCGCCAGGCCGCCGCCTCGCCGCTCACCACGCCGCCGCCGCGCGGCCGCTAGCCGCCGCTGCAGTAGAGAGGAGAAGAGGAGAAGGAGAGGAATAAATAAGGAGAGGAATAGAGATAAGGTTGAGGAGAGGAGTTAAAGGAGAGAGGAGATAAGGTTGAGGAGAGGAGGAGATGGCCTCGATCCGATCGCGCACGCCTCTCCGATCTCCGCGTCGATCTTTTTTCCCGGTTGGTAACACCAACCGGTACTAAAGATTGAAAAGTACCCTGGAGCTTTTAAACCGGGACAAGATGTTAATACAACTGGGACTATTGTGAAATCTGGTCGACCGATCAAAGATGGTTTCTCCACCAGTGTATGTATTTTACTCATTGGATTAACATTTTACAAGAGACCAATACTTTTAGGATGGGATAAGACAAAGTATTTCATGATAATCTAGCCGGTCATATTTTAGAATGATGGACATATACCATAGTTTCAGGTCTTTTGCTCTATCATTCGATGACAATGCTGCTAGTTATTAATACTAAACATTTATATTACTACATATATGTTATTTTTTTACTCAAAAGAAAAACTATTAATCATTCATGGAAGCAAGCAGCAAAAACCACAAGGGTAGTATTGTCCATCTCTCTCTCTCTCCCCCCCCCCCTCTCCCCTCTATCCTCTCTTTCAGGATTTCGGCAGCCGGCAAAACTAGCCAAACACTTTTAGGGCCACTTTCAACTCCTACTAGAGTTAGAGTTTAGAGCTAGGATTCGAGAGTTAGAGCTCTACCTAATAGGCCTGAAATATGGATATCCAATTTCACATGTAGTATCTATTTCAAAATTGGATTGGATTATGTTATACCAAAAAAGGGATATGGATATTTAGTGGACAGGAGAAGACATGTATGGCCCCACAAGTTGTATAAAGTTTCCCTTCTATATAATAAATCATCTCAAGCCAAATTTGGTAACTTTTTATAAAGCGAATGTGAATTTATAAATATTAGATATGGATTTTGCTTATATCGAATGGGTATGGATGAAAAGAATATTACCATCCCCATACCAGAAACTCAAATAACTATTTTATGAGTGAAATGCATAGGTACTTGTGCGGATGTGTCATGTAGGTTACTAAACTCTTAAAATGCATTTTTTACATCCCAAACTCTCAAAATATAGGCTCCAACTCACTCCATGCGCTGATATGACATGCCATGGTGGCGCCTTCATGTGAGTGGGACCTACGTGTTAGTCACATAGAAAAAAAATAAAATTAATACACATTTTTTCTCCTCTCTACATTAATACTATTTTTTTTATTTTTTTATCTTTTCTCCTCTCTTCCTAAGAGGGGAAAAGACGTTTTATTTTTTTTCTATGTGGCTAACATGTGGGTTACATTGAAAATACATTTTAAGAATTTAGGGATCTAGATGACACACCCGCATAAGTTGTGAGTGTGTACTTCACTCATAATCTATCTTTACCATATCCTACCACAATAGTCTAAGTATGTATAATAGTCCGAGTATGAGTAATGGATACCTAGTAGCAAGCTAGCTTAAACAAATCTAAATTCCAATCTGTTCGTAAACGTTTTCTCGATCGCAATTTTGATCTTTTCTATTGAAAACCTCAATTAAACCATTCAATTTTTAATATACGCAACAAGAGCGTCCAAACCAAATATGTAAATATGGATGTCATGATAATTGACTTATGACAATGTGATTATTTCATCAAGTCTTTAAATCATTAATTCTAGTTGAAGGTTTATGTTTTTCTTATGCTAAAGGGTTATGTTTATATAAGAATATTAAAGAGCAAATTGCAATAGATCAACACAACAAATTTGAATGTTTCCAGATGTGTAAAAATATCCAAATTAATTGTTTTAAAATAGTTTTAAGAAGGATCTGATATGCAAGTTTGATAGTTAGTAAACTGCAAAAGGGCTTATTACATGGAAAATTCCTTATTGAATATGTTTCATTGACTGGTTTATTTTACATGACAACAAAGTTACTAGTATGTCAATAAAAAAATACAGGTTACTTGTCAATTGTATTGTGCCAAGTAAAGATGACAACAAACATACAAATTTATTTGTTGTTTTATAGAAACACCTAACTTATCAAGGATAGTTGGCCACGCAAAAATGACAACATACTTTACAATTGTATCATCATAAAGATCTTATCAAGTATAAGAACTTTATGGTGACATAAAAAATAATCACAAGGGCAAGACACATACTAAAAGTATGGACAGAAATTTCTTAACAAACTCCATTTGTTTTGCTCCAAAAGCATAAGAAATGTGTCATGGCTGAGTCATGATATGTAGTTCAATCTTGCAAAATTGCCTTTTTGTTAAGTATTGTTTTAACACTACAAGTCACATATTGTCTATACTTGCAACAAACACTATTACCGTGTATCCCAAGTTGCCTTTTCATTGCTATATAAACTAGCTTGATCGGTCTTTCAACTCACATCAATTAGCTTAAGTTTCCATTAGCAACTGCTAATAGCTATGGCAACTACCATTTTCTCTCGTTTTTCTATATACTTTTGTGCTATGCTATTATGCCAGGGTTCTATGGCCCAACTATTTAATCCAAGCACAAACCCATGGCATAGTCCTCGGCAAGGAAGTTTTAGGGAGTGTAGGTTTGATAGACTACAAGCATTTGAGCCACTTCGAAAAGTAAGGTCAGAAGCTGGGGTGACTGAGTACTTCGATGAGAAGAATGAATTATTCCAATGCACAGGTACTTTTGTCATCCGACGTGTCATTCAACCTCAAGGCCTTTTGGTACCTCGATATAGCAATACTCCTGGCCTGGTCTACATCATTCAAGGTTCGTATAATAGTAAATATACTAGAAAACTCTATCAATGATACTAGGAGTTATGATCTCCATGGTCAAAAGACTATATTTTCATGTTTTATGCACTCGATATGAACAATATAATTTTCAGGGAGGGGTTCTATGGGTTTAACCTTCCCCGGTTGCCCAGCGACTTATCAGCAACAATTCCAACAATTTTCGTCTCAAGGCCAAAGTCAAAGCCAAAAGTTTAGGGATGAGCATCAAAAGATCCATCAATTTAGACAAGGAGATGTTGTTGCACTCCCAGCTGGTGTTGCACATTGGTTCTACAATGATGGTGATGCATCGGTTGTTGCCATATATGTTTATGACATAAACAACAGTGCAAATCAACTTGAACCAAGGCAAAAGGTAACTTTTTAAACAAATATTCCCACTGAAGTTGTGGTTGTTTTATGTTTTTAATATGTTTTCACATTAAATTCATATTTAAAATATTAAGTTTTTCATTGATAAAAATTTCAGGAGTTCCTATTAGCTGGTAACAACAATAGGGTTCAACAAGTATATGGCAGCTCAATTGAGCAACACTCTAGCCAAAACATATTCAACGGATTCGGTACTGAGCTACTAAGTGAGGCTTTAGGCATCAACACAGTAGCAGCAAAGAGGCTGCAGAGCCAAAATGATCAGAGAGGAGAGATCGTACATGTGAAAAATGGCCTTCAATTGTTGAAACCGACTTTGACACAACAACAAGAACAAGCACAAGCTCAATACCAAGAAGTTCAATATAGTGAACAACAACAAACATCTTCCCGATGGAACGGATTGGAGGAGAACTTCTGCACAATCAAGGCAAGAGTAAACATTGAAAATCCTAGTCGTGCTGATTCATACAACCCACGTGCTGGAAGGATTTCAAGTGTCAACAGCCAGAAGTTCCCCATCCTTAACCTCATCCAAATGAGTGCTACCAGAGTAAACCTATACCAGGTATTTATTATAGCATAATTTTCTTCACTTTATTTTTTGTAAAAAATCTGATTTACGGTTTATATGATATTATGTCTATTGATTTCTACAGAATGCTATTCTCTCACCATTCTGGAATGTCAATGCTCATAGTTTGGTCTATATGATTCAAGGGCAATCTCGAGTTCAAGTCGTTAGTAACTTTGGAAAGACTGTGTTCGATGGTGTCCTTCGCCCTGGACAACTATTGATCATTCCACAACATTATGCTGTCTTGAAGAAAGCAGAGCGTGAAGGATGCCAATATATTGCAATCAAGACAAACGCTAACGCCTTCGTCAGCCACCTTGCAGGAAAAAACTCAGTATTCCGCGCCTTACCAGTTGATGTGGTCGCTAATGCTTACCGCATCTCACGGGAGCAAGCCCGAAGCATCAAGAACAATAGGGGAGAAGAGCACGGTGCCTTCACTCCTAGATTTCAACAACAATACTACCCAGGATTCTCGAATGAGTCCGAAAGTGAGACTTCAGAGTAATGTAACTGAGAACTAGTTCTGGCATATAGCAAAATAAAACACCACAAGTATGAATCTTGGTGGTGATTCTATTCTATATCAACATTAAATAAAGGTGACATATTTCTTACTTTACCTACTTCAAGCCATGCGTATTCCATTATGGATTGTTGCGGATGTGGCTATATTCACATAATTTATCCTATATATGAGGAAACAAATTACATACCATGTTCATTCCTTAGACAACATTTGAATGCCACGGAGTGAGCACATCATGGCAACACTGAAGATTTAAATGTTGAAAGTGCTAGCATTGATTGAGAGGGATATACAAAAAAAACTTGATAAAACTTCAGAAACAAGTAGGCCAATGTCATTAACCTCACCTAAGTAAAATGTTGCTGCATCTGTGTACTTTGCCCCCAAAATGAAAAAATGGTGGATGAAGTTGTACGCTTGAACCTTTTTAAGGTACACTTACATATATGAGTTGTTTGCTCTGTTGATCCAATGGTTATGACAAACCTTGAGGTTATTTTGTCTTTGCATATGATCATTTACCATTATTTGGATAGATTAAGATGGGCCCAATTAATTCTTGAAAGGAGTTGTATTAATATTATCCAATCAAAGGAAACATGTTTGGTCATTTCAAAACAAAAAATGACAAGTAATGTATAGGACTAAGTCATGTGATGCACCAGTGTTAGTATTTCTTATGCCCTCACAAATAAGGTTTCGCAAGCGCAAGAAATTACACTTTACCTCGGAGTATGATGGGGCATCATATTTATCCCAAAGGATGCACTATTAATTAAAATATATCATCTAAGGAGGATAATCTACTAACCAAACACGAGGGTTAGCCGATAAAGATAAAGGAATTATGAACTCAGATAAAAAGGACTACACCTATCTAGTTCAAGAGATATTGATCAAAAGCTAAATATAGTCTTCGCAAAGCAAAGGCTATTTATACGACTAATTACTTCGAGTGCAGGAGTAATTCATCACAAAGGATGAACACCTTTCTGCCAATGCACCAATGCACACCAATATAGATAGGGTTAATTTGGCCACCTTTGAAGGACGAACGGGCCTGTTATCACTTGATCGACTACGTCCTCCATTTTGCTTAACATGTCTTTCTTCCTAATACAAGATCTAGGCACCACATCTACGACTTATACTAATATTTAGCTCTTGAGCAAATAACACCCAGACTTAGCTAGATGAACTAAGTTGAACAAGAAACCCGCAAACATATATGAAGCACTTCAAGCTAAGTAGACGATGATCGACTAGAAGGTCGATCAGACAATATTTCCTCATGAAAACGAATTGGATAATTAAATGAGGAAAGTAAATCGGCAAATATCGAACATCAGTATATTGATCAAAATATATGAAATCGGAAAGATACAGGATTGTTACCGAACTTCTGAAGCCGATTTCTGCAGAACTTGGGTGATTTGTAATCCTGCATAGTTTTACAAATAGATGTAGAAAATTAATTACATATCTTAGTTAAATTCAGCCAAACGTTTACCGGCTAGATCAATAATTATTGTTAACTCGAGTAAGAAAGAATAAATGGTATTAATTTCATTAGAACTGAATTAAAACTAACAAAATGCATTAAACTAATTAGAAATTGAAATGGATATGCCTACATACATGCATAAAACTTGGATATATACTCTCTCTGTTTCACATTATAACTTTTTTCTAGTCAAACTACCATAAGTTTGATCAAGTTTATAAAAAAAATATAGTAACATTTTTTTTAAAAAAACATACTACCAAAATACATTCGGTGTTGCATTTAACGAAACTAATTCGATGTTGTAGATGTTAATTTTTCTATAAAGATGGTCAAACCTAACGAAGTTTGACTTAAAAAAGTTAAAACGAACTTAACAAAATCATTTTAGGACCGCAACACGCACGATGCTAATCGGTACGCAGACTAGCACTATTGACAAAAGGTAGGACTAGCACTGAAGGTAGCCCCATTAATCAATCCAATACAGTTGTTAATAGCAATTTGTTTTTAATCAATCCAATACCTAACTGTTGCAAGCACATATGCTACGGTGTACGGGCTACGGCCCAAGGCCAAAGCCTGCTGACAACACATGATTTGCTCATATTGGAGGGGGCCTAATACAATGCAAGTTGTAGCTATCAATCACGTGATTAATTAGGCACTCCCTCCATTTCATACTACAAATTGCTTTGATCTTTATAAATCAAACTTATTAAAGTTTAATCAAATTTATAGAAAAATAAAGCAAACACTTACAGTATTAAATTAGTTTCATTACATCCAATATTTTGATAGTTTGTTTGTTTTGTGTTAAAAATATTGCTATATTTTTCTATAAATTTAATCAATCCTAAAAAAGTTTAACTTAGATAAAAAGTAAAAAACAACTTATAATATGAAACGGAAGTATTCCCTCCGTTTCATAATGTAAGTCATTTTAGCATTTTCCATATTCCTATCAATGTCAATGAATCTAGACATATATATATATATATATCGATTTATTGATATCAATATGAATGTGGGAAATGCTAGAATAACTTACATTGTGAAGTAGTAGTACTGAAGTAAATTAATACAATGCAAGTTGTAGGTATCGTGTGATCAGAATTTTGACCCTTTCGATCAAAAGCAAGTTGAAACCAATCAGTTTTCGATATACCCTCTATAGAACTAGAGCATTTGAATTTATTTATTTTTTTTGAAATCTGTCCAAATTCTATCAAATTTCTCTTGGTTTTTGCAAAAATCGTTATACCACTAGTGCCTAGGATTAATTTCAGATTCCAACGGAAAGCTAAACCTTAATAACAGTATCATAATACATTATAACAGTAACATAATGCATTAGTCCGGAAGTACTCCTGCAAGGAAATGGAAAAACAAAAGGACTGGTGAAGTGGCGATGCAAGAAATTTGAGGTATTATCACCGGCATGGTCTATTCGATCAGGACTCGATACTAGGTTCACTATTCAGGACAAAAACAACAGCACCAAAAAATCAAATTTTGGGAAAATGAAACTGAGATTGCATGAGAACCATACTGGAAAGACGCAATGAATGTGCAAGAAATATTACAATGCGTACGGTTAATAACGAGACCATCAAACTGTTAACAGTAAGCTTGCCTCAGAATCTCATAATACAACCATATGAGAGCAAAGGATAATTGTTCCTACTGGTCACCTCGCTGCTGACCAGTGCATGCTAAATGGAGGGTCAAGTTCCGTACAGACCATATCATAAGCCGCAGAAAACAATATGGAAGAACCTACACCAGTAGTCTCCGCATCTCCACAACCAGAAGATAACTCTGGATTCCAGCCGGGATCAACCTTATCAGTCAGACCAATTGGTTGTAACAACAGAAAGGCCAAAAGTTGTATCTCATAAATTCTAGAATGGTTAAAACAGTAATTTTAGCTCCATTGTGAAACTTACCTACACTTCCAAGATGAAATCATCTCGCCATTGTATTTTTAATAAAAAAAAAAGGGCGGGGGGGGGGGGGGGGGGTTGAATAGAATAGAGTAAATGAGGTAAGCTTATCATGTACTGGCATATTTAAACAGATTTTCAGTAGGAACTAACATTATCCATTCAGTACGTCAACTAAGCGAAAATATAGCTCATTAAATCACCTGTAATATACTCTTTGTGTTTCATGGTAGAACTAGCCACTAGTAGTTAACAAGTTGGAATTGATCAAAAGAAAATACAAGTCTCAAGGAAAGAGTCGTCTATAAGAGATTAGGATCTATCAAGCTCATGCACAGATGCACTCAGTTTTCCTAATGTGTACTTCAACATCTCAGTCTCCCTCTATTTCATCTAGGAGTAACTGTCTACCTTATTCAGATTCATCATTTCAAAACATTTCTCTATTCACCAATTCGTAGTTACTTCTGTCCATCCTAAGTTCATTTCTTTGGCATTGTGCAATACCAAAACAAAACTTTGATCACTCTTTTTTATCATAATATCAGAAGAATTACAACAGTAATTCATGATGGAAGTATTTTACAACGATGAGCCTAGCTGTGTCATTTTGATCATGTGGGAAATATGTAATCTTAAGCGTTCGTCTGTGATAAAAGGGGGAAAATTTAATCTATACTACAGATTTTATTGGCACCAAATAATACCACAAGATTCTTTCACCTTTCAAAAATACCAGGAATTTGACAGAGAACCAATTTAGTAAGCAGACAAAATTACCCTTGCATCTCACATCCTTTCCCTCTCTTCAACAATATGGGGCCTCCACCATATCATCCGTGTCTCTGCTCCGTCCGCCATGGCATCACGTCCGGGCAGGAGACCACCACCAGTCCAGTATGCGTGGAGGGGCATTTCTGTTTTGCTGCTGCGGCGTTGCGCCCGGGCAGGACCCCCTGGGTCGGCCATGTGGAGGCACTTTTTTCCTCCACCACTGGTGTTTGTGCTGCCGTTTTCTAATCCACCGTTGTGGCCTCGCTGCAAAGCACAATAGCCGTGGAGGGGTCTTCTTTGCTCTGTCGTGGCGGGGTCGCTTCGAGAGCAACAGCCGCCGTGGTATCCGAGCGGCCTGGAGGCCATGATGAGACACCCGCCAACTCGAACTGCTTCATCAGTTCACATGCCTGAGCAAGGTTCTGGATGATGAGCTCCACTAGCTGGTACCAAATACAACTTCTGTATCATGCTGCTGCTGCGGCCACGATGGAGATTGGAGAACTCCCAATCTAGTTCACACTTCATAGGGTAGCTCAGTAATCTTCTCAAACACTGGTAACGGGGACAAATTAGTTTGTCCAAGATTGGGTAACATCCATTGAAATCTGTATCATTTTTGGAAGAGACATTGCTGCAATGTGGTATTGAGTGGAGGTGCAAGAATCTTGTGGTATTATTTGGTGCTGGTGAAATCTTTGTGGTATAGATGAAATTTTCCCAAGAAGAAAAAAGAAACTAATTAACCTCAAGTAGACTGTCACAGCATATTTTTTGGACCAGGAAAACTATACCAGAGTAGCAGAGGCTAATGATCAATCACACATGTAACTGAGAAAAGAGAAAAATATGCTGTAGAAATATTCAAGGAAACTGCTGAAAACACTAGAATAAATTCAAAAAAATACAGTCATTGCAACTGCTAAGATCAGTAATAGCATATGATTGAAGAGGCATTATCTTCGAGTACTACACCAGTTGGTACTTTGCTAGCTAGGTGGTTTATGCATAATAATAAATACAAAAAAAAACAGAAATATAAAATGTCATAGCCACAAGGTTGTACAAATAAAGGTGTGTTTGAAATTTGAAGTCATGTTCAGGTATTTTTACTCCCTGCACTCACGAATATTTGCAATGGAGTAGCAGATAGTTACCAAGAAAAACCAGTTTCTATATTAAAATATTAATGTGACCGATAAACCCCTGACAACTAGCCCATGGCCCAATCTAGCCACAAATGGGTATAGAGGATTTATTTGATACGGACAAAATAGAAGATGTGCAATGGAAAATGTGGGGTTAAGGGGATTATAAACTAGCATAGCTGGAGACTGTCCATCTTCATCATGTCCATCACCAATGCTCATGCCTACAAACGTTTAAAAGTAAAAAAAAAGACTCAGATTCATGGAGAAAACAATTAAATATTAGGGGGCAACTATGAGAATGAGATTTAGTTTGAAAATGAAAAAAGAACTTAGTTTATTTATTTATCTACTATCCCGTACAGTTGGACTCACAACTTGCAGCGCGACTTTTTTGCCAATGACATAACGAACTGTTGTTTCATAAAAAGACCAAACCAAGGTGTTATTATGGTTTTCAGATTATTAGCAAGATCAGTAAAGATAAAGGTATTCAGTGAAATGGCACTATTTAAGCACTAAAATGAGCCACTTGAGTACACATTTGCATTTCGGTTGGCTTGAACTTGACTTTCATAGAGATCAAAATAATTAAGTTCTATCAGTACCAAAAAGAAATGCTGTACTCATATTTTCAATCTGTATATATACTTCAACTGCTACAGAAACAACAATAACAAAAAGAAAAACATCAAAATATATTGAAGAGTTCATCAAGCAGCAAAACAAGAGAGTGATACTACCCTAGTTTACATTGCTACTTTAGCAATCGAGGATATTCATGCATACATCGACAAAATAATTAGAAGTCCAAATTGCTACTCTAGTACTCAAGGATATGAAAGGCAAACATCAACCAACTATGAAATGTAAATCATGCCATTACCTGCAGTGTAAACACTTGCAAATGGATAAATGAAAAGGGCAGCACAGTCTTTCAAAATTCTCTTGAACTCCATAGACTCAAGATGGACCATGAAGAGACCATTAATTGTCTTTAGGAAAATCACATTATAGTCCTCAGAAAACCCCATTACGATTGGGGAGCCCTTGCGCTCTGTTGGACTCAAGGATAGAAGCTCGCCCAATTGAACTGTTTTCTCCAGCACCCATCCAGACTCAGAGACATCATCATCCCAATCATTCTTCCTCCTCCAAAATTGTGAGCCCAAATCCGACATGAAGACGAAGCCGAGGCCACCATCCGCTGCCGGCACGACACAAAATCGTCGGTATCCATCACTCACAGCCATTGGCACATCATCAATCACAGCTAGCCTCTGCTCGTTCAGATCGAACTCGAGGATTCCACCCGGAATCCCCGAAATCAACCAGTAGAGGGAATCCCCAATCCGAACACCGGGAACAGCCAGGGATATCCTAGTCAAATTGTGTGGGAGGGGTGTTGCGATGAGATCCCCCCATTTGCCGGTCTCCGACGAGTAGATGCAACCGATGGCTTCGTACTGATGGCGGGTGCCCACCAGAACGATCTGGAATCGGAATCCGCCGCCGCCGCCGGGAAGGCGAAACACCGCGCCGTTCCGCACCTCGGTCTGTCCCTGGTCGCACTCCGGCGGGAAGGCAACGCGGCGCTGGTCGCCGGAGACGGGGTCCCACACGAGGAAGCAGCCGCGCAGCCGCGGCATCACTGGGTTGACGGCGAGGACGAGGCCGTCGCGGCAGCCGAGGATCCTGCAGCGGAAGTCGTCGAACCGCAGCGAGAAGCGCCCGCCGGCGCCCACGGCCGCGGGGACGCGGTCGGGGGGATCCATGGTGGAGACGAAGGAGGGGCTCACCCGGTGGCTGTGGAAGAAGCCGAGGAGGGGCGCGCCGCGGCGGTGGTGGGCGCGGAAGCGGCGGAGGAAGGCGGGGTCGGCGGTGACGAGGCGGCGCCAGCGCGCGCAGACGGCGGCGGCGCGCGGGAGGGAGGAGGGCCGCGGCGGGAGGCGGAGAAGTATCTCGGCGAGGAGGTCGTCGTCTTCCAGCGGCCGCGGGTGCGGGTGCGCCATCACCGGGTTTCGGTTCCCCGCGCTTCTCCGCTTAGGTGGGAAGTGGAGACTGGAGAATGTAGGCAGACTGTGAGACTGGGACTGTGTTGTTTAGGCGAGTTTACTTCCAAACTTTTTTTTCAAACTTTCAACTTTTTTATCACATTAAAATTTTTCTACACACAAATTTTTAACTTTTCCGTCACATCGTTCCAATTTCAACCAAATTTTCAATTTTAGTGGAACTAAAACCAAATAGATAGAAAAAATTTAGGCCAAAAACGTCACATCAAATATTTATATATATATATATGGGGTATTAAATGTGGGAAAAAAAATCAATTGCACAGTTTGCATGTAAATCGCGAGACGAATCTTTTAAGCCTAATTACGTCATGATTTAACAATGTGATGCTACAGTAAACATTTGCTAATGATAGATTAATTAGGCTTAATAAATTCGTCTCGCAGTTTACATGCGGAATTTGTAATTTGTTTTGTTATTAGTCTATATTTAATACTTTAAATGTGTGTCCGTATACTCCAAAAACTTTACACTCAAATAACTAAACACACCCTTAGATGAGGAAAATGTTGAGATATTTAACTATTTGCCACTTTTAGATGTGGCAATTAACTATTTGCCTCTGAACCCATATGTCATAGACACATATGGATCCACATTTCATTGAGATAGGGGTGGCAAATAGTTAAATACCAAATTTAAAAGTGGCAAATAGTTAAATGCCCCGGAAAATGTTAGCTCGAGGTCCTCCTCTTTTATTTTAGTTTTTAAATCGTACTTTGAACAATATTACGCAAATCCCATTAACTTTTAAAACATTTGTAAATGAGGTCCATCGACGGTATTGTTTACGGTTTTAGCTGAGGTGGCTCTTTTGACTAGGTCTTCGTCCCATATGACATTTGCATGACGCTTACGTGGCAATTCAATTCGATAAAAATCGTGGAGCTCATGTGTCAGTTTAACCAAAAAAAATAATTAAAAAACATGGGGCCTTACGCGGGACCCACATGTCATCTCATTCTCATTTTCTCTTCCCTTTCCTTCCTCTCTTATGTTATCCCTTCCCCACTCCTCTCTCTCTCTCACACACTCCTCTCAGGCTGGTTAATCTCAGCGCAAAGACAGTTTGTGCTGAGTTCACGGTTTATTTCTTGTTAAAGTTTCTTTTACTGTATAGTTTCACAATAAGTTTTTTGAAAAGGACCATTTAAAAAAAAACGGGAGGGGGGAGAGAGTAGGAACAGGGGACCCGTGGGCTGGTCTGTCGGGACAAGTTCGCGGCCCATGAAATGAAATCCGGCCATTAGGCCCATCCCAGTCATGGTGCCCTGTCTTGCATGCCATTTGTTCGACCGATGGAATCCAGTGTCGCACGCTAAATACCTCTTCTGCTCTTCATCCATCCGATCACTCTGAATCCAAGTGAATCTCCGGATTAGGATCGGCCGCGAGTTATTTTGCTCTGTGAAAGTTGCTTGGCTGCGTATAGCACTCCTCATTCATCAACATCGTGGTGAAGAGAAACGAGGGGCTCAAAAATCAAAGGCAAATTTTACTACAGTACATCGTGGCTTTGCAGTTTTAACTGCAGGACACCAAAGTGACTTTGGGGTGAAGACACTTTCAAAAGTTGGATATTTGCTGGTGGACACTGGACCCACTAAAATAATAATTTTTGGTTTAAGAGGAGGGAGAAATCGTGTGAAATGTATGAAATGTCCTTGGGCCCACATGTCAGATTTCCATCTCTCTTCTCTCTCTATCCCCTCCTTCCACACTGGCACACAGCCATGCGACGGGCTTCAGGGGGCAGGAGGAGGGTTGTGACGAGGGGGACAGCGGCAGCCAACGGCCTAGGCCTTGCCGGGCCAGATCGGCGTCGCCGCCACGGAGCCCGCATCTTGCCAAGACCTTAAGAGTGGCATTTAAATGTCGTTCACGAAATCAACACGACATGTTGTTTCTTGTTTATAGGATAAATTATATGAATATAGCCACATCCACTATCAGGGCCGGCCCTGGCCCTATGGAGCCGAGGCGACCGCCGGGGGCCCATGATGGTGGGGTGGGGGGCATAATGGTGGGGGGCAACACCTAATACTAGTAGTCTAGTACCTCATCCGATGTTGAGATCAATGATTTTTATTCAGAATTAAAGGTGATGAAAGTGAGTTTGCCAGATTCTTCGATTTCCCTAAGATTTTGAAGTTTGTTATGGATGCAGATTTCTATCCAAATGTTTCAGTTGCCTATCGAATTCTCTTAACTTTACCTATGATGGTAGCTTCAGCTGAAATAAGTTTATCAAAATTGAAGTTGTTGAAAAACTATTTGAGATCAACTGTCGCAAATAAGGTTAAATGGCTTGGCTATGTGCTCAATCGAGAAGGATATCTTGGACACTATTGATCTTAATACCGTTCTTTATGATTTTGCATCAAGAAATACCCGAAGAAGTATCTTTTCATAGGAAGCAATGGATATGACGGGGTTCTATTCTTCATTAAGTTAATAAATAATTATATTAGTTCCAAGTTACAAATATATTGTTATTTTGGTCGATTTTATTTCTTGATAATTACCAGGAATGTTAAATTTAATATATAGATGTATTTGTTTTCATTTTGCAAGTAAAATTAGCGTCTATATATATCAATAAATTTTATATATAGCTTGGAGGGCCCATCGCGATGAGTTCGCCTAGGGCCCTCAAAATCATAGGACCGGCCCTGTCCACTATAGTCCATAATGGAATATCCATGGCATGAAGTAGGAAAATTAAGAAGTTTGTAACCTTTATTTAGTACTGATATCGAACAGAATCACCACCAAGTGTCATACTTGTGGTGTTTTATTTTACTCTACGCCGATACTAGTTCTCAATTACATTACTCTGAGGTCTCGCTTTCGGACTCATTCGATAATCCTGGGTAGTATTGTTGTTGAAATCTAGGAGTGAAGGCACCGTGCTCTTCTCCCCTGTTGTTCTTGAGGCTTCGGGCTTGCTCCCTTGAGATGCGATACGCATTAGCGACTACATCAACTGGCAAGGCACGGAATACTGAGTTTTTCCCTGCAAGGTGGCTGACGAAGGCGTTAGCGTTTGTCTTGATTGCGATATATTGGCATCCTTCACGCTCTGCTTTCTTCAAGACAGCATAATGTTGCGGAATGATCAATAATTGTCCTGGGCGAAGGACACCATCAAACACAGTCTTTCCAAAGTTACTAACGACTTGAACTCGAGATCGCCCTTGAATCATATAGACCAAACTATGAGCATTGACGTTCCAGAACGGCGAGAGAATAGCATTCTGTAGAAATCAGTAGAGAATAATGTTATATAAGCAACAAATCAAAGATCTTCCAAAAAAAATGAAGAGAACAAAACGGTGCTATAATAAATACCTGGTATAGGTTTACTCTGGTAGCGCTCATTTGGATGAGGTTAAGGATGGGGAACTTCTGACTATTGACACTTGTTATCCTTCCGGCACGTGGGTTGTATGAATCAGCACGACTAGGATTTTCAATGTTTACTCTCACCTTGATCGTGCAAAAGTTCTCCTCCAATCCGTTCCATCGAGAAGATGTTTGCTGTCGTTCACTGTATTGAACTTGTTGATATTGATCTTGTGCTTGTGCTTGTTCTTGCTGTTGTGTCAAAGTCGGTTTCAACAATTGAAGGCCATTCTTCACATGTATGATCTCTCCTCTTTGATCATTTTGGCTCTGTAGCCTCTTTGCTGCTACTGCGTTGATGCCTAAAGCCTCACTTAGCATCTCAACACCAAATCCGCTGAATATGTTTTGCCCAGAGTGTTGCTCAATTGAGCTACCATATACTTGTTGTTGTTGAGCCCGATTGTTGTTGCCGGCTAATAGGAACTCCTGAAATTTTTATCAATGAAAAATTTAATGTTTTACGCTATGAATTGCATTGTAAGAACATATGAAAAACATAGAAAATTACAACTTTGATGGAAATATTTGTTCAAAAAATTACCTTTTGCCTAGGTTCAAGCTGATTGGCGTTGTTGTTTACGTCATAAACATATACGGCAACAATAGGTGCATCACCATCATTGTAGAACCAATGTGCAACACCAGCTGGGAGTGCAACAATGTCTCCTTGCCTAAATTGATGAATCTTTTGGTGCTCATCTCTAAACTTTTGGCTCTGACTTTGGCCTTGAGATGAAAATTGTTGGAATTGTTGCTGGTAAGTCGCAGGGCAACCGGGGAAGGTTAAACCCATAGAACCTCTCCCTAAAAATTATAATGTTCACATAAGGTACATACAACATTAATTTGACCATGGAGATCATAACTACTAGTTGCATCGATAGAGTTCTCGATTATATTTATTAGGATACAAACCTTGGATGATGTAGACCACGCCAGGAATATTTGTGTATCGAGGTACCAAAAGGCCTTGAGGCTGAATGACACGTCGGATCACAAAAGTACCCGTGCACTGGAATAATTCATTCTTCTCATCGAAGTACTCAGTCACCCCAGCTTCTGACCTCACTTTCCGAAGTGGTTCAAATGCTTGTAGTCTATCAAATCTACACTCCCTAAAACTTCCTTGCCGAGGACTATGCCATGGGTTTGTGCTGGGATTAAATAGCTGGGCCATAGAACCATGGCATAATAGAAGAACACAAAAGTATATAGAAAACCGAGAGAAAACGGAACTCGCCATAGCTATTTGTACTTGCTTATGGAAACTTAAGCTAATTGATGTGAGTTCAAAGACAGACCAAGCTAGTTTATATAGCAATAAAAAAGCATCTTGGGATACATGGTGATATAGTTTGTTGCACGTACAGACAATATATGGCTTGTAGTGTTAAAACAGTACAAAAGGAAAGGCAACTTTGCAAGATTGAACTATACATTTCATGACTCAGCCATGACAAACTTCTGGTGCTTTTGGAGTAATACAAATGGAGTTTGTTAAAGAAATGTCTATCCATACTCTTAATATGTATCTTTGCCTTGTCATTATATTTGTTTTTGCACCATAAAGCTCTTATGCTTGAGAAGATGAGTCTAAC